TTATAGATAAGTTACCATGACAACTAATTTGACAACTAACAAAAAGAATTACTACAATTGACAACTTGTATCATAACTGTATATAATATGACTGTGAATATAAATAGAGAGGGGAGAGTGGGGTAAGTTGTGCCATTTGTCATATTTTAGATCTCACTACATCAAGTCAATCATAGTTTTGTCTCTAACTCGTGTATCTGCAGATATTTCAAGATGTTGTGTATCCCTGCAAACCAACAGAATGAGTGTAAACAGAACTGTCTTGATAATATAGCATGCCATAATAAAGAGGTTTCCTAGGAGCGGGGTAAGTTGAGCCGTATCCTCACATCCCTACCATCTCTCTCCCTAAATAACAGTCACTTCTTCACATTCATGTGTATTTTTATCTATAATACGCTATTCAACCAGTGCAATAATTCTTTTTTGTTATTATTACCACTGGCTCAACTTACCCCAGAACTACGATTATGACGTTATTAGTCCTATAAACTAAAATGGTGGACTTTTATGCTCAGATTTACCACAATTGATGTATAAAACAGATTTAAAATGATCTTTTTTGGTCTGAACTCAATTCTAATCAAACTTCTGACAGACTAAATTCACTTTCAAGAGTGAAAAATGTTTTTACTTTGTAAATAAATGTCTAACCTCTTCACCCATATGCTTCTAACCTTCACAGACTCCATGAATTGATGCCCATCTCCTAAATATTTGGTCACATGATCAATTTCTTTTACCATTTCCAAGCAACAGGGCGTGGTTCAACTTACTCTTTGGCTCAACTTACCCCACTCTCCCCTAAGTGAAGAGGGGACACCAACGGCTCAGTGGTTTTAAAAGGCTGTTTACCATCAATCAATATCGAGTTTTTCCAACAAATAACACACTGAGTGTGTTTTGTTTCCAGACTATGAACAAAATAGCCCCAAAAGAGAAGAAAAGAGATTAGAAAAAAGTCCAAAATATCGAATTATAAATAGTTTAATTCATAAAAATAAACAGAGGAAATGGTTTTGGTTTAGTTGTGCTGTGATTGGACGGGAGTGCTCAGGTGGGCTCGGCTGGGCGGAGTTTTAACCGGCTGTTGGGTTCGTTTGTTTCCAAATGTTAAAGAGTTTGTGCTAATTTCTGAAGACAAGTCCATAAAAAGTTGGTTTGAGTTTTTGACCAATAATCAGAGACGATGTTAGACTGGAAATACTTGAGGTCAAGAGGGATTAAAACGGACTTTTGTGCACGTGTCTTTCATAGACATCATAGAGACGAGGTCGAGGACTCGGGGCACAGGTAAGAGGTTTTTGCAGCAATTTACTTTGATTCATTTTTTTGTTTGTTTCTATGTCAATATCGACTCACAGCTGATGTGCTTATGGATGTGTGACAAAGGAGCAAATTGCTGTAGTTGCTGTTGGTTTCTTGATAAAACTCGTCTGTACTGTGGAGATTTGAAGGACAGTCAGGTCTGCAGAAATCGGCAGTGTCGAGCAGGTTACTTCATTCTGTTAGGTCGACTGTTCATGCAGCCTGAATTATAAAATGACCCACTGATATTTGAGGTGTTATTGTTAAGGCTCTTGTACTCACTGTTTAACTATATTTGTTTAAGGAGTTTCTTTCCAACATGAAAGAGAAGTCATTCCTGGGTTTATAGTTCATTATTCAAAAGTAAAGCTAATACAACCTGTAATAGCAGTCCTTTGAAACCAACATATCTTGGACTCTAAATTCTTAATTTATTGTTAATGCATGTTGCAGTAAGTGCGCAAATCCTACCACAAGAGGGAGCCACATCCTAACATGAAACCTTCAGCTTTTCTTCTTTAAAGCACATCAGCTGTAGAGACAGACTCATCTCTGATCAAGTGCTTCTCATACATTAACCTTTTAAAAAACATGTATGTATAAGGTGACGAACACTCTCTGTCATGATGATCCCTAATCCTGATAAATCAACCTCTGGTGCTGTTATCATAATAATCTGAGTTTGAACTGACGTGTGTGTGATAGTGTGTGTTCTTGTGTGTGCCCCTCGAACATTTTGTGCATGTGGAGAAGATTCCCACACTCTCTCTGCTCCCTGAACACAACAGTGTGTAGAAAAAGCCTGTGCGCGCGTGTGTGTGTTGTGTGTGACGATGTTCCAAAACATTTTTTAAGGCATTTTGATAAACTGAATCTCTTTTAATGATGTATTTGAGGACTAAGATGATGCAGTTTTGAAAGTAAAATGATTAAAAACCTTCTCAGTAAAGATTTGTACACAAATCTGTAACTTTCTGATTGGCCGTTAATTACACTTTAAAAGGTTTCAGTCGGTACTGTTTGGACATGAAGGAAAAATCCAGATGTTTCAGGTCAGCTGAGTTATTTTATTATTAAACTGTAGAGAGACACAGACTTTAATCAGTGGAATAAATATGCAGGGTTCAGATCATGCAAGTTTTCAGCAACTACATGTCATTAAAAAGGAGATTACATTTATATTCAAACATACAAAGTTTTATAAATAAACAACTGAAGCAAAATTAAGCCAAATTATCTCCTTTTACGAGGGTCTGACAACCACAATGTACAATGGTCCTGTTGTAAAAATGAGTGTTTGTCATTTTTTGTACTTTTGGAGCCTTTTTAGAGCATTATCCATATTCAGAAAGACAGAAATTTGCACATAGAGAGACACTGAATAAAGCAAAAATACAAAAAGTGGGCCCTATTTTAACTCTTCAACACGTAAAGCCTAAAGCAAAGTGAGCGAGCGAGTAATGGTCAGCATTTTGGTTGCAAAGAAATTCATGATCTGGGGGCTGAACGAGGCCCGGGGTCATCTTAAGGTTGGATCATTCCCAGTAAGAGTCCGGTGAGTTTGCAGGAAGCTGTGTCCCGTTTCTAAAACTTGAGATTTTGAAAGATTTAGCTCTTACTAAATCTGCTCTTTACTGGGATGATTAATAAACTAATATATCTCGTTAGGAACCAGACTTCTGCTGATCTCCCTTGATATTCGTTAATCATAATTAACAGCTCCCAAAAAGTGGGCATTGTGACGACCTCTCAGGTATTTTGAGACAACCTTGTGTGTGTTTAACCGGCAGTGTGTTTTTACACTCTGACCTTTACTTCCTGTTGAAGCAGTGGGCAGTCAGTTACCCAGAATCCTCAGCGGAGCCAGCTGTCAGGGCCTGTGTCCAGCGTTTTCCAGCTCAGACTGTGGGAAAGTTGTCCCACAAGGCTCGCTAATATCTAACAACTGACCCCCTGCTCCCTTCTCATCCTGCTTCCTGGAGCAAACAGCTAAATATAATTCACCAAGGGTCTGAGTTTCCCGCCCCGTCTTAAAATACTGATACTGCCGACAGGAAGCTTCGGTTTTCAGCACTTCTACACCAACTTTATTTGTTGGTCATATGTTGTGTCTATCTGTGGCCATGATGCGAAGATGTCCTACTGACAATCCCAAACTTTCAAAACACGTCAAACTTTTATAACTCTCATGTTTTTCTGTCATTAAATCCGAGACCAAACCCAGTCTGTACATGAGGATGGATGGATGGATGGATGGATGGATGGTTGGATGGTTGGATGAGAGCTGGTCAGGTGCATGGCTGGCTGAGTACACACAGCACTTAACCCCATCACTAAATACCACACTACCACCACCACCACCACCACCACCTCCATCAGCAGCAGCAGCAGCAGCAGGCCATTACTGTTCAGGAAATATGCTGAATTATTCAATCACTTCCTCTCTGCATTCTCCACAGGATGCACCCAGTCTATTGAAAATCACAAACAGGGTGTGTGCGTGTGTGTGTGTGTGTGTGTGTGTATTGATGATGTGTGCATATGAACAGTCTGTGTTCATGTGAGAGTGTCTGTCTGTGTTGTAGATGGTCATGACCTACATAAGGTTGCTGTTTGGACTTCCACCAGATTAAATCAAAATTGTAAAGATTACAGCCGACTGTAAGATTATTAAAAAGGTAAAAATCAAAAGTTTTTTTGAATATTAAGAAGTCGATTTTAAGGGTTTTTCATGGTGATTTTGAAGTGCCATGAGGGTTTAATTTATACTTTTGGAGAAACGTCGTAACTTGAATGAAAGTTCATGATAGAGGATTTGGTAGTTTTGGCGCTGTAGGCAGGTGCAAAGTCCTGCTGGAGGATAAAGTCAGTATCTCCGTGAAGTTTGTTTGCATATCGAAGAACGGAGGTCTCTAAATTCACAGCAACAATAATGCTGGAGTAAGGTGTGCTTAAAGGGATATTCGGGCGTAAAATTAATTTAGGGTCAAACACACCGTAACACCGAGTTAGACACCCCATTAAGAGATGAATGTTGCCGACCACTTGCTTCTCTAGTTATACCAACTTTAGTAATGACCCCAGGATAGCAATACAGAGCGGTCTGAGGAGCCATAAACAAACCTCAACCAAAACGCCACTCTATAGCCACAAATAATGCTCAGAACAGCACCTAACTTCATCAACAGGACATATAGGGTCATAGCCATAGTACTAGCCACCAAACATCTTTGTAAGACTAAACACAACTCACCGTCTCTCTTCCAGCAGCCGCTTGTTGTAGCGAGACCTCCAGGAGAGTCCATCTACTGCAAAGGGGGGACGCAGCTCAAGGAAGAACATTTATGATCATTTCTTTATCATTTCCTTGAAGTAATAATCACCATATTAATCATTTTACACTGCAGACGCGGTAGTTCTTCTGACTGAGCGTCTCGGTCTGATTGCATTTCCATGAAGAAATGATCATAAATGTTCTTCCTTGAGCTGCGTCACCCCACTGCAATGATGGACTCGCCCAGAGGTCTCCGTACAAACAAGCGGCTGCTGGAAGAGAGTAGGTGAGTTGTGTTTAGTCTCTTCACTAAAGAAATCAGGCAAAGCTAAAGATGTTTGGTGTCTAGTACTATGGCTGTGACCCTATATGTCCTGTTGATGAAGTTAGGTGCTGTTCTGAGCATTATTTGTGGCTATAGAGTGGCGTTTTGGTTGAGCGCGTGGCTCCCTGTATTGTTATCTGTGGTCGTTACTAAAGTTGGCATAACTAGAGAAGTAAGCGGTCGTCAACATTCATCTCTGGAGGGGGTGTCTAACTCAGTGTTATGGTGTGTTTGACACTAAATTAATTTCACACTGGACTATCCCTTTTAATTAGTACGCTTACCTCACCTTCTGTTTCATTTTTGCTGAGCCTGACTTCATGGCCTGCCTGGACTAACACTTCGACGGGTCACTGAGTCTACCGCAGAACATAAACTCATCCTTTTGTGATTTGCTTTCCAGAAATGAAATTCGTATATCATCCCTCTCCTCCCACCAGAGGACTCTTGTGCTTAGGAGGTCGTTGACAAACCACATCACATTCCAGTATTTCTCTTACTCTGCCAAATAAAACAAACAAGAAGAGTCTCTGATGAGCGTTTTGATAAAGTTTGTGGGATAAGTTTTGAGACAAATGGTTTATTTTAGAGCTCAGACACAGCTGCGTCTCTGAGCGGACGCTAACTCATCATTTTGACCACTGAGTCAGAGATGAACATCTGCAAAATCAGTTTAGGGAAGTTTTAAGTGTTGGTTACACACACAGAGAGAGAAAGAGATACAAATAAGAGCTGATAACAATTTATTCAAGAAACTTTAAACAAACTGAGAAGCTGTTAAACACTTATGGTTGTGTTTTTCCTCTCAGCCCGTCTGATATTGCGCATCAGGGTCAACCTGGAGAAACCTGAATGAGAAAGCAGCTTGTGGGTTGTTGGAGTGAGAAAAAGCTGAAGACAGGACGGGGAATGAAAGAATGAGAGTGGGAGGGAGGGAGGGATGTGAATTCCAGGGGCAGGGAGAAGAGTTTTGTCATCCCAGCAGCAGAAACAGGAAGTGAGTTAAAACCTCTGTCCTGACCTCTTGACCCCTGCAGATAACATTCCCACCCTCCCTCGTCCCTGCAGCTGTGTGGAGCCCCCCCTTACTCCCTGGATCCTTCTCTCCTCCTTGTTTCCTGTACGCAAGTCCAGCTTTATGACTCTCCTCTGCTCACTGCTGTCTTTCTCTTCACTCATCATTGAAACAAACTGCAAACGACTCATTTCAAACCTGCTGAATTTGAGTGCATGCATGTAACATGAGCGATAATGCTTCCTTTGCTCATTTTTAGTGTGTTTGCACTACAGTTGTTGATACTGAAGCAACTGCCATAATAAGAGAGAAAGGGAACATTTAATCACAAAAAGACTGATAATACATTTAAGAGTTTTTGCACTGCTCACCCTTGCAGAAATCTTCATTTGTAGCAAAACATTGGGAAATTTAGGGTCCTTTCATGAAACACTAGCAGATGAATTTGTGCAAAGTTGACAGTTAGTTGGTAATTTTGCAGGTTTATTCTTCAAATTAAGTTTAAAATGCAGAAATGTGACTTTAGCTACGTTTACATGGAGCCAAATATTCCGAATATAATCGGATTAGAAGCCCAATCGGAATGAAAATGCTCCATATAAACACCTCATTCGGAATAAACAGGCCCATTCCGAATGGAATTTCATTCCGATTCACAGGGGTAGAATTTTCCTTTTCCCATTCCGATTAAAAGCAAAATCCTGTCATGTAAACGGTGAATCGGAAAGTTGTCAGGCTGGGTTCTGTCTGCGCATGCTCTGTCCTGATGTAAACAAGCAGTGACGTATGACTCACATGGAAACATGATGGCGGCTTCCAAGCAGAGCACGATGCACTGGTCTGCGTCGGAGATCACGTGATCAATCAATCACGTGATGTTTGAAGGTATCACGTGTCTGTAAATAGCTGTTCCGATTGAATGCCGTGGCACATGTAAACACCAGATCAGAATAGATCGCTTCCATGTAAACAGTTCGCCTGGGAGCTTCAATCGGAATGATTATAATCCGAATGAGAAAAAAGTCTGCATGTAAACGTGGCTATTGATAGAAACATATTTTCAGTAACAACAGAACGAAAAGGTCACAAAAGCTGTAAAAATAGGGAATGCAAAGTGTGTGTTGGTTAACCTGTGGCTCAGCGGGATGCATGACAGCGCTGTTAGCCCTCATGGTGCTCGCAATCCATGTGCACAGATTTGTGATCTATACTCACCTTTGCCTAACCTCAGCCTAACCTTTGCATGTGTTAAACAAGAAAGCTGTAGCGTATGATTCCTCTAACCCATCAAACATACCTGATTTATGTCCTTGTTCATATTTCTGTATCATGGGAGTGGGAAGCATTTCTAATATTTAGTCTACTCTCAGCGGTCGTGACATGATGCAGGAAAATGTTCTTTTGCTCGTCTTCATCATCTCATATCTCCTCCTTGTCGTCATCCTTTCCTCCCTTCCAACTGAGCAAATCCCCAACTTCCTACTGGAACACACACTCACACACACACACACACAGTGGAGACCACAGCCATGACCTCTTATCTTTTCCTATCACTGTGCCAGCACTTTGGCCATCTGAGTTCATCCGTGTTCATGACTGCTCCTGAATGCTGTCTGATACTTTTAAGACCGATAAACTTAAAAACTGATTCAGGGTTATCAGATTTTTTGTACCCGCAAGCGGCACGGCGCAGGGTGGTATTTTAGTCCAGCACAGCCTGGCACACAGCCAGTTTGGTACTTTGGTAGACCGAGGCACACATCCTTAAAATTCTGTAAATATTCAATCTGGAGTTAGGTCTACAAATGAATATTGTAATATTCAGTTGCTTGAGCCAAGTTCATTTTATAAGCCAACATTACTGACAGAAAGAGCCGCGTGGTTCCGATTTTAATGCCAATGTTAGCATTTGTTCATGTTGTGATCTGTGTGCACAACCCACCTTTGTCATGTGGGGTTTAGACATCTGCAACTTGATGTGAGTGCGGCGATGCTGTCTTCAGCCGTCTCTTGATCTCTCAGACTACTTTACGAAATTTGCAATACGCTTCGTCAGTGGCAGATTTAAAGGCGAGGAGCTGATGTGATTGGTGAAAACAGGGCTCTGCTGTGTTAAACCTTCTCATGCCTTCTCCCCTCCCTCCTTCCTACTTACGCCGCTTGGAGGAGCTGAGTTAGGGAGGGGGCTACTTACGCCGGGCTGCGCCCCTCACCAAAATATCAAAGTGTGCTAGAGGCGGAAGAATAGTTCATGGTTATGAATACAGTTAACATGATTGAAATGTGTTAAAAAAAGATAAATAAGTTGACAGTATAAAAATATAGGATTTAATAATACATAATTTCATTTATAAGTTCATATTGTGGTAAAAATGTTAAAAATATGCTAAAATTCATCTTTCATGTGATTTGGTAAATGTTTTTTATAACAGGCCTTCTTCCCCTTTAAGACCGCATGTGCGTTTGTTTTGATGGACACGTAGATGATGCAGTCAGTCAGTGCTTGGAGCTAGAGAAGCAAACGGTTTTCTTACCTGCTACTGCTTAGTTACAACAAGTGTGTTAGTTTTAGTCAGCTCCAGTCTTCATCATTTTTGTGGATCCTTGGATGTAAGAAATAAACCAGAAGATTTTTTATATATTTTCTTCACCACAAAAACGTTTCCAGAGTGGATTTTGTTGACCCGTGTAGCTGGGCTAGCGGCAGACACTGCCTGTGGAAGTAACTAAGTGCCAAGCTGAGTAAGCCATTGCAAGTTACCAAGCACTAATTCAAACCTCTACAAGCATGGCGGCCCCAACCTACGTCGTGCCTGAGCCACGCTGCTGGAGAGGCATGAAAACGGAGCGCTCAATCTGAAACTGTTAGAAAAAAAACAATGAAGCTAAAGTTAGCAGCAGATCAGCTCACAGCCCCCCAGCAAAATACTTGATTCACCTGTTTTTTTCAGTGGTTTGGAAACTTCTGTGGATAATTCAGCTCCTGTTGAAATTAGTGAGTTAATGCGAGTGTCAGCTCCGGTCACAGCCCCCTGATATCTTCAAACAGTTTAAAAAGACTGATTTAGACTTTAAAATCCTTTATTTCTCATCTGTAATGACTTTAAATACAAGATCAGTGTGTTTAGAAGAGGAAGAGGCGTCTGGTGGTGTATGAACCACATAGTTTAATACTGTTTATAACTGTAAGTGACGTTTCTATTGGGATGTAAATAGCTTTGCTAATAAGGATACACCAAACCTTGGGAACCTTTTTTGTTTGAAAATGAATCATTTATTAATTCATCTTTAAGATCGATCATTTGTGTATCTGCTTGGTAGTCGGGTCATTAACGTTTTGCTTTTTTTCGGGCTTCATTTCTTCCCTGATCATTTCAAACACATTTAACAGGATTACATTTCTGGCATGTCACCCACTCTCATTGGAGAGTGTCAGTGTCCTTTCACTCTGCTGAAGTGTCATTGAGCAGAACACAGACTCCCTCCCACCTCCCCGACCTCTGACCTCCTTTCACGAGTGTTTTTCTTTTGCATACCCATTGACAGCCATAAACCAAAGCTCTGAGTGCGTGTGAGGCCGATATCGCTTCGATCCTCGCCGACAGCGGAGCGCGGGTATCGTCTGTGTAAACACGCAGAATGGTATTTGTGGTGATTGACAGCTGTATGGCTGTTTGACGGACAGGCCGCTTTGTTCCTAAGAGGCTGGGAGGCCGACTCCGAGGGGGCACCGGGACAGCGCCCGTGGGGAAACAACAAGAGCCGCGGTGAAGATGCACATGTCGGTGAGGGTACGGGGTCGAGCAGAGTGGGGGGCTGCTCCTCACCTCTGGACACCCACTGCTTCAACAGAGGGGTCAGAGGTCACGCCAAGAAGTGGCTTCTCTCAGCAGTCTGTCTCATTACTGAGGGGAGGAGGAGCGGGCTTTTTAAAGTAAATGATTTTTTTTTTCTTCTGATAAATGTCACTCTTGTTCTTTGCATTAATTGTTCTGGCCCATGAGGAATAAGAGAGGACCATGTTTCCTATCTTAACACCTCATCTTTTAATATCACCCTGTATCTGAACGCTGAGGAGACCAGTTTCTGGAGCTGGTCCCACTTTACATTCAGTTCCAAGCAAGAAGCAGAGTGAATAAGCTCCTGTAAGACCGAAAAAGTTGCTTCTGACCATGAATAGGTATAAAAAGTGTTTTTAAGAGCATAACTAAAACATTCCTGTTTTAATGAATTTAAGCTCTTTTGCAGTTAAAGCATTTTAATTCTGTTTCTGTTGTGCTTAGATCGCGGCGTCGGAATGAGAGGTTGGGTCGGGGTAGATTTGGGTATTCTTTGTTTGTTTTATTCCTCTGCTGTGTAAATCAATCATTCAAATCTTATCAATCAAGTTTTATTTATATGGCCCCAAATCACAACAGTCATCATCCCAAGATGCTTTCCAAAGAGCAGGTCTAGACAACACTCATCGTTTGATGAATTATCAAGACCCAACCAAAGATGGGATTTGGCCCATCTCATCTAACATGAGTAACAGTGGCGAGAAAAAACTTCCTTTTAACAGGCAGAAACCTTGGGTAGGCCCAGACTGAGCACTTTGGGCTACAGGGTTTTGTATGAAAAGTTCTGTCCAAGTAAAGATTGATTGATTATTTGATCTGTTATTGCTTATAAAAACAGTTTATTAACCTGTCATAAACATCTTTAGGGTGTGAACATTCATCAGACTTTATTAAGGTTAATTGAAGAGCTTATCAAGTCTTATAAAATATTGACTAATGCCCATTACAAGGACCTTAATGTAAAGTGTGACCTTCGTTTTCCATAGTCAGGACTATAGAGCAGGACCTTTCTACTACAGAGATACGTGAAAGGTTGTAATATGTGAAAATCTGGTTTGTCATGATCTTGCTGAAATATGAGAAGTCTTTGCTGAGAAAGGTGTTCTCTAGATGTTGCTCCAAAACCTGTATCTACTGTTTAGCACTGCTGAAGCCCTCACAGCCCCCACTTTGTCTTCATCCATCCTATGTCAGCTCAGGCCCAGAGAAGTCAGGGATGTTTCTGGATCATGGTTTTCTGTTTAAATGGTGCATTTGCTGAGACGCTAGTTTTATTTCTTCTCTCCTTTTTGCAGGTTCATATTTATTATTATGTCTCAGATCAGATTCAGAAGGCACCCTGTTCACATTTAAATAGCAGGTTCACTTGCAGCAGGTGAAGCAAAACCCCCAACAAAGTTCGTCCTTGGGTTTTTACACAGGAAAGTGTGTGAAGTGGAATCAAACCAGCAACCTCTCGTATCGGGGTTGACTGTTAGACAACCAGGTCAGTCCCCTCACCCCACTGGTGAACAGGTTTATTGGTAAAAGCTCGAGGAGGAAGAATCCATACATTATTTATCCTCTCTATCACACTTTTAACATATGCACACACACTCTCTCACACACACACACACACACACACACACACACACATGCACACACTTCTGCAAAGTTAGTGTGTCGCAAATGACAGAAATAAATGTGTGCATTAATTTCCACGAGTGTGTGTGTACACTTTTATCCATGTTTGCTCATATATGTACACAAGAGTACATGCAGAACATCTGTTGTGTGTGTGTGTGTGTGTGTGTGTGTATGTGTGTGTGTGTTAGCAAGTGTGTGTGTGTGGCTCCAGAGGGAAGTGTGTAAGGCTTGAAGATGCTAAGAGCTCTGCTTTAATGCACTTTGATTTGAGATGATGAACAGAAAGGCTTCGCTTTTTTTCCCTCTAAGGCTGCACGTGCACACAAACACACTCTCACACACTCACACACACTTGCATCTTGTTTCTCCTTCTTTAATAATCCCCCCTCCTCTCTCCTCATCTCTTTTTGCGCACACACACACACACACACACACACACACACACACACACACACACACACACACACACACACACACACACACACACACACACACACACATCTGTACCCACTGCTCTGGGAAGCCATTAGTGTGACCCAGCCTTGATTACTTATTTATGGGCTCAGCAGAGTAAAGTGAGGGAGTGGAGCACCAGGGGGCTTCATTTATAAAACTGTTGTTTGACTTCACCCACATCTCAACACACACTGGGTTTATCATTTCCAACAATGTTGGCAAAAAGAGACGATTGAGCATTTAGACCGAACGATTTTAGCAGGAACTTTCTGAGCCAACCAAAATCTCTCAATGGTGCAAAGCCTGATGGGAGAATGTGTGGTGTCCAGGAAGTAAAAGTTCTTAAAGTAATACATCCATGACTGGCACTGTTATGACATTATAAGGTCAATCTTCAACATGTTGTCCTTCAGTAGGACAAACTATCACTAAGCTGCAGGAGGAGGCAGGTGTGCATCTGAAAAGCCAAGGGACAGAGTAAAGCACGACAACAGAGCAGCTGTAGTGATCACGAGCATGAACAAGCTAACATTTGCCGGGCTAAAGAGCGACTTTGCTCCACATCTTATAAAAACATAAACCCTTATTTTTGAGACTGAACGATGCTGGATGTGCTGCAGCCTGTGGTCAAAGGTAGCTCAGCCTATTTATGTTTAACTCTCATGGTCTGGTCTGATGTTGCTCCGTGAAGCTACCAAGTCTGGGGTCGCTGTAAACAGAAGTCACAGGTTGAACGTTTTAGGACACTTTCTCCTTAGAGGGATATTCCGGCGTAAAATTAATTTAGGGTCAAACGCCAACCGCTTACTTCTCTAGTTATACCAACTTTAGTAACGACCGCACGATAGCAATACACAGCGGTCTGAGGAGCCATAAACAAACCTCAAACAAAACTCCACTCTATAGCCACAAATAATGATCAGAACAGCACCTAACTTCATCAATAGTACATATAGGGTTCCAGTCACAGTACTAGCCACCAAACATCTAATTTCTTCAGCAAAGAGTCTAAACACAACTCACCGTCCCTCCTCCAGCAGCCGCTTGTTTGTACAGAGACCTCCGGGCGAGTCCATTAACTGCAGCGGGGGGACGCAGCTCAAGGAAGAACATTTATGACCAATGATTCATCATTTCCTTGAAGTAATAATAATCATATTAATCATTTTAAACTGCAGACGCAGTAGTTCTTCTGCCTTAGCATCTCTGTCTGATTGTATCTCCATGAAGTAATGATCATAAATGGCTTTTTGGTTGGGGGCGTGGCTCTCTGTATTGCTATCCTGCGGTCGTTACTAAAGTCGGTATAACTAGAGAAGTAAGCGGTCGGCAACATTCGTCTCTCGATGGGGTGTCTAACTCGGTGTTACAGTGTGTTTGACCTTAAATTATTTTACGCCGGAATGTCCCTTTAAACAAGAGCGTGGGAGACGCTGTAGGCAGAAAACTTGCCTCTCTTCCTCTCTGGTTTATTTATCAACACCACTGACACTGTACTTGACTGAGTTTGTTACAGGGCTGATGTAACTGCGGTACAAAAGTTAAAAAAGTTCTGATCTTGTATGACAACTTTTCATCTCTGCCAGAAATCTTGCCAAGATTTAATAAGAGATGAGATCTTGCTTCTCTGGATTTTAACACACACCCATATTAGTTAGCACCTCATAATGCCTGTGTCTCAAATATCTCTGCTAGCATAGTCTCTCAGGCTAAATGTATTGGTAGCAGTTCGAGGGCCAATGTCCAGCTGGGTTAACGGTTAATGGGCTGATGGGTGAATGGAGCAAATTCAGGACTTTGTATAAGAGACTAATTCTCACATATTTACATTATTGACATGCAAAAACATAGAAGATAACTTCATTAACTTTGATCCATCCCAAAACTATGAAGATGTTGCATTGAATGACCTTATAAATCACAGGACACAGACAGGTGATCATTTTGGAAACTACTTTTTATTGGTTCATCTTTAGCCAGGAGGGTAGCAGCAGCCACACCACACCAAGAGGAACAAATCAACAAAATGAAAAAAGACAAACAACAACAACAACATCATCGGTGCTCTTCCTCTTCCCTGAAAATAAATATTTCACTCATCAAACACCATCCTCATGATTAGTGCTACTGCCAATGTTGCAACCATTTAAATAAATACCCATGAAGCAATATCAGCAGTGAAACAGAAAGTGTGAAATGCATATTGTTCCATATATAATATATTCATTTTAGATAGATTTCTATATATATTTGTTCCATATACTCTCCTTAAACTCTTTTACAACATACAAGATGCCAATTTGTACCAAAAGCGATGCTTGCTAAGACGTGAGAGGAGAAGTTTACTGGTTATAGTGGCAGCCTGCGTACGTACAGCGTCAGACAGGGTCCCGACACGGGCTCCTCTCCTGAAGGAGGGAGGTCTGAAACCTTTGGAGGATCTGGATTGATGTAGTTACAGATACACACATAGCAGTCAGGAGAAAGTATGTGAAGAAGTGAAGTCTGGAGTTTATCAGCAGAAACACAAAAACAAGAATGTCGACTGCTCGTTTGAGATACTTCTCTTTAATTTGATGACACCTAATGCAAATTTTTCTGCACCGCAAAACACTTCGAGTGTGACCCTTTTTTGTGCCTATTTGCAGATTTCTCTGTGAAAAAAGGCAAATCTGAAAAAAATCATGTTCCAAAAGTTTACCATTTCGAATTAAAATCCTCTTAAGTTGATCCATCTGGACCTCGGCATCCTGCTGTGTGTGTGTCTGTTAGCAGTTATGATTGGACAGCTGTCGGCATCATTATTGTAGTTACTGTGAGCACAGATGAAACCAAATAGTTAAAATAAAAAACAAAATACATTTTCTCTTTGCAGCATCATTCAGCTCAGATAGAAAACAATCAGGGTAACGAATAAAAGTTCCTCGAGTTTCTCCCCCCAAAGCACCAAGATGTGACTGAAGTCATCCAGCTAATGTAGAGGAGACAGCATGTGTGTAAACGTGTGTGTACGTGTGTGTGTGCAAAAACACACCTGAGGCCTCGACCACATAAATGCAGACAAATCTGAAAACCAGCTTAAGGTTCAGTCCTGGTTTTCGAGTGCTTTTGCAGCGTTGTTTTCATTACAAAGAGCATGCATGCAGGAAAGACAGAGCCAGAACATTATCAAACAGCTCCCTTGACAAGCACACATCAGCATATTTAAAAAGAACACTTCCTCTTCCTGTCTACGCCGTCACATAGACTTCGGCATTTTCCGATCTTCACTCTTGTTCGGAAGAAAAGTTTTCAGATTCATCAACATAAGTGTGGACGTAAAGAGGTTTTCGTCAACAGGTGTCGTAACTAAGACGGTGAATTTTTGTTGCCAGTACTTCTAACAATATTAATAATAATAATAATCATAATCATAATGTCACAGGCTACAGTAAAAGTAGTGAAAGTTGCTACACTTGAATAGTAAGGCCATAATTAGACCGAGTGTGTCCTCCTCAGCATTCAGTCTATCTATGATGAGAAAAGAAACTTTTAGGGCAACATCAGTCAACAAGTCTTGTCTTATTGTCGTGTTATTGCTGAAAACAGACTGGATGGCATAAAAGAAAAGCCTTTCTCTTGCATAAACTCACAAGAGCAAATGAAGCGAGATCTTATGCAAGTAAACAAAAAAATGTTGTGTTCAAATTAAGCGAGCACAATATCACAATGTTCCTGCGCCATGTAAACTTGTTTAAGTAAGAGGATAATGTAATGTAAGAAGTTTGTCTTGAGCCCATCTTCTGCAATCACTAAACTTGGTGACATTGTTAGTCCAGATGAGGGATCAGCATGTTAACTTGTCTTTATATTTACTTTAGCTCTGCAAACCTAAGCTACACACTGGAAACCAATTTTATCATCATTTACCTGCAGATGCAGCAGTCCTGTGTTCAGTACTGCTAAATAAATGGTGCTTATTTTAGACTTTCTTTGACTTCTTGGCCTGCTTGAACTTATATTTCAATGTGACTGACTGCAAAATTAGTTGCTGAACATCCCTGATCTGGACATCATCGCAGAGGATGGAAAAAAATAATAATAATAAGGGAGCTCTACTAGGTCTGCAGAACATTTTGGCCAAGAAAGTCAATAAAAATAAACAAATGCTTGAAAAAATTATTGATAGGTGGATTAAATCAACAAAACAATACTGCAGTTTTGCTAATTTCTAAGCCCTTTATAAGCATTTATAAGGCATCAGAGGCTCTAAGCCAGAGTGTTACCATGCAAAAAATTGTGAGTTGCGTAATTTGTTTGAGGATTTTCTGGTTGCCATAATCAAAAAAATGAGGAAACAGACCTTAAGATAAGTTGTGTCCCCCCTGAAAGACATGATTGTTTGATTGGCTGAGGACGAATGATTACAGGGGATCATAACTGGTGGCTTCTACGTGGCTCCTGATGCTTGTCGGATGGTTGCTGCCAAAGTTACCCCAAAAGTTCCTAAATCAGTCACACGTGTACGGTAAAAAGTAAATATTCACTCTAATAGGAAACAGTCCTATTAATATCAGTCTCATCAAAATGAAATAAAGCAGAGTAAAAATAGTCATACGGTAAATAGCCCGTATTTACATATAAAAATATAGCAAAGTAACTTTGAACAAATCAAGTCTGTGTGTGTCTGTGCTGAAGTTACTGATCCTGACTAACACACACTCATACAGAGAAGCATCCACACATCACCACACACACTCTGAACTCTTGCACATGCATGTACACGGGTCTGCACACACGCACACACACACACGTGCACACACCTGATGCTGTGTGTGTGTTGTTTTGACTCAGATTCGAGCCCTCCCTTTTAGAGAAGCCGTGCGCTGTCGCTGCGTTTAGATGAACTCTTTGCCGTGTACCTGAAGAGCTGCAAAAGTTCAGATATTTCATCTCCATCCGTCTCACTGATGACATCAACCCCTCTCCTCTCAGCATCCCTCACTCTCCCCATCATCTGTCCATCTGCCAAACACCACAACCCCACTCATCCTGCCCCCCCCTCCCTCCCACGCTCCATTCTTCTCCGGCCCATTAAGAGCTATCATGAAGCTAATTGCCTGTTTGATCAACTCTCTGTGGACCAGGAACTGGAGGCTTTTAGCCCTCTGAGCGTAAGAGGAGAGGCGGACGAGGCAAGAGGGGATAGATGGGTGTCTGGGAAAGATACGCCTCGTGTCAGCCAGCTTTTGCTCACTGTGTTTGGTGGAGGCTGTGTTTTTTTTTTTTTTCATCTTTCTGTGCTGTGATGATTTCAAAACAGGATAAGAGGAGGAAGTCATAAACTTTATCTATCTGGGTCATGTGCTGGAAGATTTTCATGCTCTGTCCTGTAAAAAGCACTGAGTGACTAATGAGCAGGCGTCCTGGCAGTCTGGCTCTCCAGCAGTCCTTGGGGTTTTCTCATAAAAGAGACCGTATAGCCTCAACAAGCTCATAAAGGTCTTTACCATCTGAATACTCTAACTATAAAGCCAGTGCTTTGTTCCCTCAGGTTTAAATGTCAACCTTCCTGATTTGTATTGTGAATATTTCCCCTCTATAAGATCGATCTGGCATATGTGGCAGGGTGTTGGAGTTTCTTGCATTAAATGGTTTTCAGTTTGCAGAGATGCAGTTGCACTGATGTATAAAATGCAGATTGTTTTGGGGGGTTTCACATGCACAAGAGCATGAGCTGTGGCATTCAGCAATGTGCAGGTTCTGTGTGACTGTGTAGCTCTTTGCCATGTGGAGTTTGCGGCTTTTTATTGTGACATGAGTTTGGCTTGGCTTTACTATGACTGTTTAAAAATACAATCAGCAACAGTTGTCCCACCAACCTCTTATCCTCACATAGACGGCAGCTGGAAAAACTGAAATAGTTTGAGTTAAAAAAGTTAAAAAATATCAGATATTTAAAGCTCCTGTGGGAGTTTCTTTGGCATTTTTAAAACAGACTTAAATTCATATTGATGCCTTTTTATTCTATAGTACTTCTATGGTGGTATTATAACGCATTAGTTGGTACCAAAGTACTATTTGTGTATCCGCTGAATACAAGCTTTGATTTGAGGATGGGAGGAGAGATGGAGGAGGCGGGGCAGCAGCGAAGGAGGTCGGTCAGAGGAGGGAGGATGGCGACAGACTGACTTCAGGAGGAAACCTGACCAGACCCTCAGAGCTCCACTATAGCAGGCTAAAAATAAGACAAGGGAGGCTTCTTCTGCTGACAAAACAACTTACACTCAGGCTCTACATACACAGGTTGTTGTACAGTAAGAGGACACACACACACATACACACACACTGTCTCGTCACACTGGATGCACCCTCCCTCCGGTTAAATAACCTCCCATTCAGCTCTGGGCTGCAGGGAAAACATTGTCCATCTACCTCACAGTGCTTTTCCTTTACAAATCAGCGTAATAGCACTGAAGTCACTCCGTCTGTACAGTGCATGGTCCCTTTTTGGTTGCAAACTGCTGTAACAAGTGTCTGTGTTCTCACTCTATGCTTTGGTGCTTTGTCCCAGTCTGATATTCACCAAAGCACCATGTTGGTTTTCCTTATTCATTCATCTTCAGCTACTTAAGGAAATTTCTGAATGTCTTAGTGATTGAAGTCCTCGCCTGCCGTGCCTCTCCTCACTCTCTGTTTCTAGAGGACAGAAACTCTGTTGGCAGGGACCGCACTCATCGCCTCAGGCATCTTTCCTTCATGTGTTGGTCCAACGCCCGTCTCTGAGCACTGAGTTCTCTTTGCAAACGTGGGGAAGAAGGAGGTTCAACAATAAATAAAGAGGATTAGACGTCCAGATTACAGCACAGAACGCAGACGGAGGTGGTTTTTCTCTGTGAGTCTTGGTTAAGGTTGAAGGTCCTGCAAAGCACGTGAACGTCTCCTTCGTGGGGAGTAGTTTCTGCTTTAGGCATTGAGACTCCAACATGAACAGGCACAATAAAGCTTTGGTCCCTCCTGAGCTGGAGAAGAAGAAATTCAAGGTACATAAGGTGAACAACACTTCACGGTCAGTTGATTGGTTGGCTTGTTGTATGCAGGTAGGTGGGTCACAATGGCATTGTCGTCATAATATCAGCTGCAGCGCCGTGGGCGACAGCATTGCTTTGGCGACGGCTGAGGGGAGATGGGTTTACCTGGCCCCCATCTAGGCCTGTCATAACGGCTTCTCCAGGGCCTTGCTGCGGAGTGTGGGGTGACCAGGGTTTGGATTCGAAGCGGAAATCTTGCGGCACACAGTGTTGGTGTTGCTACATCTGCAGCCGGGGCGTGTGGTGCGGTCGTGGGCACACTGGCACAGGGCAAGGCACAGCCTGGCAGGGGGGTAGCAGCAAAGGCAGGGCAGACAGAGCGCCAGCAGCCCCATGGTGCCCCAGCGAGCACAAGCATGAGCTGGAGCACAAGAGCACGGGCGATCGGCACAGTTATCCTCATCATCCTGGGCAGAGCAATGGTAGAAGAGACCTTTTACACAGCACAAGCAGGTGCCGTACTCCACTGCGCTCTCAGCCGAGCACAGACAACGCTGTCCACAGGCCCAACATGAAGGCAGGCGGCGAGGCGCGCAGCACTCATGGCACTTACAACGACCGCAGCGCTCACAGATGAATGAATGAAGGCCGAGCTCCGCCTCGTCATCTGTCAGACCTTTAACGACGGACACGTCAGGCTTGAGTTCTCCCTTAGGCTGAGAACGAACCACAGACCCGAGACCAGAGTGAGATGAGGTCAAACCTGCAAGAAGCCGCTGGTCCGACGTGGCACTTGTCCGGGACATGGAAGAGCTTATGGTACTGGAACGGCTCAAGTGGGCCAGGTGAGCATGCTGCTGCTGACTTTGGCTGCGGGACAGGGCTGAGTGGAAGGAGGACTGGGGGTGGTGGGAGTATATTCCTTGAGGGTAACCGTCATCATAGGCGTAAAAAAATCCAGACTGGGATGCCGGCTCCAGGGCAACAGGCCTCTCCACATAGTCATTGTTGGCCCGGATGGCACGTATCTGTTCGAGCGACAGCACAGGGACCTGCTGGAGGTCCAGGCTGTCCAGCTCCACCCTGTAGGAATGAGCAGGGTCCATTCTGGGGAGCCAGGCCGGGTGGCACCAGGGCTGAAGGCCGGTGCTCCCAATGCTCACGGCACATCAGATAAACCTGCAAACACAGGGAAAGAAAAACTGATGAGTGGTGGTAGAGTTAACTTCTAATGGAGCAACCATTAAGATCCAGCGAGCAAGTTTAACAGACAAGCGAGAAAATATCAACCTCAGATTTCGAGAAATGAAGCCGATGTAGAAGTGCTAAAAACAGCTGTTCCCTGTGTATCAAGATGTTAAAGGTTAAAAGATTGGTGAATCAGAAGCACATTTGACTTGACGGACAGGTGGGCACACTGTTGCTATTTCAGAGGAGGCTTAAGACCTGCCTCTGTTCGGTCAAATCAGCATTACCAAAACAGCAACCAAAATCCTGAACTTAATTCAAGCCTCACAGTCCCTAATAGGAAAATAACCAAAACTTATATCAAACAGTAGCCGACAAACTCCTTTTAAGATGTTTGAACGGCACTAAAGCAAAGATGGACCCAGCAGCACCGCCTACACACAACCATCAGCCATGTCATCATGACCACTGAGGTTCTCCACTGCTCAGGCTAACGCTATTATTAGCCTGCCAGAGCCAGAGAGAAACAACCATGAGGTCCACACTGTAATTTAGCGTCTGTCAAACACAGCTGCTGCTGCTGCTGCTGCTGCAGAAACCCACCTGCACACAGAGAGGCTGGCTGTGCCACCAAGCAGGGAGAAATGACAGAGGAGGAGAAACAGAGATTTATTTCATCTGCATGAGGGTGCAAGAGGAGGTGGAGCAGTCCCATTCAGTTAATCTTAATCATTTAAACCGAACAGCAACCACTTTAAAACACTTACACCAAGTCAGAGGTCACCAATATCAAAAGCTGAACTGTTTTCACTAGAAAGTATGTGGATTGTTTGAAATCTCTCAGCTTTCTAGTGAAAAAAAAAACTATTTGCATTAAGCCTCATTTAGTAAAAAGCATCCCTCTGTGACCTCTGAACTTTCCTTCAAGGTGAAGTTGTTTAGAGCCACATTTGGTTCTCAAATTTCTGTTTTTTTTGTTTTTTTCTTGCATCTCAAGGACAGCCATACTGCCAACATTTTACCAAGTTGGGGTTTGCAGACAATTTCTCCAGGAAGCAATGGGCACACAACACAAACAGCAAACAAAATAAACACAGGTGCAGTTTGAGAGTATACACCAAGATCTAATCTGATGTTGTGCTCCAGTTTGGTCTTGTGTGTTAGATGGATAGTATCCATGTTGATCAAAGCTGCTGAGTTGACTTCATAAGCTTGTAAGGAGTTGGCGAGGAGCCTCACTTTAAACTCTCGCCACTTCCTCGGATTATTGATACCAGTTACATAGCCGCTATTATTCCAGCCATCTCATCCTGTAGCAGCTGACCTTGATTTGTTGTGTTACAGCCTTTCCTGAATCTCCTTCCTGCGTGCTGAAGACAGCCACTACTGACTTTTGACGATATATTTATGAAATTTATCATTTGCATGTAAGAGTTTGCACAGATGGATAAATGGATATATCCAAAGCAAATAGACCCTCAATATAAGAATAACTTTTAAATCTTTATACAGGAAAAGCTTTGCGTTTCTCATACTTGTTAGAATAATGTGCATAAATGTATATAGAAGTTATCATTATTCCTCATATTCTTATGTAAGAGTTGACTACAAGTATAAACTGTTTTGGTATCTTTTTATACATTATATAAGAGTGTTTCCTAACTTCTCTCTCCAATAGATTTACTACACAGCACAACAATGTTACTTTCAGTTTTCTGTGACTGTGTCTTTCCTATCAGCAGGTGGGGGTGTGTGAGTGATGGATCCTCCGCTATAAATCGTGGGGAGTTTTTGAGGAGGTGCCGCTGTTATCAGAAGGAGCTCGTTAGATGCCGCCTTGACCTTCACATATTCACAAGTTGCAAATTATTATGCTTTATGAGAGTGCTTACGTTGCTACACATATTTTTCTCCACCCTTTTAGAAACATTGTGTAACCAGGGACAAGACTAAATAAAAGAGACTGGGCGGAAATACCTTTAGAGTGGTTTCGACATGGTACCTGAAGCTATCTCGGTCCATTCTCCTCGAGTATATACCATTGTCTTTCTCTTCTTTATATGTTATCAGGTAAATGTTGCAGGTTTTAGACCTAACATACTGAAAATGATCGGCCAGAATTAGCCTAAAAATATCAGCATTTCTGATTTCAAAAAATGCAATATTGTGCATTCCCATATTCAACATACAGGATTTTGATAAAACAGACGTCTGTGATTGGGGACAGTATTCATTGTCATGGCTTTAAAGAGCTGCAGATGCATGAATGAATGAAGCTTTGCAGCAGTAAGCTCCTTAATGCAAGACTGTGTGAAGGTGTGGACATGGTCATAAGTTCTGCAGTGTGTATCCACGGTGAAACATCTTTGCACACATCAGGGCATGTTGCAACTGCAAGGCCTGATGAAGCTGCTGTTTGTGCTGCGGCTGCATTTTCCACGGACTTCCTGATGCAATCCTATATAAGAATGATAGACAACTGTATGGTCTCATATAGACGTGCTTTTTTTCTCAAGAAGAACAAGTATGCAGAAAACTGGATGCAATGAGTCTCAAATATTTCCTGTTCAGTTCTCTTGTTACATTGTGAGATTATTTTTACAAGCCTGCTCTGCATGTTGATATTCAACAGTTTTAACTCCTCTTCGTGTTCTGCAGCTTTGCTATACCATCAGTAGAAAATACATTGCACTTGGTATTGTTTTTATGTCGTAGAGAGTCTGCTTTGTTTTGTTTTTGGGTGAGTAATAAGTGATAACTAATTATTAAGATTTCCAAAAATCAGTCATAGAGAAAACTTTGAGTTTGCATCCCTCCCTGATAGTCTGAACTTTCTTAGAGTGCAGCAAATGCACGAGTTTAGTGGACTTAATTTGATTAAAGGTCCATGTCTAGTTTTTACTGATTTGAATCTCTGTGCAGACATCAGATAAGCCTTGAATGAAAGTAAAAGTGGTCTGGTATAATATCTGTAAGTCAGTGTAACACAAAGACAGCTGAATCCCTTCTTAACATGCACTCAGTGAACTGTACACACATATACACATTCAGATATACATACACAAAGATACTGCAGTCCTGCCAAGTGGCCAAGGGGGAGAGATATCTGGCTCTCTCCTCTGGTGGTGCCAGTCCTCTCAGAGAGTAATGAGGCCAAATGGAAATGCATTTAAAGCAGCCCAGATCATGAGATTAGATGGAGGAGGGAGGTAAGAGAGAGCAGCAGCAAATCTCAGACAACATCTAGCCGAAGAGAAATAATGGGTTTCTGTGGAGATTTATGACTCAAGAATCACTCAAGAACTCTGAAAACCTGTTGTCCTTTAGATTTCTAATGCTCACCTCACCTCTGATAGCAAAGTCAGACTTTTAGGAGGAAGTAGAGGCTTTTAAACTTTGCTCTAAAGATCTGTGCACTGAAACCTCTCACTGTATCAGAAGCGTCCAGCTCCTTTAGTTTGTAGCAGCTCAAAACTGGGTTAGAAATAAGGTTTCATTCATGACTTTTTTAGAGAGTGAGCTTTTCATTCAATCAGAGAACAACTGGATTTTTTCTTTACTCTTGTAACTCGAACATGCATTCACATTTATAAACCCAGATCATGTCTATGTCTTGGCTTTAAACATCACCGCTCTTGTGATCGCTACCGTCACTCTCTGGTCACACGGAAACACACACCTGCCTCTTCCTTTTACAGAGCTTACTTTGGTTGTTGTAAAACCTGCACTGATCTATTGTGACACCTGACGTTGAAAGAAGACTTGTACATTTGAGTCAAACGTTTGTACGTTTGTTGCGTTTTCACTAAGTAATTTGGTAAAAGTTTGATAACTGCATAAGTTTGTCCTCTTGTTCAGAAAGTAAAAGGACAAAGCAGCATCAGGGAAATCCAGAAGCAATAAGAGTGGAGATGTGGGATGTGGATGAAACCCAAGACCAGCGATCCATCACTGGATCGGAACAAACAAAACAAAAACCTCTTCCTTTCCTCCAGGCTTTCCTCAAAAGAGTCTCCTGTACAAAGTGCAGCAGTCTCAGCAGAAAGGTGCTCTTCCCTTCATTATCTCTCTGCATCTATCGCTGCAAAGGAGCCGATAAGGAGGCCCAGGTTAGTTGGATGAGGATGCATTTTCAAATTAGTCGGAGGAGAGAGGAGAAGTCCTGGTGACTAATCTCATCAGGCAGAGCGGTGGCTGTGGCTCACTCATACTCTGCTCGCCTATCAGACCATCTAATTGTTAAAGAGAGGAGGCCTGCCCTCCATTTCCATGACCTCATATTACTTTACTGGTTGAGCAAACCACTGCCAACTCCTCCATCAAGACACAAATACTGCAAGTCATGTCAAACAGTGGAGACTGTGGTGGAGGGTACCTCAAAGTTCGACTCTGATGTGGAGCTGATTGGTTGATTGATTAACCAAGGATTCCACGAGTATTGAAAGTTTGAAAACTTTTATTTTGTCTTTTTACTGTGTAACGTGTTTTTATGCAGAATATACACAAACTTTGGAGATTATTAATGCACATTTTGTAGAGTTTTATAAAACCAATGGTATGATTAATAGGATGAAATAAGGTGCTAACCTACATGCGTTCTGCAGACTTCAGCTTATTTGCACATATTTTACTTCATGTTCTGTAGAAATTGATGCTAAAATAGTTTCTAGCACCAAAGGGAGTGTCTGTTATCAAGCCTCCATTAACAACAGCTGGAAGACGAGAAAGAGGGAGAGAGAGGGAGAGAGAGAGAGAGGTGGAGGGTGAGGAGAGCAGCACCTTCCTCTCTCACATTACAAATGCATCTGTGTGAAGTCGGTTCTTGTTTTAAAGACACGTGTTAAACATACAGCGCCAAGAATTTAGCTACATTTAGCAGAACAGACTTTACAGAATCATCTAACCATGAAAATTCTAGATTTTTGGCTGAGAATGAGCCTCTTATTTATTCCATCTTCCATGTTTCTAGTGCGTGGCCTCCTAAAACACACCGATTGGGACATTACAAAAGAGAAGAGGGAGTAGCTGTTATGTGTAAAAATAATTGGTATTGATTGGTGTTTTTGATATGTAGAGCATGGAAGGACTAGAAGAGGAAAAGGGAGCAGTGAAATCTGCTTTTATTTGTAGCTTTCATCTGGAAAACTGATCAATACTTTAGAGCCGTGTATGACTGAGAACTCTTGATGTCTGAGAATTCCTCATGGTTTTAGTCCTTTTTTCTCATATGTATAAAAAACTTTATTTGTATATTTTCATAAACCACACCGACAGTATTTGATGTAGAAAATGGAGATAAATCCCTTTGTTGGCTGTGTCTGGTTAAAAATTAAGTTACAGTCAAACACACTGTAACACAGAGTTAGACAACCTGTCGAGAGATGAATTTTGCCGACCGCTTGCTTCTCTAGTTATACCAGGCAACATTCATCTCTCGATGAAAACTGGAGGACCTTTAACCACTCGATGTGAATGTTAACTTGTTAGAAGGACTGAGAGCTGCTGATGTTTCCTCTGCTAGAGGTAGCCACACTCTGCAAAAAAACTGAACATCCACTGTGGTCCTATTTTTAGGAGTGGAGGATAAACTACTCATTTTTCACAGGTTTGTAAGCTGGATGGTGATGTTTCTATTCAAATGAGTGGGAAATAAGTCTCTTTGGAAGATCCTTGAATAATTAAAGTGACGCTTTAACCTCGTAGATAGTCCTGCACAAATTCTTTTACATGGTTGCAAGACAAGTCACTGATCTACAGGTGGCAGTAGCACACCAATATGTGCAGTCATGTGCCGATAGTTAAAGAGAAGAAGAGTTCAATTAAACAGATATGACTGGTTGAAACAAACATGGACCTGGTGATGATATTCATTCATCTCTAATGAAGCCAAATGTTAAAGGTTGCCAACTTAGAAACAGGCGAGAAGGTGGAGCTGAGGTTAAGATATACAAGTATAGATACCACCTCATAATTCATGATCATAAACAGCTTCACCAGAGTTGAGACGAGGTGGTGAAAACGGTTATTAATTTTTCCGAACATACATGTGTGATTGGTAAAAATGGTGATTGTCAAACTGAGAAACCGAAACAGTTGCGCAGAGAAACAGAGAGAGAAAGAGAGAGAGAGAGAGAAAGAGAGAGAGATGGTGTGTTTCTGAAGGCAGGCAGTGGTAACCTGAGGATAGACCTCTGAGCTCGGGGAGTATCAGTGATGACTGAGCCTCTACCCTGGGACAGACACACACTCAGAGACACACTCATGCTCCATCACTCTGTTCCTCCAAAACACCCACTGAAAAACACCCACTAAACACACTCTCAATGTAGCTAAAGCTGGATACGAACTATAAGATACTTCAACTATGTAAAAAAAAAATGTCCATGTCTCTGCCATCAAATCTAGTGATCCCTACTAAAAGTGAAGATTTCTGCTGATCAGTTACCCAAATAAAAAGGAGGTTACAAAAAAGTGACTTGTTGGACTGCAAAAAGTCACTTTTAGACAGAATAGAAAGTCTAAAATAGAACAAAAAAGTCCTAAATTTTGCTTCACAGGAAAAAAAAAGTTCAAATGAAGTCATGATCACTCCTGTAAATGCTAAAAAATGTCGTCTCATTTGTTTTTATCATCCTCTTACAGTGTCAGTATGTCAGTATGTTCACAGATTGGTAGGAAAATTGATTTGTTGCTGAAGTTCGACTGAAACTGGACTTTAAAAATACATAAAAACACTCGAGTCCAACACCAAATCAAATGCATTTATCCATTATTTTTCATGCTAACTTCATCAGTGTTGTATGAAGTCCGTTTACTGAAGGTTGGACCCCTTACGTAACTTTTAAAAAGTTCCTGGTGAAAATGTCTGAATTCAGCACCATAAAAGGAAACAAACTTCTGAACTGATCTAGTCTCTCATCCGTCCTCTCACGATCCGACTTCCTCACAGTCTGAACTCGACCTGCTGATGGTCGATGGAGTTTAATGGACAGAGCATCTCAGCGTCTCTCCCAGATGACATCATGGTTTCAGGCTATTTAAAACTGTCTGCAGTGACCCTTTGGCTCGGAGCGAGGAGGGGTTGCCCTCTTCCCTCCTCTCCTGTCTTCTCTTTTTCCTCCCTTCTTCCTTCCTCTCATTTTCCCTCCCTATTCTGTCACCTCCTCTCCTCCCCTTGAATCACCTTCAACTCTTTTTCCTCTGATGTCCCGCTCTTCACTCTTCACTCTTCGCTCTTCGCTCTTAGCGTGGCCTTTTCCCGGAGATTGAGACGAAGATCCACAAAAAGTAAAAACATTTTGGACTGAAAAGAGATAACTCTTAAAGTCCTGTATGTAATGTAATTTAATGTAAATAAATTGCCATCAAGCTGCTCTTTTGACATATAAAATGTGAATTAAGTTGCTGTTTTAGCTTATAAAATATAAACAAAGTGCCTTGTAGTTGCTCTTTTCCTGTTTAAAGATGTGAACAAAGTGCCAAACTGGAACATTTTCCTAATTAGATGTTTGGTTCATGGTTTGTTTCATGTAAATAGTCTTTTATACTACAGCAGGTGCCCTCTTAGATATTTTTGCCACTGCCCCACAAACATCTGAAGTACGCCGCAGTAAGTTAAGATGTCTCCCAGGCATGTTAAAATGCTATTAATGACAATATAACAAGAATTATACTGCGATAAAGGATGACTTACAGCCCAGTTACAGACCCAGCAAAAGCCATCCAGTCAGAATCACACGAGACCTCTGATGAAATAAGTATTGAGGTTTTTATTTTCTGCTGTTGTAACATAAAACACAATGAAAACTAGTCATTAATCATATAAACTCTGTCTCTACTTTGGATGCCTGTACCAAAAATGGTGCAATCTCATAAAAATACAAGTGCATCATGTTAAGTGTGTATGAAAACAGAAGTCGTATAAGGTTAAAGTATTTAACTCGAACATTGCCAGGTCTTCAGTGTGTGTGTGTGTGTGTGTGTCTGTGTGTGTGGTCCATCAGGCACTAAGACCCTGGGGCCTCCCTGCTGATGCCCTCTGGGAGCGCAGCAGGATTGAATGACAATAAACTGGATGAGATACCGGATGTGCCGAATCTGACCCCAACGGAAAGACTGAAATAGACACTGCAGACCAGCAAGTCCAGGCAGAGAGGGGGGGAGTGAGGGAGTGAGGGAGTGAGGGGCGATGATACTAGAAATGATAAAAATGAAAGAAGAGGAGAGAGAGATGCAGAGAGGGAGATAAGAGATAGAGAAAGTCTATGATGTTAAATTCTGGTCTGTACTCGGCATGCTAGCATCGCCATAGCAACTCAGAGCATGTGTACAATCATCCATAACCCACTGTCACTGTTTGACCTGATATACTAGACCTGATAAACATACCAAGGTTCTCATGTGACCTGGAAAACCTGAAGAACTGTTTTCTAATCGCAGAAAACACATGAAAAGGAGATTTAGGAGACACTGCTAACAGCAAGCGTCAGTTTTGTTGTGTCTAGATAGCTGTTTTATGTTTTAAAAAGCTGAATGATATTGAGATTTTTGGACATTGGCTGGTAAACAGCAGTTTGCAGAGTATGGCTATCACTTGTTTACATCCAGGTAGTGGTGCATCACAGTATGTGTTTGTTTAAAATGCTACTGCAACGATAAGAAGCTGCACAATCAGTTTATTTCATCGTCTCAGACAGAAGCATGCAGACTCACACTGCTCACAGACACCTGCTGAAAACAGTTCATGTTTGCAGAATCGTCCAAGAGACACAGTAAAAAGCTGTGACTGATGCGGCCATGCTGCTTATACAGTGGAAAGCCCTGATTGTATCAACCCCAAATATGTGTTACTCAGCTGTGAGTGTGTTGCTGAAGCTGGAGGGGGCTGTGGTTTCATTCCACAACAAAAGACATATGGTCCAGTCTAACCATGCAGCTTCACGTTTCAGAGCGCGAGACAGAACAACCTCACTGCAATGAGACAGGAACCCGTATATCAGCAGTAGATTTAACCTACAGACAGTGTTGAACAGGATGAGGGGGTAAGGCTGTCGGCAGGCCTGTTTAGCACCTGGATTCTTCTACTTCTGAGTCCTACTGTTGTAATCCCTGCAGAATGAGGTTTATCATTGTTTTGTTGAAATATATGAGGCCTTCCCCGAAAAAGTCAGCAGTCTGTGTTTATGGAGACATGGAAAAACTGCACCTACAGGCAATGATTTCTGGAGGTAATGTTAAAGGTATGCAGTGACCCCCACTACAGAGTGTGTGTTTTAATGTTGTGTCACCTAGGGTACTACAGATCTCAGTCACCCAGCATTGGTCAGCATTAAGATTAGGTTTTGTGTCTCTTTTGTACAAAACTTTTCATTATCACTCAAAAGTCAAAAGATTTTGCAGTTTTACTCTGGAATTGTTGAAGTATTAGCTCACACAGTCCCTCACAAAGAAATAAATCATCAGTTTTTACCTCTAAAAGACTTATCCTCTCTGAATTGCCCAGCCACAATAAAGTTCAACTTTTAGTCACTATAGTGTTGTAAAAAAAACTACTCTTAACCTCAAAGATGCAAAGCTGACCTACAGTCATGGAAAAAAATATTAGACCACCCTTGTTTTCTACAATACCTGATACCACTACAGGTGTATTACCTGAAGAATATGGTGAACATAACTATAAATGCGGCTGATTCCATAATATTTCATGTCCTACATGCTTAAGCTTAATTGTATTCCCAGGGTATATAAAAGGCCATTTCATATCCGTAGCAGCACTGCACATGCAAAGGCCTCGAGTTGTTTATATTCAAGCCATTGCACAACTAAGAAGTCTTGGCATCTTGGCAATGCTGGAAATTGGCATGAGTGGGAGACAAGACAGCTGTTCATCACACCAAGAAGAAGCAAGCCAAACATAGTACTTCCAAATTGCTAGCTGGCCGAGGCAGGAAACGTCTTTCTACCCCACAAGAGGACTGTGCACTCATCAGGAACTGTCGTCAGACCTCCAGGGACCTTAAAAACGAGTGGGCACTGTCAAGAAATGTGACGTATTCGGCCAGGACAGTTTGAAATCGACTTCTTGAAGCCGGCCTCAAGTCACACAGGGCATGGAAGAAGCCCTTCATCAACGACAGGCAGAGGAAGTCTTGGTTACTCTTCGCTAGGGTTCACGAGGATTGGATAAGGTTCTCTTCAATGATGAATCCAATTTTGAGTTGATGCCCACTCCAGCCAACTTACTGGTTAGGGGGAGGGGCCTGGAGAAGCTTAAAAACCAGACTGTCCTGCCCCTACAGTAAAATATCAGGGTGGTTGTTGATGATCTGGGGTTGTTTTAGTAAAGGTGGAACAAGGCAAATGCAGTTGTGTGAAGGGCGAATGAACCAGGTCACGTACAAAACTACTCTTGAAAACAGTCTTCTTCCATCAGCTGATAAATTCTTTCCTTGTTCGAATTTTCCAAAAAAACAATGCCCTTTGCCACACGGTGGAGAACCAAAACATTCAAACCATGCCTCGGCCTGCTCAATCAGCAGATCAAAATCCAACCGAAAACCTGTGGGACATCATCAAACTCAAAATGGAGAACCACAAGCCCAAAAACAAAGCAGATTTGGTAATGTCAGAGGCTGGTGGAGAGCATGCCAAGACGCATGGCTGCAGTCATCAAACGCAATGGTTATCCAATCAAGTACTAACCCCTGTCTGTATCATGTGACCAACTGACAGAAGATAAAACATGGAACGCCAAAAAGCTTTGTCTTTGGCAGGACGATGCCATAGCTATTGATGTAAGCACTCAAGTGATTTTTGTTATCATCCAGATGACCATGGAAGATATCAACTCTCAAATCAAACTCCTGAGAGTATGAGCTATTTTGGCTGTTATTATATTTGACCACACAAAGCCCTTTTGTTGTACCAGGCATTAAAATGAACAAGAAATTGAATAAAACAAGGGTGATCTAATAATTTTCTTCGGTGGCTGTATATCTTTCCAAATTTTCAAATTTTGAACCTTTTGGCTCACAGATAGAAAAGGCTTCTTATTTCTTCTCTGTTTAATTCACCGCTGAAGTCCAGGCTAGTCTTTGTTCTTGTCCTACTAAGTGTTTCTTCTCGAACCTTTCTCTCTCCTTCCTCAAGTTTGTGGTTCTACAGTGCATTAGCCGGTGCATTAGCTCCTCTGCTGTGGCACAAAAACCCTCCATCTCCATCCTGCCCTCCCCCTCCCACCCTTCCCCACCCCTCCCATTCTCTATCCATTTCATCATTCATTCATCTATCTGCCATATTCCCCAACTACACATGCACTGTCCCCTCCCATCCATCCATCCATCCATCCATCCATCCATCCTGGTCACCCTCTACGCCCCACACCACCACTTCTCTTGTTCCTCTTGTACCGTTCACTTTCTCTCTCCCCCTCCCCCCTCATCATCCATCCATCCATCCATCCATCCATCCGTCCCATCATTTGCTCATCCACCCGCCCCTCCAGTCCCACCCCAGCGGAGATGGGTATTGACATTCTGCATCCGACCTTGAGGACAATCAATCGCAAACCCCACATGTCCCTATCAGGGTAACACACGCACGCAGTCTGTTAAAACACGTTGAGACTAATGTTAACATGCAGCTCTAACAATCGGTTACTATGACTTCTCTCTCTGTCCTGATTTGGAAGATGCTTCAGGAACATTCTCACTCTCGCCCCCCGGAGATTCAACCATGTGTAGAGTTGGGAAACCTTTTCCAAAACTCACTAAAAATCGAAGTTTTAAAGTTATTAAATATGTTTGCAGGAGACACCCATTACTGGCCTGAACATGCATAAAACAGATGCAGCGTTGCAGTGTGTAACAGTACTGTGCAAGAAGAGTTGAGCAGCATGTGTGTTTGCACCCGTTTATTAAATTCTGCAGCTTTTTTGCATCAATAAAACCATTATGCATAGACAGATTTCCCCTCTTGAACCTACACAGTCTTTCTGGTGGATTAAGAGACCAAATTACAGTGCACTCTCCTACTTTAGAAGCTTAGATATTTAGGCGCATTGTCGTGTGATCTGCCAAAATAAGTTGCAAATTTGTAGGTTTGTTTGCGGTGCTGTGTTCGTCTTTTATGCTCGCACAAGAGGAAGCGAACCTCGTCACAACTTCTGATTAAAAGCTGCAACAATAAGAAAATGCTTTGCGTCAACTTGGAGCTTAAAAACAATCTTTATTTAGGTTCATAAAGCTGATTAAAAATGTATTACTAATTGGCATCAGGATCAAATGTTTTCCCAGAAAGTTTTAAGGGACTGCAGATAAATTTCTCTGAGGAATTTTATCTTTCGTACTCGTTTCCCTTTTGAAAATAAAATAAGGTTTAGGAAGGGAAATCTTTTAATTCACCACAAAATATCAAGCAAAGTGCTTAAAATATAGATATTACATGTAAATAAAACATGCAAAGTTGCAGAGTTTTTTCGCAAAACTGAACAACCTTTTAAAATAATTTCATATCCAATCAGAAATTCCCGGTGGAACTTTTCTATTCCAAGGTCATGCAACTCATCAATAGTTCATCAGCAGATCAGATGGCGACAGGATGAATTTATGCTTACCTCTGATTGGAGGCAGATCCATTCTGCAGGGGGGTGCTGGGCGTCCCGGATGTTCGAGTGAGTCTCAAACAAACTCTAAAATAAACTGAAAATATTTCTTTGAAGGCTTGGAGGGCGTCTACGGTGCCCTGGGGCGACTTTAACTCAACACAAGTTCACTTTAGTGATTGTATGAAATCTTACTTCATACTACTGAGAGGGTTATTTTGTTAGAATAACTTCCTCTACAGTAATAAATGCAATAAAAGTCAGCCTCTTGTCTTAAGGGTGTGTATTTGTAGGATTGTGAAGGCTGGGAGGATGCTCTCTCTCTCTCTCTGTCTGACGCGGCCCCCTCCTCCTCCTCTTCCCGGAGCTCTTCCTGGAGCACACTGGTCCTGTGCGTCCTTCTGATGTCACCTCCCAGAAGAAACCAGAGCAGTCCCTTTATGCACGCTGCACCGAGGAGGTGAGCTCCCTCTGTCCAAGTTGCAGATAACTTATTTGCAGAAACAGCTCGTAATAAGATGTTCCTTTTAAAGGCGTGCAGAGTTTGTATTTCAGCAGGAAAAGTGCCCTCAGCAGCAGGAGAAGAAGTGGAAGTATCTCCACTCAGAGCAGAAAGAGCAAGTGAAGTTTAGTAGAGAAATACTTGCAGCATGTGCTGAAAGAAATGATGATGAAGATGAAAAGTGCAGCTGGACTTGAGTCTAACAGGCTTCAGACCTAAAACTTAAAAATCTTCGCTCTTCTTCTTCTTCTCTGCTCAGAAAGTGTTTCTTTCCCGTCCTGGTGTAGTGTCCTCTCCTCTCCCTAAGAGATGAATGACTGCGAGCGGGACGCACTCTCTCTGCCTCTCTCCCTCTCCCTCCCTCTTCCTCTCTCTCTCTTTCACACACACACACACACACACACACACACACACACACACACACACACACACACACACACACATTCCAGTCACCCCTCCTCTTCCTCCTCCTCTCTGCCCCTCCCTCTCTCATCACTGAATGAATCAGATTCATTTCTGCTTTATGAAGATGACTGAGCAGAAGTCTGGGTTTGTTTTATCTTGATCAGTAAGACCGCTATAATATTGAATTTGACACTTTTTAACCTTTCCTTTTTCTATGAAATATAGCCAAGGATGGTAACTTAAATAACTGCATCTTTTGATTAAGTCATTGAGTCGTTGATTTGCCGTTAAATTTACCTTTTGTTGGTCATGGTTCACAGATTCAAAACTACCTCCCACTTGTGCATTCACAGCATGAACAGTTTGGGGTGTATCAGCTGCATCTGTGTCTGTATTTGGATAGAAAACAGGAAGTGGGTGTGGCTTGCACAGGCATTTGGCTATTTTAATTTTTTTAAAAAGATTATAAATGAACATTTGATTTAAGAAAGTCATTTTCATTTAGTCAGTGCATTTGTGGTTTAATCGAACTGATTTACTGTTGGCCTATAAATAATGATGAGACATATTTGTACCTCCTCACAAGGTGCTGGTTCATGTTGGTTGGTGCGAAAACATGACCTGTTGCTTTATTAGAAAAGCTTTTTTCTTTTTTTTTTATTTGTGCAAGTCGAAACTTATTTGATGAGATTTAAGAAGTTAACCTGTTGTTTGTTTTTATATACAAGTCGTACTCTGGCAGCCAAGTTCGGTCTTAAGAATGACGCTGATACTGAAAAACTGCAGTTTCCTGAGCTGTCATGATCAACAGCGCCCCCCAGAGGTGTTTTCTTGTTTTGGTTTGTGGTCAATTAAAACACGTATTCCCTGGATCCTCATACACATCGCATATTATACATATCATCATATATGATAGGGGTAGGAACTACAAGTGGCCCCAGGATACAATATTATTGCAATTTTAACATTTTGCAATACAGTGAGTATTGCGATACAATATTCTGCAATTTATACATTTTTTTCAACTGTTTAGCTAATTTAGCATTTGGCTTTCATTTATGTTTGTCTTCTTTACGGTGTATTTTAATTTCATGTAGCACATCTTGCAAACCTTATATATATATATATATATATATATATATATATATATATATATTTGTTGTACTAACTTTCTCCTGCTCTATGATGTCACCTCTGCCAACCTCACTGGACAAACAGTTGATTTTATTTTTTCATTATCATTGATTTGACTTTATATTAGCAATTAATTTGAAAAATCGAAACTTGGTAAATGAGACGATTCGATATGTCACCAGACAAAATATCGCGATACTATGCTGTATCGATTTTTTCTCCCACCCCTTATATTATAACATATTTCCGAAAATAGCCCTAGTGATATTTCCTCATGTATAGGAAAGCGGTTTTGTCCTCTCTTGGGAATTTGTAAAACTTTGTTGAAACTTCCTCAAGTTTCTTTTAAGTGAAAAGTCTAATAACCTGTGCAACGTTTAAATTGAAGTCTAGAGTTTTGTTATTTTATTTTCTTCGCCAAAGTAACCAATGAAGATAAAATCGGCTGGCCAGTAAAACTATTTGCATCCATTATTTGCACGGATTAATCTGAGCTTAAGTCAACTTCTGAGTCAGCATTTGCCACTTGGTTCTGAAAGAGGAGCGCAGAGGTATCTCAGAGGTGCTGCAGCTTAGTTTTGCGTATCCACATGCTATCTCCAAGCCCAACCAACCCAAACTACCTGTAGGCTGGACCTTCTGCCGACCTCAAATCCCATCATCAAATATGTAGGCAAACCTCCCAGTCTCCTGAGGATAAAACTCTGAGCCCAAAGCACAGATCATCTTAAGATACCTCGTGTTTAATTCCTGAGTTAAAGGTGGATGGTGCCCCTATTAATATGTGCAGAAATGTAAAATACTTTAAGTTTATTATCAAATATGATCCAAACAATCTTCTCTTGGCATCCTGCGGTTACCTTTCTGATGACCACTTGAAAGTTTTTGTGCATGATGGAAATGATCTTTGGTGGCATGTTTGTGTAGCTGGTATTCACTGACTGTTCGTACTGTAACTGTGGCTTCCAGCTTCCCACTTCCTCAGGGTTTGTCCTGAAAGTTGACATCATGTGAAGTGCTTTAAAAAAGGTGGACTGTGGGAGGAGAAAGTTGTCCTCTTATGTCCCATAGTTGCACTTCAACAGAAGGAGCACCAAATTGTTGTACCGGCGCATGACTCAGATGAAGTGAAGTCCCTTTAATCTTCTTCAGATCTTGCAGTTTGAACATTTGATCCTCTGTTGTAAAGTACAAACCAAAGACAAGCATTTAAAGGTTTTATACAGTTTAATACAGAGTGTGCAGAGTACAGGTGATGACTATGAACACAACCAGGTCAGTGAGCAGATATTCATTCATTCATTCATTCATCCATTAGTTTCATAAGGACAAGTGACATCACTGACAATATGCTGCATGACTGTAATATGAACCTATTCCTTTGTGTGTGTGTGTGTGTGTGTGTGTGTGTGTGCGTTCATGCTTGTGCATACGTGTGTGTGTGTGTGTGTGTGTGTGCTTTGGTCTCCTTTGGTCTGCGCCCTTACTCAGCAACTTGCAACCATCCGGACTACAGTAAGACACACCAGTGTGGGCTATTGTGCACTCACGCACATACAGGCACACACACACACATTAAAGTAACCGGACACTGGTCCCTAAGGGTGGGGCTGAGGGGGGGGCTCTGGTTCCTGTTGAGGAAAATATCTGAGATGAAACAAACTGCTGATAGAGACACAAAGTGAGCGGAGGGGGACAAAGACAGAGAAAACCTGATTATCTGACTGAAATCGAACCTTTGTTCATGTTTGATTTTATAAACTTCTGCAGTTTAACAGTCATTCATAAACTAAGTCATCATTCTCAGAGGAAAAGCTCTAGTTATTGGAAACAGTTGAGATGTAAATCCATGTCAAGGTGGCCTTTGTTGACAACATAGTTGTCAGTGAGCTACTCCGGTTGCATGATGCCTCGGTCTTTAAAAAAAACACACATGCCCATGCTTCAGAATCTCTGGATTTATTCTGTTCGACATGTTTCCAATTTTCTGTCTCTGGGTGAGAAAGTGTAGGAGTTTCTCATCAGCTCATAAACACTGACACATTAATCTTAACAAATAACAAATGACTGAAATGTTGCTTCTCTATCATGTGAGCTAAACAACCAAAGAGAAAGAGTGTGTTTGTGTGTGTGTGTGTAAGAGAGAGAGAGAGAGAGAGATGGAGCAATGTGCTGGGTCAGGCAGGGATCAATGTCAAATGGCCTGGTTAACAGCATCCAGCTGACAAAGTCATTCATTTCTGCCGGCACTCCACTCTGAACACACTCATCCTGTGTGTGTGTGCGCGTGCGTGTGTGTGTGTGTGTGTGTGTGTGTGTGTGTGTGTGTGTGTGTGTTTGAGTGCAGCATTGCTCACGTGAGAGACAAACTGTAATGTGTTGTGTAAGTTGACACTCATGTGCTCCATGGGTGGGACGCCTCCTCCCCATCCAGCAGGTCTGTTACTGCAGCACGATGTTACGCTCACACACACACACATCATGAAGTGATGGAGAAATCTCTCCTTTATTTACCCCGAAGGTTTGTCTTTGAACTTTACAGTCGATGGATCAATATGAAACAGGAGATGACTTTTTTGACACTTTTTATCAATATGATATGAAACATCAAAACAAAACTGAACTTCTGCACATCCAGAAAGCTCCTCTGCATGCCTCTGTCTGTTTACATTTCTGCTGCCGTGCTCTAGTCTGATCCTGCTGCATTAATCCGATTGGTTGAAAGTCTTTGCAGTCACTCAGAGGCACTTTTTTATGCTAACAATCAAAGAGTCCCAGACAGAGTCACCGAAGTGAACAGCGGATGTTAAAAATATGATGACCTGAAGCTTTTATTATGCATGTAAATAATCACTATTTTTACAGGTTTTAGTTTGCGATTCATCTTTATCTGGGTGCGCTGGTTCGATGGGAGAAGTTGATCATAAATGAAGTGGGTTAAAACCTCACAATGACCAGCCAAACCACAAACAAGTCAAACTCTGGTGAAATAGTAGGGTACAATTTCTATCTTTGCTGGTAAAATGGACATGAAAACCTTCCTCTTTCGGAAAGCCTACCCGGACTAATTTTATCTGATTTTATCTGCTGACTGTTTTTTATGTTGACTGTTTTTTTTATTGTTTTGGTTTTTACTATTATTGTTGTCTTGTGCACTTTGAGATTTGTTTTTAAATGTAAAGTGCGTTACAAATAAAATCTATTATTATTATTATTATTAATATCCTGGAAAAGTCAGGGAACAACAACCTGAGAGATGACATAGAGCTGATGTTGAGAAACAACATCTAAGACAGGACTGCAGCTGCACTTGGCTGCAGATGTCTGCTTTAGACATTAATTAATTAAACATATGGTATAAGACAGACAATGGCTTCTGGGAAATGTATGACAGACGATTTGGTTCCCCTCTTTTGCTTTCAGTGCAGATCCAACAAATCTGAACAGTGCCCATTTTTAAATCCAGCCCCATACCTCTGTATGTTTCTGCATTTGAAGGCTTTTCAGGTGGAGAGAAAGGAAGGTTCATTATTATGTCTATTATTGTTTTTTTTTAACCCCAACTTAAAGATTCATGACCAAACGCAGTCAGAGCTGAAGACTGGAAAGTCTGATTCTGACTATGCCTTTGCTCTGAAGTCCAGTCTGTATTTTCACGATGTCAGGAGAAATTTATTAACGGCTGCTGTAGCTGCAGTTTCAAGGAAGGCCAAAGATGTCCCAGAAATGGTCTGTAAGAGTTCAGAGAAATGTTAGAATAGACTTATGTATATGCAGACTCCTATCAAGAAAACAAAGAATCAATCAACTCTCTTCTGAAAGATTGACTCACCCCACTTCCTCGAAGCTTTTCATCATCACCACCATTTAAAGGAAAGTGAATAATAATGAATGGACTGGGAAATGTGTGTGTGTTAGAGACATGGGTGGGTGTGTGAGCCAAATATATCTGAGGAAGTGATAGTTTTAGGACCAGGGATGGGAAAGATGATTTTAAAGAGCACTCTTGAGAAACAAGTCAAAATTTCTGGAAAAAAGCACAATACAGTACAGATAAGACAGATAATAGTTATATTATTATCACTGCCAGATCAGTCTAAATATACCATCATTAGTATTTTTCCCAAAACCTTCATAAAGCTCCCAGGAGTTAGCATAAAGCTATCCTGTAAACATATGCCAGTTCATTCATATAAATAACATTTGATTCGTAAATAATAATAATAATAATTTTGACATTTAAACAACGATGCAAATAGCTACAGTAAGATACTGTCAGTCCTCACATAAAAACCTGGTTCTTCATTTACTTTTACTGCTGGGGGTACCAGGCCTTTATATGAGGCAGGCTTATAATAAAAGCAGGATTTTGTTGTTTACATACATTTACATTCAGTCATTATGGGTTAATTTAGTGCTGAGTGTACCACTTTCTGTGCTGATAAGCCTCAATGCAAAAACAAACAAACAAACAAAAAACAGCTAATTCACTAATGCCACCGCAGTACAGGCTGGGTCATTACTGCCAACACATCATTTATTAATCTTTGTATTTTGTGTCATGAATTGATGCCACAATAAAGTGAAAAGGACTTCCCTCTCCATTAGCTCATCATATACTGTACATAGATAGAATATACGCTGTCAGGATTAGAGTGCAGCTCTGAGCAGCAGAGAGTTATCTCAGAACCTCTTTTATCGAACACAAAATAAAATAATCAATGTTGGCATTATGTGTCTGCCTATGACAAGCTGCTCATTACTATGATGACAAAATCCTTACATTTGCTGCCGAGTAACGTTAAACTAAATTTAACAGTGTGATCAGGCAGTCTCTCACAGAGCGGTGAACCTCTCCCTTTCTCCTCCTCTGACAGACCCGTTCTCTCTGGCATCCCTTTTTGAACCCAGTCACATTATTAACCTCTTTCTAATCCACATTATTAGTTGGTGGATGTTTCTTCAGGTTGAGAGATTTCCTGTTCTTGTTCTGATAAAGTTTTCAGTTTCATCATTTATTTTGTTGTCTTTAATTTCAGTGAATTATCGGGTTTATACCGCATCACGACTTTTTAGGATTGTTGACAGATTTTATTTCACACTTTCTGATGTTTTCATCTCTTTCCTTCCCACTCTGACCACCGCCCACACCTTCTAATTGCTGCTGATATTTGGGTGCAGAGCAGAAGAAGAGCCGCTGATCCATTAACTGACCAGGCCCAGCTTGATTGGCTCCGGACGATCCCCTGAAATAGCGGGATTGGCTGAAGGCCAAGCTCCCATTTCCTGTGTGTCTGAGAGGAGCTTCAGCCACCGGGGCTCAAATGCATTTCCTGACTGTGTATAAAACTTTTATTAATGACCAGGAGTGCATCAGCGGCTATGCCCGCTCGCCCACACTCACTCGCTCACCCACTCATTCACTCCCTCATCGAGGAGAAAGGGGGAGGATGATGGGAGTGAAAATGAGTTGCAGAAAGACACGATGTAAGACAAGGAGAGGAGGCGTGTGTGTGTGTGTGTGTGTGAGAGAGAGACAGGAGAGACATTGATGGATGGATCAGGAGATGGGGAGATAGAATTAAGTGAAACAAACCAGAAGCCTGACATTAAAAGAGAGAGAGAGAGAGAGAGAGGAGGTTTCCTATGGGCCCACAATTCACTGTCTCTTACAGTGTAACTCCATTAGACACACTGCAGGTCACTCAGTGCACCTTTACTTCCTTTTAATACAAGAACGCAGCAGAAATGAAGGGAGAGAAACCTGGAGAATAAGATGACTGACCTCATTCCTTCAAAACTGTCAGTCATGGTCAAGTGTTCGGACATTTGGCTGCACAGGTTCAGTCTGAAACCTCACAACACTACCTGACCTTTCACCCCTATCACCCATAAAGAATATGTTTTAAATGGACTGACAGACGGAGGAGAGAGGTGACTGTAATGACTGCTGTAAAACTGAAACCATCCGGGCTGATGGGAGGAAACCTGGATGATCAGGGTTCGGCTCTAAATGACATGATCAAAAACATCAGCATCCCATCTCAGCTGCCTTTTTAGTTTCTTGTTATTTTGACAGGAGCTGGACCGAATTTATGGCGCTGTGGAATAATGGACGTCAACCAGAAAGTGCATAGTCAGCATTGTTGTCCCTAGCGATGGGCACGGCAGTTCTTTTAGATGTACTAAATCACTAGAATCAGTTCACTAAAAAGATTAGTTCAAAGGATTCGTTCCTTAAATCACCAAATCATGGAGCGCTTGTCGGGAGAAGCCTGCGACTCCGACCTCCTGAACTGATACACAGCTGAACGGTTCAGGATTCAGTTCAGATCAGAGCTTCTGGGACCAGGACACAAGAGTGTTTGTCTGTGTTGCTTTGGCAAACAGGTTTGTAAAAATGAACTTGTTTATAAGTCATGATGTTTTAAGTGTACTGTCCTATGGTATGTTATTTATCAGTAAGTCGGGGTCAGTGAGTGATTCGTTCACTGAACATATAGAAGAATTCACTCTGAACATGCACCGTTCCCTCGCAAACCGCTGCAATGATCGGATGCTGCGGGTTTACTGCACTACTTGTTCCATGCTGTGTCCTATTGTATGAAGGTTGTTGTTGTTGTGGCAATTTAGCAGTGAAAAAAAAGGTAGTTTTGTCCGACAAAAATGATTCCAGAGAGTGTAGTTCAATGTGTGATTCATTCATCAAGTGATTCAGGTGTCGGTGCATGTGATCCCTCGTTCGCCGGCTGCTTGACTGGCAATGCTGTTTCTCACTTCTGAAGTGAGAAACGAACGACTCTCTAGAGGAAGAGACTCGGTTCAGTACGTTCACTTAAAAGATTTGGTTCTTTTGAACGAATCGTTGCGAACGACACAACACTAGTTGTCCTTATTTAGTTGGCTTTGTCACTTTTGACTTTATTAATTATGTTATCTGAATAGCTGCTTTGAAATGTTTGGTATTAAGTCTTATAGAAATTCAGTCCTTGTAATGTTCTGGACCTCAGCTTGAAGAAAAATCCTCCTTTTTTTTGGTGACTCCTGGTTTACAAAAAGTGCTTTTTCTCTGACTCTACTCAGTTTTCATGGGTTTTTCATAAGTAGAGCACACACACACACACACACACACACACACACAGTGTAAAGGCTTCACAGGGTGGCTGACCACAGGCCTGGTTACCAGGAAAGAGGGTCGATAGGCCCGGCTGTGTGGGGCAGAGGGTTCAATACAGACCAGTTTAATCAACTCTGTGTGCAGGCCGCTCATGTTGAGCAGGAGTTCCTCCTAGAGTGTGAGTTTGTATTTAATAAATTAAAACCGAAACTAAGAGGGTATAGATAAATAGTTTGATTGCTGCTGTTGAATTTAAGACTTTGACATTAACAGGATGAAATTAGGTGAGGTAGAAACGTTTTCATGTGCACGGTAACATGCATGTCATGTTCTGGAGATGTCTAGGTTTGGTCTATCAGGGATGCATAAGCCCAGTGAAGCATATCTTTCCAGGAAAAACATGCGAGCAGCGCTGAGCTTTGGAAAATTGTGGCCGTGGCTTATTTCATGATAACGGCGCCTGCCAACTTTACATGTAACGAATGTCTCATTGCTCCACTAGGCTTCTGTGCACCACTTTGGGCGACTCCACAAGTGTTTTAAGGCCTTCAAAATACTACTTCCTGTTTGATGGCGAATATGGTTTCACCATGGCAAAAAACCCGACCCAGCAAACTATCATCTCACTTCAGGGTAAATTTGAGTGGATCACTATAGCTGCAGAACCGTAAAAACCCCAAATGTTCATATACGAGAAGTTTATTGATGCATGCTGATACATAAAGTCAGTGTGACTCTGTTTGCATATTGAACCCCTTTAAAAGCACAAACAGTACATTCTAATATCATTGTTGTTGCACATTGTAGTAAAGCTTGTTATATCCATTTTACTCTGATAGCGTTTGATTAGATCTTCAATATTATGATCCGTTTTTTGCAGGAGATTATTTAAGTTTCAGCAACTTTTGCAAACATTAACCCGCCTTTTCCTCCATAAATTACCACCTTTTGTTGACGAAACCCCTTTTTTCTTCTATAATATTAATATCATACTTCCATTCATGCTAATAAAGCATATTGATCTGATTATAGAGAGAGGGAGGCTGACTGGAGTGCGTAATGGGGAAGCATTGATTATGGCTGTTAACTCTGGCTCTTTGATGTGGATAATGCAGTCTCTCTCTTCCTGCCTCTGCGCTGCCTTTACACTCTAAAACCCCCGGGCCCCAGAGGATATTGGGTTTACAGAGAGAGAGAGGAAGAGAGAGTATACATCAGACATGGTGCATGAGCTTGACTGTGAATAGAGGAAGTTGTGTTTGCAGGAAATATCCAAATATGGTGCAAAAAAGCGTGTCTGCAAAATAAAAACAACAAAACATTTGTGGAGGTATTTTAAGTATTTGTGGCAAAGTCAGAGGTTTTGCCTTCAAAGAAAAAAACAACATGTGTCAAGCGGCTGCAGGAATTCAGATACTTGTCCTTTGGGAGTGAAGAGGAAATACTGTGACGTTGTTATAAAGCATTAAAGTCTACAGGGAGAGAGAAGAGGTCAGAGTTGAAGGATGTCAGTGAAATACTGGTCAGAAAACAGTGTTTGCTTCCTGTTTTTGACCATCGGCCCTTATTTTCATCTTCCTACTGTTATCTTAAAACCTACCACACGTTAGCCTCACCCTTCTATTAAATGGCCGTTACGTAGCAACCGTTCATAGCAACAGTCTGTTATTTCTGGAAAGCAGACTGCTGCGGGATGCGGCTCTAATCACAGACTCTGCAGGAGGGTCTGACAGAAAAGTGGTCCATGTTGTGTGGCGTTGGTGGGACAACAGGGCAAAAATATCAATAAAAAACAGCAGATCAGGTTTACAGATGCAGATGGCACCTCAAACCACAGTATGAGATAAAACATCATTGAAGGACTGATGAGTGGAGAAGAAAATGTTTCCGACTCAGAAAATGACGAGGCAGAAAAACTCCATCAGGTGCCGAGTCATGCTGCCCTGTGCCCATAACCACCAGAGAGGCAATTTAAAGATGAGGCCAGATTTACACCCTTGGTATCAGGGCCCTGCTCACCTGATCACTATACATTATCCTTTACACACAAGATGCATCAAAAGGAAAACAGAAATATGGATTATGAATAATTGTTTATGGATTATCCGTCACATTTGAGTCATAAATCAGCCTTACTGTGACGTTGATCTGCAGTCACACTTGTAATAGCCGTATATCATTTCCACAAAAGTTTGAAAACTCAATAAAAAGCAGAGAAAAACATGCTGAATGTCAAACCTGAAATAAAATACAGTGAGGCTAAACCCGCAGACATTTTTTGGATATAACGAATATTTGGAAGGGGATGTTGATAAAAACTTAAACCAGGAGTGATACTGATGTTTTACTTCCTGCAGAAGTGGTCTTTACATCTGTACCTGTACATTAACTTGACTTTTTTAGATGCCTTATCTCCCCGAATTAACGTCAAAATGCACATTTTTTTCTGCTCTTCTGTGGGAATAGAAACGTTAAGACAATGAACATGAAAGTGGAAAAAAAAATTGGAGAGTTTTCAGATTGTTTCAAATATTTTAAAGGGTTAAATACTGTTGGAAATTCCCTGAAATCACCTCCATGTTTCTCACAGTCTGTTTGTAATCTGTCTCTTCTTAGGTCTGTGTCAAGACAGCCATGGCGGCCTGCGTGTCTCTCTGTGATGCTTTCGTGCGTCCTCCATGGCCATGTGGGCTCTTAGACTGAAGTCAAAATGGTTGACAAGCAGCCAACTGAGCCAAGCCCTACAGAGCTGCGATGACCTCATTCTGTGTCTCTCTGCTCCATCAGCTCCACTCATTGACCCCGAGCTGTGGGCTGCAGAGGAGAGCTGGCGCCCTCTGCTGGAAAGGCTGTAGGTGATGCGCCGGATTAATACTTTCTTTTTTTAAATGAGGAAAAATATGAAGAGAGAGCTGTGGAGGTGAGTAGTTCCCCCTTTTCACCACTTGAGGGCAGCAAAAACGAATTTGGACAGGTGTTAAGTGGTTAAATGGTGAATTGTTTCATTCTCATACAGCCCCTCTGCCTTTGTGTTTACCCTCTCCCTTGACTATCAGGCACACAAACACCTGCCTCCTCCTCCTGCTCCTCTCCTCTCCTATTAGTGTTTGTGGCGCAGCGAGGGTTACCAGTCTTAGACACGGTTTCTTTAGGGGCTGAAAAGTTGAAGAAACTCCTGCTCTTATGATCTCTGAGACTGACTCAGATCAAAAAGGCTAAAGATGTCTGTTTGCATGTGGCACCCATAAAATGCAAACAGTATAACTGAAGCTGCAGCTTTCAAAGTCTGCATTTAAAATCACACCAATGTTGTCTCCACCAAATAAGTCCTGCTCAGGCTGTGCATCTGGTTTTCCCTTTGCAAATAAAATATCCCATAATAATTTTCATATCAAAACATAACAGATCCTGCAGAGTAAAGGACTGTTTCTTCATGTGTACAAGATATAACATATTGATTTACAACTGAAACTACACTTCTAAAATGCATGCAAGTGGCACGACTTTCCTCGATAACACGATTGGAGATTGATTCTCACTTTTAGATACTCAGCACCTCAATAAGACTGAAAATAGCCAAAATGATTTGTGCTCCGAAGTTTGCATGTCAGGTTTTGGCACGAAAGTTAAAAATAGCCAGGTAGTCAACAGAGAAGAAGACAAAGCTGTCATATTGCATGTATAACAGACACAGAGCAGAAAGTCACGGTGCTGTTCATTGTCTTACGCACATCCAGTCAACCACCTCCAAATCTCTGCCAACTCCTGAGGATACCACGTGCCTCTGCAGCTGCTTTGTGCAACACATTTGCATGATGACATACAGTTGTTGGGATCATTTCACCTTTAATTATGTGTAAAAAAAAGAAGCACACATTTGCAAAGATACATCACTGATTTTAATCACAAGCTATCACAGCTGGAACATTTCTGTTTGGAGCGGACTGAGGCGGGTTAGCCGTGCCTGCAGTCCAAACCCTGTCCAACTGGAAAAAATAAACAGTTTGCATTTGAAAATATATTTAGACACATCTATTTGCAGATTAGCTACAACCAGTTAATTTAGCTCAGCATACAATTTTCTCCCATGCTGGCAAAGAGAGGCAGGATTTGGTCTCTTTGCAGATCACCCAGATAGCGAGCTAATGAAAGCCGATCTTAAGGCAACCAGAGGACTGATGTTGCCAAAGCTGTTTGGTCAGTCAGTCAAAATCGAGCATGTCTGATTATTTTAGATTATAATGATATGCTTTTCAACCAAACAGTGATGCAGGCCTTTTATTAGCTCGCTAACACAATACGGCACATGAGGTCCCATGACAGTTGACATGTTTTTACAGGATTCCTGCAGAAATTCGGCTCTTTGTCCACTGAGGAGCTCTTGTGTCAGTAGTGTTAATCAGATTTACGGGGAATATTTATGCATAACAGCTAAAAACTATGCACAATTGCATATTTAAGTTTTTCAATATTCCAGCATGCAAAGTAAAAATGGTGCTGCAGCCTGTTAAACTAGTTACAGTGCATCTTTATCGAGTGGCCGGACTGGGAATGTTCAAATGAAGGCCGATTTAATCTCCACTGGAGTACAAAGTTAAGTGAAAAAGTAAACTTTTTAATGCTGTTTAAATGTGGAAATCACTGTGGATCAGTGAAACAGGCTGCTGCACCTTAAAGTCGAGTACCCAGTGGACAAAAAGCCATCAACATGCTTCCCCTGAACAGTGACAACCACACAAACATTCATTTACATCATTTTGTTCTTTAAAATTTCCTCCACCACCAATTTTCTTCCTTAAAACCCCATTAAATCATGCTCCACTTCCACATATCCACTCTTATTTCCCACCCACCCACCCACTCACTGCGATGCGTTACACCCTGCTGGATGTGAGGCATCGCTCAGCAGTGACCCCGATCCCACTGTCATCTACAAACACATGTGATCAGCTTATACCCATGCACCTCTGAGTCAAACAAAGAAATCAAAACCACAAAATAAAACACAATAGCGAAGTGGACAAAAAACAAAATAACACAAACAAAGCCAAGCAAACTACCCAATCAGAACATTTCTCAAATGTTCCTCAGGAGGGGGCTGCTCTACGCTCACACTGAGCAGACCCCTCCTGCTCTTCAAAATATATATATATTTATTTAAATATTTACATGCAGAGTAGCAATCAAAGCATCACGTCCACTTCCTCGACCCCGGGGCTTTCATAGCTGTGGTGGCTTTGAGGACATGCTACATGCCAGATGACACTCATTGTGTATGAACGTGCACGAGTGACAACTGGAAGCTGAGGCGGGGCTGTTTCGCAAACATTTGGATCTGTATTATAGCAAATCACCGAACCTGAGACCCCACTGCTGGACTCCAGTTCACGTTAGAGTGCTATTTTAGCTTTAAGCGGAGCGATACTGGAGCATCGGGACGCCTTAACTCTTCAAACTAAAAGTAAGTCGGCTGATAATCAATCCCATCCTCCAAGATATCCTGCAAAACTCTTTCCCGTCATACAATTTCAAACGTAAATAAAGGCCGTTTTTGCAGCATGCTGTGACTCAACTTTGTCTGATGGTTTCAAGCATTGAAAATGAATGTTCGACTGGACGCTCCTGATCTGTTTGCTGATAGTTTTGAGTCACTCAGAGGGAAAAACAAATTTACTGTTTCATAACCAGCGAAAAACTCCTATAATGTTATTTTAATCTATTACGGTTTTTCTCCTAAAAACAATCATTTCAGTGAAACTAACCAGCATGTAAATACCAGATTTCAAACTTTATAGAGGATTGCACATTTTTCTCTTTTAAAGACGATTCGAGGGGCAGAAAGGTAGCTAAAAATAAGTGCTAAGGGAGAAAACGATCATTAAATAATGATAATGTAAAGATTGATGTCAGTAATATATAAATAAACATATGGATAACAGAGTTGGTGTTTATTTCTTTAATTAAATAACTTTTGCTTTAGGGTTATATCAGCGTGAGTTAGTCAGTTTTAAAGACTTTTGAAACAACTGAAATCAGATTTCAGGATAAAACAGCTGAAACTCGCCCAGCTCTCAGCTGTCATGATTGCCACCTTGATCCATTTCACAATCCACACAGTGTTGCACACTCTGACAAATTTTATCTTTGATTATTTGTTATTTGTTACTTTAAAAAAAAAAAGGATCAAATCAAAATGTCACCCAAATTAAGCTTAATTTGGTCAAACCAAAATAAACCCAAATTTAGGGGGGGAGAGGGGGAGTTCATCAACCACCACCAACCCATGGGAGCCCTGAGGATGAGGGAGGGGAGGGGGAGGAGCATGCGGGGGTAAGGGGGTAGGGGGGGCGTCTGGGTCTTCTCGACGTTCAATCATTCCTGTCGGAGAGAAGCAGTGTGTCTTTAAGGGCTTAGTATGATTTCCTGTTTTAAAGAAAACACAGGTGCAAGTGTTAGACTTTGTTCACAGATTTAGAGTCAAAGAGCAGGATGGAGGCGTCGCACTTTAAAAAACAACAACATTATAACGACAAAGTGAGGAGTTAGTTTGGAAAAACTCTGTTTTTTTTTTTTTTTTACATATTTTTGGTCAAATGGTTTATTGAAACACAGAGGACAGATGTTAAATATGGGTTAAAGTTCGGGCTGTCAAACTATCATTTTCAAAGTCAGTATCAAAGTCAATAACAGAATTTCAGTAACTGCAACAGCGTTTTCATTTGCATTCTTAAATTCCATTATTTTGTCCATATTAACTCACTGAGGCGACTCTAAGAAGTGTCTTAATTTGTGAACCAAAGCTCCTGCATTCTGGTCTGAGACTCACAGGAAGGAAAGAGCTTCAAATATGATGTTTCGTCTCATTTCTCAAAGGTTAACATTGACACATTTAGGAGTTTCAGTTTTGTTAATTCTGCTGCTTTTTGTGACGACTGTAGGCCTCTGGTGTATCTGAATTTTCTTTGATATACAGTGTGTGTTACTTCGATTTGAAAACGGAGTTATTATAAAGTAAAATGTGTCAGAAGCAGATTAACCCGTCACTTTGGACCTGAACTGCTCTGTAATCATGTTTTAAAGCTGACAGCTCAAAAGAAGTTGGGTTAGAGGTTTACACACAAAGACAAATACACAAACTGATCATTGGCAGTTTTACACCGATCAAAGCATGCGTACTTCATTTACTGTCCATAAGAAAATGGGTAATTCCAACTCTTTGAGGTATTTTTTTAAAGAAGAGTTTAGTTTCAGGTCATGTCAAAAAGGTCCTTGTGAAGTGATATCATTACAAAGTTTACACTCTTGTTATTGAAAAAAATCAGCTTGGATGATTAAAAGTTCATTTTATCCTGTAGGATCAACACAAATGCAGTAAAATCATCAAAATCTGTGCGTAACTCCTGAAACAGCTGATTGCATTGAGAATGCATAGAAAAAAAACAGGTTTAAAAGCATCTTTCCACAAGGTGGCGCCACTTCGTCTGACTATAACTCTTGTACAAGGATGCGGATCAAATTGAAACAGTGAAACCGGTGGATAACTCATGTTAAATACTTTAAAGCAAAAACATTCAGGAGTTAGAAAATATCGATCTGAAAACAGCCTCTTCCTCAGAGTCCAACCTTTAACCTCTGGACCCCACCCTTCATTATGCGGGTGTTAAATCTGGTACGGCTCTGTGAAGGTCGTCTGTGGTATCAGTCAGGAGGAATAAAATCTAACACAGAGCCTCAGAGTCGGCAGATTTTTCAGAATGATCCACGAGAACAAACACAGAGCGCTCTCACAGCTGCAGTGATAAATGTCTGAGGTTCAACATGACAAACGTGATTTATGAGCAGGTCTCCTGAGCGTGTTCACCTCACACTCAGGAGTTTGGTGCTTTTATTCAGACTGAGGCATGTAGAGTTTAGAAACCCTCGCCTGTTTGTCTTACCTGTTTGATAATCTCTCCTCTCTCGATGACGATGGTCTTGTCTTCTTTGATGGGAGAGGTGACTCTGTAGTCGTCACTCAGCAGACCGAGGATGGGGTACTGGTTTCTGTACCTGTGCGCATAAATGTTCAAAAAAGAAAAAAAGCGGACCACACAGAAGAGAGATGAGGAGATGTTCGGTTTGTAAATGCAGCTCCTGTGAAACGCACAGATTTCTAATGATTGGGAAAACTCATCAGGCTAAAACGATAAAATGGGATTTCAAATTTATCAGAAAGGAAATACTCCTCTCTGGAAAGTCATTTCACCTCTCGTTTTATTCGTCTACTCTGTATTTTGTCGATCAGTATGTCTCATGAAGATGCTTGTAAGTAAAGTCACGGCTATTTTCTCTCCTTATAAGCGAAGGTGGAAAGAATCTTTGGGACGTTTGGGGCGCTAAGCTGGGCTCAGATGTTTCCTGTAAAGGGGGTTTACTCTGTAGCGATAAAGCTGTGTAAAAAGTAACACCCATTACTTTGGTCTGACTTTCCATCAGCAGAGAAGCATCAAAACGAAGCGTTTCAGGTAGATAATGAATGAACAGTGAGGGTCTATCTGAAGGTCTGTAACGGTGTGTGAACCACAGTAACACAAGGTGGAGAAGTGTGTGTAATGCTGCACCTCTTGGTGATGATGGTCTTGGTGACGTTCTTGGAGCTGTCGCTTCTCTCCTGCATGAGCCTCTTGATCTCCTGCGGGGCACAAGAGGTCAAAGGTCAACCCTCAGCAGGATAAGACACTCAGACGGTACAGCATGTAAGAGACGGTCTGTGATATAACTGCCGCTTTCTATTCGCTGGCATTAACCGTGAAGGTTCGTCGTTCCTTCTGTCATTTCTGAAAGTCTAACAGTGTGGGGTTGTCTTTACAGTGAATTTTCCACATAGCTGCTTCAGGTAATATTGGTAATATTATGTCATGAGCTCGAACGAAAGCTGTTTGCACCTGCATGTCTGTGTGTGTGTGTGTGTGTGTGTGTGCAGGTGTGTGTGTTTGTCTGTATGTGTGAGAAAGTGAAGTGAAGGTTTGTTGTACCAGCAGCCCGAGGTGACAGAAACATTCCTGAGCTGATGTTAACTGAGAGTTCGCTGCACAAAAAAAAACAAACCCGTGTGAATGCAGTCGGACCTGAAGAGTGAAAACTTCTCAGTGTGATGGGGAAACGGATCGGCTCACAGGCCTGGTGTGTGTTTGTGTGTGTGTATTGGTTTGCATGATTTACACACTTTTCTGCAGGTAAGTCACTTTTTTTCTGCATGTTTGACCACACAAACATTCCTATTATTACTTCCTGTAATAAAACCTGCGTAACTCTTATTCATCACAGCCTCAGGTATAATAAACTGTGACCTTAGCCTCAAACCTGCTGCAGTTAACTCTTCTTGATACCTGACTGACGACTATTTGGAGAAGAAGAAAAAGTGTGTAGACATCAGTATCAGCTCTACTTTTCACAGTTTGTGCATCCTTAGTTTCCATGGCAACAGCATATTGAATTTCCCTTTGGGGATTAATAAAGTTCTTCTTATCTTATCTATCAGCCAATTCATGGATTGAATTAACACTGATGTAAAGTTTGTAATAAAATCTCAACATCAGCCCACAAAACAACAGAAACAGCTGTTTTGTTTCTGTTTTCTTCACTTTGCTGGATGTCTCTCTAGTTTCTCTGTTTCTTGTAAGTTTCTGCGCTGTTTTAACACTTCTTGTCATCTTCACTCTACTTCTTACAGGTCTGCCATTAAACACCAATCCCGAACTGTTATTAGACCATTCCTGATTTTTTTTTTTTTTTGCCTCTTGTTGTCAAAGGGTTTCGACCAATCAGAATTGAGTAATTAAGCTGGGTAATAACATGAATTGAGAGAGTGTTGTGTCTCAGACCTCCTCCTGGCGTGTGATGGTGGTCTGTCGCTTCTCCAACAGGGCGAGCAGCTCTGAGATTTTCAGCTGCAGACTCTGGTCTGAGGAGGAGGACTGCACGGTGGTGATCTCCGTCTGGATCTTTGTTATCTGGGTCTGGAAGGAGGACGGAGAGAGATGAGGGACAATAGAGGTATGTTTATAAAAGCAAACTGACAGGAGTAAACATGCAGGTGCTCATCAGAGATATTGTTTATCACCGGCACGTCATTAAAACGTGAAGCACCTGAACTTGGATCTGAACCTGATGGGGCATTTATGACTGCTGCAGACTTGGCAATAAATCAAAGTGCTGCATTGATTAAATCTGTACTGATGATGGCCGCAGATTAGGAGTCATTACAGTTTCACCTGAGGGCAAACATAAACATCTTAAGATAACAAACACATTAGTCGAGTGAAGATGAGATACGTCACCGCGCTCGGAGTGTTTCAGCTAATTAAATGTAAACGTCTGAACGCAAAGTCCTCACCCGCAGCCTCTGAATCTCCTGATCTTTCTCGTTCCTCATGGCGTCCAGCTGATCCTTGTACTGACGGGATAACTCCTCCGTCTTGACCTGCAGGGAGGCGCTGCTGGCCTGACCTGCGAGCTGAAGGTCAGACAAACAGAGAAAAGTGAGAACCAAATCTTTCCTTTAAGCCTTTTATGAGGATTGACGGGGTCGGTTCATCCCAACATTTTCACCGTAAGACGATTACTTCCTAAACACCAAAGCCTCGCCTCCTCTTGCATCTGCGCATGGTGCTCGTACCTTCTGTCTGAGCATCTCATTCTCCTTCTCCAGAGCTCTCAGCCGTCCCTCCAGCTCTTTGACTTTGAACTCGCGGTTGGAGTCTGTGTTTTTGTTGCTCTGGAGCTGACCCTCCAGAGAGCGATGGGCGGCGCTGGTTTCCTTCAGAGACAGCTGGTGACGGACGCAGGGACACAAACGCAAACTTTAAAGATCAGATTTCAACAAACTAAATATGATATCGCACAAATGTAGCATACCTGGAGCTGTCTGTTGTTTTCTCTCACAGCCTCCAGGAGGCAGTCATACTGTTTGGCCTGGTCTGCTTTGAAGCTCAAGTCTCTCTCTAAAGCCTCCTTCTCGCTCTCCAGACGCTGAAACCACAGAAAAACTACGGTCATACCTCAAACGTCAATAATTTCTGCAGTAGATGTTTGTACCTCTGATATTCAAATCTGATCACATGATAGAGATTTCTGTTTGTTTCACTGTCTGTTCAGGAATGCACGTCCACAATTAAAACCAGCTCCACCTCATCATATTAACACTCGCAATAACAACTTGTTATTGTCTGTGAATGTCTGCAGTAATTTAAGCGTTTATTAGCTCACACGGCTGTGGGAAGAGGAGTCTGTTGACTTTGTAGTTAAGGTTGTGAGGACACGCTGTTCTCAGTCTCACCTGATATCAACTGCTGCTACGACCGAGATCTCTATGTTCACATTAAATCCATGATACCACCCACACACATGCATGCTTTTCTGCACGGCTGATGGTGATGTTTACCAGAAACTGTTGCTATTAACCCTCAAAATATCCGGAAAACGTCTCGTGTTTCTCTACAAAAGATTAGGTTCATATATTAATTCCACTGCATGATGTGTGTGGTTGTTTTTGCAAAGATAGACTTTAAGTAGATGTTTAGGAATTAGACTTGGAGAGAGATCTATATCGCTTTTACAATAAATGAACGCTGTCATGATGTGAGAGTATAATCACAAATATACCAGCTCCGAGTACAAAATCTAAACATCTGGTGAAAAGTTCTGAAATTCATTTGAAGTATGAAGTTAAAGGCTGTTTGTCTCTAACCCGCAGATCTTCAGACATGTGCAGCAGTTCCTCTCTCAGGCTGCTGAAGGTGGACAGCAGCAGACGCATGCTCTTATCTGCAGTCAGGCGGGTCTGTGAAAGACACAAACACAGAAAAATACTCAGTAACAACAACAATAGAAGGGGAAACGCGTTACTGTTTAAACTGTTGCTAAAAAGAAAAGTCAAATCACAGCTTTTCTTTTGGCATTTGGTCACTTTTAAGGTCTATTTTACTGGAGCTGCAGCATCAATAATGCTATCACAGTTAATGGCTTTATTGCTTAGATAAACGTGAGTGTAAATGTGGGGATCTCTCAGTCTTTGTGACTCACCTGTAGCAGGTAGCGGATCTGTTGTTTGGTCAGTTCAGTGGCTCCTTTAGGAAGCAAAGCCTCCACCTCCTCTTTCTCTACCTGAGCACAAACACAGATTGATCATTTTTACTTTGATTTGTTTCAAGGAAACGTTCGATTCATTAAAATGAGAACAAATAAGGCAGCGTATGGGCTTTATGCCAAACTGTGCAGAGTGCAGGTAACCAGACGAGAATCAAACAACCAAGAGAGTCAGAAATCATCGAAACGTTCAGGATTGAGTGTTCACTGGATTTATTTATGGTTGGTTTAATGTGCATTTAGCAGATGTGTTGGACAGCCCTGTTTTTCTCACCTTGTAGTCATTGCTGGGGTCCAGCTGGTGTTTCCTGTAACACACAGAGAGGAAAGTCAAACAATGAAGTCGGAGGCATGACTCAAGAGACTAAAGGTGTGGGTGTAAAAGGGAGGGAAGAGAAGAAAGAAAGTGTCAGAGTGTGTGTTTGCACAGAGAACAAAACTCAGACTGTTTTACTGAGTCTTACAGGAAACAGAGTTTGAAACTCCCAGACGTCTGTGTTCATTCACCACTTTGTTCAGACAGAAAGTTATTAGATAAGGTTTTATGGTTTGATATAGACGGGTCCTTTCACAGGTGTACGTGTGTGCTGAGGGCGGTTTGGAGACTCGTATATCATCGCCGGTTCACAGAGAGGTTAAAAGTTTGAAAGAGATTTTGTGGTTAATCCTCTCTCGCACACTCATCATTTAAAATGACACCTCATGAATGAAACAGCAGCTCTGATAGGACCTCGCTCTCATTGGCTGCTCGAAATCACCTGACTAGTTTCCCACCTACAGGTTTTATATCGAGGTTAAAACTTCGGAGTATGAGGAGAGAAAAGTGCTTCATGGTCTTTTCCCCTCTATCCTCCAGTTACACTCTTTCTAAAGCGCTGGGACACATCCCTCAAAACATTCATGATAAAACTACCACAGGTGTGGTTTCATCTAACAAAAGACAAACTCTGTATTTACTGGATGGCATCACAGTTTTGCAAAACACGGACCTCCACTGGTTTGATTCTTCTCTCAAATGAGCTGAAAGTAGGAATCAAACAAGTGGAGGAGCAAAGGAGTCAGTTCGGGTATCAAGAACTGGATTTAAGCTGGAACTGGTTCTTGGTCCCCAAGTTTCTGAGATTTATGAGCTCGATAAGCTACATAACTTTCAGTTTCTCCTGACAGCAACATAAATCTTTCTTTCAGTCCTCATGAAGATTTATTGATCTGTTATCTGCTGCAGAACGTAAACAAAGTTTTTCTGAACTCCTCCTTCAGGTTTACGATGACAAAGCATTTACTTTAGCATGAAGTGAATTTGAGGCTCTGCTCTGAGTCTATACTGAGGTCAATAAATCAAATATAAAAATGTAAAAAATGTTTTTTTGTCATGTAAATTCAGCCTCCTATAAAGAGACCCCACTGTGCAGAAACTCTGCTCACTTTAGCAACGAGGGATGACATAACCGTGCTGAAAGTAGAGGAGGGTCAACGCCTCATGAAAGTAGATCATGAGTTTTACATTTCTATGATTTTTCTCGAGGTTTCTGCCTGTTAAAATGAAGTTTCTATGCCACTGTCACTCATGTTAGATGAGACGGGTCAAATCTGTCCCATCTCAAGTTTAGGTCTCTGTAATTCATCAAACAATAAGCCTAGGTCTAGACCTGCTCTTCTTCAGTGGTTTATAAATAAAAACTGGGTGATTGATATAATTAATATTGATATTTCTAGATTTTACTTTTTCTTGCATGATCTACCACAAGTGAGGAGTTTATTGTTGTAAATGGAGGAAAAACAACCAAAAAGGTTCATGAATGATTTGTTATTTGTTTCCTCTCTGAATATCCTGGAAACAGAATTTTGGATCAATAAGAGTTTGTTTATTTATTTTGTGCATATAAAAGAATAATAACAATTTAAAAAATTAAAATAAAATATATAACTATTGTAATCATACAATAGTGGGCAGACTTAATGCAATAAAAAACTGACAAATATGAAAAAATATATGTTATTACAATGAAAATGAGAACTATGAAGTACAAATCCATAAAGGAGTGGGAAGAAGTAATACTTATTTAATCTCACCCCTTATCCATTAAATATTATTCAATGAGAACCAGAGTTCACGTGGAAGGAGGCGCACCACGAGGAAGAACAAGGTAAGACTCTGTCTCTGTGTTTAGCACCTTTGCAGAGCGCTGCATGTGTGTAATCTTTGCTGCTCTGTCTCTGTTATTGGAGTTGACACACAGCCCCATCAGCTGATTTGTAAAGGTATGAGTATTATAGTGATGCAATGCAACACTGAAGTTTTGTAAGATCTGGAGACTTTTTGCGGGTCATCCATTCAGTGAAGAAGTTCATGCCACTGACCATCTGGTTGAGAAGATGGAGTTTAGTGTTGAGCACCTGTCAGAAGCTGTAAATTTCTACGACGGTGCCTCACGGATGTTACGATGAAAAGAAACCGACCATAACTCTTCTTCTGCCTGTCCCAGCATGCCGCTCAGGATACTTATAAAAGCTGCTGAACCTGAACCATCCAGCTTTATTACAGTGTCCTCCAGCTGTTTTCTAGAAATCTACTCATCTGTACTCGAAGACAGTAAAAGCAAACTGTGAATGACAATCATGACTTTTGTATTTGCAGAAACATACTTGAACATTTTCACCATTTTGCATGAACGTAAACATCGTTTCCATGCAACAGACTGGATGAATATGCTCTGCCACTGTGAGCAGAAACATCCATGTCAAAGATGCTGATGCACTTACTGTCCTCTGATCTTGGCCACGTGCTCGGAGATGCAGGAGTGGATGTCGCAGTTCTTCCTGTAGACTTCAGCCAGCAGCTCGCCGAAGTACCGTGTGTCCATCTTGGGTGGCTCTGTCCTCACCTCTGTCTTCACCTCCGTCCTGGAGATCTTCTCTACAGCTGGTGGAGGCCTGGTGGCACTGGTTTGGACCACATTGACAATCTCCACTTCTTCCACCTCCACCACCTCTTCGTCTTCCTCCTCCTCTTCTAAAACTTCCTCCTCTTCCTCCTGAAGAGACAGAACAGAGAATGACTTTCAACCACTGTCTCTGATATCTAATTATGGATCGTATTTGTATCCTCAAAGTGGAGATCAAACAATGAAATTTGTTCTTTCATGAGGGGCAGTTTCTGTTAACAATATGGTAAATACCCGACCCCAAAAGAAAAGGCACTCGTCAAAGTATTTCCCTCTGTTTTACTGTTATTCATGCTTAAGTCACTATTTAGTTGAGCTAGGACAATAAGCTTTTCTCCTGATTCGATTCTTCTACAATTTTTTGGATACCAATTCGATTTATATTGCGATTCTGCGATATTGTCGATTTTCTAAATATTCAGTCTGCATTTTTAACACCCCTGAAACAGCTGACTGATTATGATTGTCTACTGATTGTTCCAGGAACCACATTTCCCCCAAAAATACACATCACATTTAAGTCAGTTTTTAAGATTTATTCTTAAATTTAAAAAAAAAAAGATTTTTGAACATAAAAATCTATTTAAAAATTGTAAAACAAAAAATCGCTACACTTTTGTGAATCAATTTTTTTACTATTTAGGGGGTATTTTTCCTTTATAAGGCAGGACAGCTGCAGAAAAATGGGACATGTGGAGCATGGCAAAAGGGGGAAGACGTGCAGCAAGGAGAGTTGAGCCAGCAGCCACTTAAATCAGGACTTTAGCCTTCATACATGAGGGCGCACACTTAGACCACTACGCTAACAGGGCCCCATATAAAGCCAACTCAAATGCGGAAATGAAACTTTAATGAGGTAAAGAATTAATTCAAATTCACATTTTGTAAGTTTAAAGTTTGCACATGTGTGTTTGCATGAGGGACTAAAACTCTTCCCAAATTGCACACAAATGAATGAATAAATCAAAACACCAAAAGTCGAGGATAATATGCGGTTAAACATCAACAAACTTTCATCTAAACCATGTAAGCTCACGAGAACATGCTGATAAATCACCTCCGAGAGGCTCATTGACAAAGTCTGAATTCCCAGGAACTCCCTCAACAATCCTGACCATGAGCATCCACACGTGTGATCGAACACGCCCACCACCTGCTTTTATCTGCGTGTAGCTGCAGAGTGAAGTCAAACAAGTGTTGCATAAGCTGTTATCTGATGCCAGGACTGTAGCTGAGCTTTCCAGAGAGAGAGAGAGAGAGAGAGAGAGAGAGAGCACTTTCACTGTGTGCAAACACTTGTCCGTCAGGCTGTTTGTTTTCTTAACAAGAACATGACAGACTGGCGGTCCACTTTGGCATTATTTATCATCCCTCTCTTGCAGTAACTCAACCAGTTTTTCAAAAGCACTTTTCCAGTAACGCCCACCAGACCATCAGAGCCACAGACTGATTTAATCTGGAAGAAACAGGTGACTTAATCTGAGGTGGATTTTAAAGGTATAGACAGGCTTGTTTGCTTTTGTTAAATCATCCAGCCCGATGTCACCCTCCCTCCTTAAGTTATAGAATTTATCTATTTAGGGTGGAGCTGTTTTCCTAACAGGGTGTGCATCTGTTTAAGGCCCCGGGGCCTCTCCAGGTTTCTCGTCTCTACCTGCCTACTTTTCCCTCCAAATGCTATACAACATAAAGAGGGTTGATGGACTCGTTCTGAGAGTAATAAGGGCTAACTAATGAGATGTAATGAGTCAATAGGGGAAGGAAAACTTGACTTTACAAAGGCTGGTGTGGATAAGGGCTTGTTAAGGGTATATCAGGTCAAAAGTGACTTTTCAACCGTGAAATTTAAAATGAAAGTATAATTAAGAAATCCAATAAGATTTGGTTTGCTGAGTTTACACGTTGATAATAAGAGATGCTGACAGTCTGCCAATCAATCGTGCAAAAACAACGTACCAAATACCAGATCTAAAAAGTATCAGGACTCTTTCACTACAGAGCAACGCTGTTTTAATATGTGCAGAGTGTAGTTTATTATGTAAGGCCTTCTTTGATGAAAATGTTGTTTTAACAGCAGCAGATGTTACTCCAAGACCTCTTTAAATTCAACGCTAATAGTGCTATTTCAGTCGTGTTAAATGCCCATGTCACACGTTCCCTCGAACCGTGGTTGATTAACAACCCAGATGATCCCTTTCATCTTCAGACTAGTAAATGTGGCGTCCAAGATTCCCAAAAAGAAGGTCAATTTTTGATTTGGTGGAACACATTAAGGTCTATCACTTTTCTACAGTCCATCTCAAATCAGCAGTAGTTCAGAGAAGTCGCCTGCATTTTACAAACATGTCTTTAAATGGTTTTCCCTTTAAATGGTTCAGTTTCAGGATGTTTTGCATCAGATTTTTTCATCATGCAGTGATTTCCATTACAGAGTCACGTCTGTCATATCTTATGGTGCTGTTATCAACCTTGTCCCTTACTCCCAAAGATTTCTCCTTCCAGTAAATGAGCCTCTTACAAATATAAAGTCATAATTATGTAAGTAAATTGTAATTGTGTAATGCAAAGTTAGCTTTCACAGAGTTTGGTGAGAAGAGGGAATCAGACCACAAACTGGCCTGATTATCTTGTCGTGTGTCTCACCTTACAGGAATGATTTGGCAAGACTTCCTGAATGAATCAAGTCCTCGCAAGTTTCAATCTGAGTCTTTTTCCCCGAAATAATGTCATGCCACCTTGAATTTCCAAACCCTGGTTGCATAAAGCGGTTCAGCTACATTCCTCATGAACCTGGGGGACAATGAGAAGCCAAATTTCCCGCAAGGTTAGGTTTACACAAGAGTGCCACTGGAGAGCCATCAGGACCTGCAGTATTCTGAATTCAACCACCCAACAAGGTAAGTTAAATGTTGTACTAAACTAACTTGACAAGTCAGGCCTTGATTTTGCATGTAATATTTTACTGGAATTAAGACAGTTGCCAAGATTTATGTTTGTCTGCATCAACATGCACACTCTCCTCAAAACTAGCCTCACACTAGTATCCAACCATGTGTGGCTACAGCTTCCAGATTTTGGCATTTAAGTTTATAACACTGAATGATTGAATGCTGATACAGGGTTGTGTCAACACTTCGCTGAAAGTGTCGACATCTCATCCAAACGGCTCAGGTTTCGAGAGAAATTCAGTTTCAGTCATTAAAAAAATAAACATCTAAATACCGCATAAATACCACAGCATTTTGCAGTTCTTGTTACCACCACCCACCTACACAGACAAGCCTGGAGAAAGGCAAAACAACGATTTGGGAGTATCAAATATGAATGTCTGGGTAGCTCTGGTATTGTCTTCATTAGAATAATAGTTTAAGGAAATTCCACAGACTGGAAGATAAACAAAGGCAGAGAGAGAGGAGTTTAAAGAGGCTGGAAAACTGCAAGTTTGACATCAATGCTGAATTTCACCAAGTCCAACATATCCCACCACAGCCATGTAGGAACCCAAATTCTTGAGAACCTAAAGGCCACATTATAATCCCTTCAAACTATAATCCATATTTATCGTGAGTATATTGTTCAAATATTGACTTGAGAATTTGGGCACATCAGTGTCATGTTTGCAATGCCTGGGACCCCTGCTGTTATTGATGCACTGCAGATATATTAATATTGGTGTGAATGTTAAGGTGCATTTTAATAAATATAACTATTGTGAAAAAGTTCGATATTTTCTTTCTATTAACCAAGAAAGTGAAAACGCTTCTCTCTGTTGAACTTTGATAATTGAGACGACTGTCAAACAAAGCAGAAGATACAACTTAGGGGGGCTTCGGACTGAAGCTGGAGTCAGAGCTCTCAGAGCCACCACACACGCATGAGTCCAGGATCTGGACTAAAACTGTCACATTTCTAATATCAAGTCAACTCTGGACCAGACACAACGTCAGAAACATCTCAGTCGGGCTAAGGACTAAAAGAACCAGACTATCGCCGAGTAAGCCAAAGAAAAAAGTCTATTTTACATCAAAGAAGATCAGACAGATTTCTTGAAGTTCAGTGTGAAGTTTCCACAGTCTGTTGGTCTGCTGTGTTTTATGAAGTCCAGGTTTCCTTCTCCAGCAGAACTTGGCACCTGATTAGTTGATCGTGATATTACTGTTCTTGACCAGCCTGCAAACATCCTGACCTGAACCTCACTGAGGATCTCTGTGGGGGATTTGGAAAAAGGAAGATGCGAAACAGCTAACCTTCTGACACAGACCAGGTAAAGTCCGCTATAAATCAGATCAGGCTGATGATCGTTTATAATCCACAAAACAAAAGTTTCATTCAAGCCAAATTACTCACTGCATCAGCTGCCAAATAACCAATGTGTGAAATTTTCCTCTCTCGTATCTGTTTTCAAAATACTAAGCGTGTTTGACTCCACTATAAAACACACACCTGTGGCTTTATCACAGCAGATCTCAGAGTGTTTGATTAAGGCTTGGCTCTCCATCAACTATCCTAAATGACACATAACTCAGGTATCTCACAGAGCAGGTTGTAAACTGAAGTCAAACCTCGTCTGGCAGCTTTGAAAGGCAAATCTGAACCAGCAGGTGAGTTTATGACCGTACAGACCTCAAAGTTCAAAGCTGAGTCAAAGGTTGGTCCTTTCACCACATTTTACGGTCTTAGATAATGAGTTGGAGCCAAAGACGACTGAGGAGTGAAGCCGTGAGGATAAGAGGAGAACATATGTGATCATGTGGAGGTGGGTGTGTCCGAACGTGCTGCAGGGTTGTGGCTGTTACGTACACATGCTGCTCATTCCTGCACAGAGAGGGAGAGGCCGGCGGACATGGCTGGACTGCAGGCGACTGACCTGTTATCAGCAGACGTGTCGATGAGCTGCTGTTTACACAATGACATTCATCGAGTACTTTAAATATCAGCCGTGGAGTTTTATGCCGTGAAGCTCCTGCAACAATAGTTTAGAGAAGCACTGGAGCTAGTTCAGGCAAGCAAATCAGGCAAGCAGCATGTAAAAATCAAACTGTGAATCAGACTAGAATCGAATATTCAGCAGAAATGTTAAATATCGGTGCTAAAATGTGAAAAATGAGACTCCACACTTCACCATAGAAACATCCATTTGTTTTTTTTGTTGTTTGCAGGTCAAAAACATAGAGTCATACTTCATAATTATGCCATTTTTAATTAGCCAAGAGATACAACCTCTCTCCACCTGTGGTTAAATGATTGCTTGTACAGTTTGGCAAAATGTTATGCATTGTATTAGTTAATAATGATGAAGCATCTATCATCTGTACGGTGCATTCAGGTTGTAGGATGTCAGCTAAAAACCTTGTTTTGGACTATATGACTGAGTATTTTCCTAAGTTGTTGTTGTTGGTGAAGGAGCTGTAGTTCTTTGTCAGGATCACTAAAAGTCCCGAGGTCAGCTCTGACCTGCAGATGTTAAATTCCTGAGACCCTCTGCAAACCCGAGCTCACACTGCCGCAGAAACAACAGCTCGGTGACAATGGGTTAGCAGGTTGCTCCAGGGCTGTGTGCTTCATACGGTGTGTACATGTGTTTGTTTGTTTGTGTCTTTGTAGGCCAACTGACCCAGAAACATCTGAGAGCTGAAAAATCACCAGAACAAATTTGTTGCATAACAAGTACTGTACAAGTACTACTTCAAGATCGGTCTGAAACATGTTTCTACACACAGGGAGATATCTGCCTCATGACTGGTACCTGCCATTGAAAAACTGTAACAGCTTATGTAACCATGAATAACCCTCTGTTCATGTCCATGTCCTGTTTGAAGTTAACGTCTTTCATCTGACATCTGAAACCTGCAGAGCTGCACAGAAAAGTCCAAACACGTGTCTTTTCTTCTCCCTGCCTGGAGGTCTAACCCACGACGAATTTGGCAAAACATGAAGTCCCATTGAAGCAGGTACATCTGATCTTGTTAAATCAGGTCATAAGGTCGCAAATTCCTGTCCTAAATTCAAGCAGATATCCCTCGATCCGGATCAGAAACCAGACAAACTCGTTTCAATTCTGCAGGCTGTGAGAAAAGGAAAGTAACCCAATATTTACACCGAAGACGTCATCACATCACCTCTTAGCCTCTTGGGCTAATGTGTGTGCGTGTGTGTGTGTGTGTGTCTCTGTGTGGGATGTAGGTCAGTGTGTGACCCGGGTTCTCAGGACTCTTTGTGGCCGCGTAACACTAGAGGTTGTTATTGAAGACAGAAGAGTCACTTTACCACACAGGCTCTTTGTTTGCGCTCACCGATAAACATCGCCATCCCGCTGATTCAAACGCGGTGTGATTTAGTCCTGACCACAACAAGGATGTTGATATCTCTGGGTTTTTATTCATCCATAAAGCTAAAAGTAAAATCAAGATAATAGAAAAGCAGAGAGCAAGGAGAAACAGCCTCACAGTTTAGGTTTCAGCATTTGGCCGAATCATCGGCAACCATCTCAGACTCGAACAAACAAACTGTGGCACACTTTTGCAAACAAGGTGAGAAAGTTTCATGCATCTGTGTGGCTGCAAACTGAACTGATGCTGACATGAGCCCACTTTGTGTACTCTGTAATGAGGCCGGAAAAAAACGTAGAGGCTAAGTCTGTCTTAGCTGCAGCACAGCAACCTTGTAGTAGCCAGGGTTATGGCTGCAGTTTTTGAGAAGGGCACAGCGCTGTAACAATCGACCACCTGGAACACCTGTAAACATGCACAGATGACAGTCAAACGAGAAAGGACATTAATCTACGGAAAGGACAAACTGTCTTGACATTGTTTATCATGCATGGTCACAATGAACTCTAATGTATATTTAAAGTCCAGTTTAGTCGAGCTGATGTAATAAATCCAAATTTAAACAACATGTAGATTCTGTCTGCAAACCCCTGTTTGAATCTGCCGAAATTTCTATTGAAAATAAATGGGAAATTGGCCACAATAGAACTTCCTGAGTGATTAGATTAGATTAGATTAGATTAGATTAGATCAGATTAGATTAGATTAGATTAGATTAGATTAGATTAGAAAGTTTAATTGATCAGCAGTGGGGAAACTCATTTGCCACCTGATCAGCCCATGCAAACAACATGGAGGAAACATCAGAAATAATAACTCCAGAGATTGAATAGATTTGATGCATCATTTACAGCTTTTGTTTTGAAACCTTCTCTGTATTTTCCTCCAGTTTAAGATCCAAACGAGCCATCTAAAGGTTTCTACTGTGCAGCACTGTCCAGAATGAAAGTCTGAAGATCTGGTTCTGTAGAGCAAACAGCACACATAATCCCAAACATAAACACACTTGATGTTTGAGACGAGAGAACAAAAAGCACAGAGCCTGATGAAAACCCTCACACACGTGGTGTGTTTGTCTTCTTCATGTTACCTTAAGCTCCTGTAGTAATACTCGGGTACAATTATAAAGTAAATAGAAACTTAACCTCTGCTGGGTGTGTCTGAAACTCCTGACAGACAAAACTCAGCATCAAGCTGTCTGCTGAAGTGATTAAAGTCAATAAACAGTGATGAGAACAACAGAGCGTTGACATCATGTGTCTGAACATGCAGCGGATTAGTATTTTCTTGTGTTACAGAGAAGACGAAGGAGATAAGAGAAGCCAAGCCAAGCCGCTTCAGTAGTCATTACCAGCTGGAGGTGAACCAGAAGTTTCTGACAAACAGAGACATCGCACCAACAACTCAGATTCAGGAAATATAACTTTGTACATCTTATGAAAGTAAGACATGAGCTGCAAAGTTGTTGGAAATCAGGTTTTCACTCAGACGTTTTTAATGCTAAGCTAACCTGACAGGCACCATGACTGGAGTCTGTTACCCATCAGGATCCAGGAGCTGTTTCAGATCTGACTCTGGGTTAGAAAGTGAAAGGTCTTATCCTCCTACAGATCAAACTCTCTTTGCAGCCTTAAGAAATGTCTCCAGAGGTGAAACTTTGAGTCACTCATCATCATCAGAGTAAATTCCAGTCGGGGTTTTCTTCACTTTTTCGTTCCTGGTGTCATAACTTTGTATTTTTCTTCTTCATATGATTACACACGCTGCTAAAGTGACTCACCCAGTTATAAATAAACGGAGGAGTTTGAAGGATAAATATGTGTGGGAACCGCTCTCCCTGACTCTAAATCAACTGATAGACACGCTGACAGGTCAGAGGAGTGACTGGCAGCAGATTGGTAAACGAGCGGTTTAAAAATGAGGAAAGACTGAAGCTGGTGTGAAGCCAAATAGCAGCGGAGTTTGGCACTGTCAGGCAAAACTTTCACAATAAAAAAACACAAAAAATCAACAACTAAAACGTACTCTGATTACCCTGAAAGAAAGCAGATATATGCGGGAAGAAACCACAAAGTTACAGCTCAGCCTGAAATATAGAATAAGTGAACCAGCAGCAGATGGTGAAACAGACGGCGCTCAGATGTGAGATAGGAGGAAGCTGAAATGACTACCAAAGTTTTCAAGGTTGCACTTTTATATACTAATCATAATTCATGCTACATTGTCATCTTCACCGGTCAGCTCGAGAGTGAGAGGTGGGTTACTCCGTATTTGTTTGCTCAGCTGATGAAGAGGACGTACAGAAGCTGTGATCCTGGCAGGAGCTGGTGGTGCATGTCCTTCCCAATTCGCTGTTCACATCTGTCTCAAGATATATTTTCAAAATAAGAGCAGAAAGCCCGAACATGGTCCTTAAAATATACATATGCACTAATAACCACTCTATCCTCTTTCTGTCTGTGTCATTAACTTTGAATCATCACATCTCATTAGACAGTCTTTTCTGGGAGTCCCCGAGCTCCATCATGCCGTAGGTTCCTCTGGATTGCTGCGGGACCATCCAGCAATCAAACTCTCCTCTGTCCATCTCTCTCTTTAAACCAGCTCAATCCTAGCAGATGACTGTCCAACATCAGTCTGGTTCTGCTTGAGGTTTCTGCCTGTAAAAGGAAGCTCTTCCTCTCGACTGTAACTTGATAAAAGCTGTGAAGTGTTTCACTCGTGGTTGAAGATGGGATGGGAAAGAGAAAGCTGCTGTTTCTGCACAGTTAATGAACATCTTGACACTGATTTCCTCGTGGTAAACACTGAAAATATGACGTACTGCTCAGCATTTCTGCCTCACCAGCACGTGTCACCCTCCCTCACTGTCCTGTAATTATGAGTGAATACTTCACATACCCCACAGAGCTGAGAAAAGCCTCTTCAGCCGCAGAGCACAGACTGAAACTATTTTACAGCAGTACTAAAGTTTACCTGCCAGACACGGTTTGTCAGACTCTCTAAATCCTTAAATCTGTTTCATGTGGGTTCAAACCCAGCAGAGTTTCTCTCGCTGTGCTTGAAAAGCTGATAAAGTCTTACGGCTAAACGGTGACAGGATCCGTCTGCACACACAGAAGCAAACATGAGAGCCAATAACCTTCAATAAGCCTCACTGAGGAAAAGCTGCTCGCTCTTCACTCAGCCCCTCTCGTTACAGAGCACTACTGACGTTTTAACCTCTGACCTCCTCTGAGGTAACTGTTTATACAATGTCAGAGATCAAGAGGTTCGTTCCTGCTCCTGTTACTCTGGGTAATAAAGGAGGAAATAAGATTGAGCAACAGGTTGAAAGCTCGCCATGCCTTTGCTCTTGGAGAGGAGCGATAGTAGGCAGATTTGTGTGTTTATGTCTGAGTGGGACAGCATAAGTGCTAAATACTGAAAGGTTATTAACTGACAAAAAAAATGGAACCTTTGGTTTGATAGCAAAATAAACTGAAGAGGGTGCAGTCGTGGTCTTCTACAACATGATGCACCCACAAAGTCAGGAAAAAACATGGCGGCAATCAAAATCAATGAGTCCGAGCCTCCATTTGTTTGCATTTGAAGCATGTGAAATCTTAACTTTGCCCCTCCAGATTATCAAAACCTTCATATCTAATATATACAGTTTTTTTTTCTTCAGCCTGCACAGGCATGTAAGACTTTTCAGCCCAGAGCTGCAGGCAAAGCTTAAGACCGAACCATCGGGAGCGTTTCGACCTATTCCTGAAGACTGACTGACTGACTGACTGACTGACTGACGAGCTCTGATGGCGTGTCACGGATCAGTTAGCTAATCTGTTGAAGTTAAAGACAGTTCAGAGGATCCCCTCATCTGTGTGAAGAGATCCAAGACACCGTGACGAAGGAGGAACTTTCTTAAACTCGTTTCACAGCTTTTCCTTCTCTGATCAGAAACATTCAAGACGGGATCTTTATCTTTATATAGCGACGAACACAACAAATCATGAGCCAGAGGGTTTAACAATCCTATGACACAAGACATCCTTTATCAGCCGTACAAACACCTATAATACAGGAGAGTATACAGGCAGAGACACTCTATTTTACATAGGAGAGTCACACAAAGAAGTGATCTATAGGGGGTCATACCTCTGCAGGAACCAGATTCAGCAAACCTAACATTAAGGTAGGCCTTACAGTGTGCCGGCTGTCAGTCAACTCAGCGGATTTATCTTTCAGACCTGTAAACATGTTTTTGCTTTTTTTTTGTTTGTTTGTTTCGTATGTGTGTGTGTGTGTTTACGGTGCTTCTGCAGCCTGCCTCGAGTGGACACTCAGGGAGGGAACTGCTGTTTTTAGCACTTCTGCCTCAGCTTAGATTCAAGGGTTAACGGGGAGTCATACATGCATGATACCTACTCCTTATTTAGTTCTTGATACAAAACTTTTCCTGCTAAAAGTGAGAAAAAGTGCAACACATGTTTATCACTAACAAGCAAAGCTGTCTGTGTTAATTCTTTGTCCATTAACACCTGTGTGGTGAACTGACGGACTTCTGCAGACTCTGCAGAACCCGTAATGATAATGATGAAGACAGATTCACACGTTCACATTCGTATTAGTTTGAACAGGGGCCAGTGCTTTAATAAACAGTGAAACTAGTCCTAACTCTATCAGTCTGCAGATTACACATGGTCCACACTTTGTGAGTACTCGTGTAATGTAGAGTAACTAATGGAGAGTAAAAATAAGAAGTATAAAAGTAGCAGCATACAGCTTTGGTGCGGCTCAGTACATTGTTTTATATTTTCAGCTTTACAGAAAACACGTTCGTCCAGACTGGACTACAACTCCAAACTACGGTGACACACTGAGACAGGACTCAACTACCAAAAACCAGTTTTTGGTTTTGTATGCTTGACACGCCTTCCTCTGCATCAACCGTTAGTCATCCACATTGTGTTGGTTTTGGCAACATATGACAACATGTTTTCCATCAATCTTGGTGTGGTTTCACCATTACAGTAAAACCACAGGCAGGATCAGGTTCTCCAATCTTGCTTTGACTAATTTTTGATTTGATTGCTAAACGGACCGTTGCTCATAGATCAAACTGAGGCCTTTCTAAGCTGAAAAGTATTCCTTCAGAGTGTAATGTAAACAAAACTGACTCTGTCCTCACTTTACAGACCAATAATCAAGATTTTCTTCCCCCAGCAGCCCGAGTGTCTGTCTTTTATCAAACAGAAACCTCCCAGACAGAAGATAGAGCTTTAGCCGTCTCTGCACACATATTTTCTTCACTATTTTTACCACCAAGGCAGACAAGAAACTTTGACTAAAATCTACAGAAGGAGCACAAGTTTCCAGGACAGGACTAAAGGATCACTAACCCTCTGTGTTGTTCTAGGATTCAGACAATGAAATTAGATCAAAATTAGCAGCATACTGAGGAACTCCCACTCTCCATTCCTATACAAAAACATGGACGGGTGTGGTGCATGTTTCTCCCTGACAACCACTTTTGTCAAACTTGCCCTCTACAAAAAATGCTGTAGAAAAACCATTGTTCAGAAAAAAGGGCCACAAACTGACGACTGTTTGAAGCCCGACCGCCTTAATTATGCTGAAAAGAAAAGGCTGACACCAGGCATGTTTGAGCAAAAACAGGCAGCACAGACTCAAGCACGCACATGTGATACAAAGATGGAAAATGAAGCGTAATTATGAGACTGCACCTCTGCATGTTATCCAAGGACAACGATGGAGAGGAGGAAAGATTACTGGATCCACATAATGGGATTAGTCCCTGATCTTCATTCTGGTCCAAGATAACGCCATGAAAAATAATTGGCTGAAATATGATCAAAGATACATGTTCAAACTTGGCATTAAAGGGTTTTTTTAACTGTAAAAATGCATTTCTTGTTCTCAAGTTTCACTCTATAGTTCCCAAAAGCAACAAAATACTTTAATCTTCCAGGACCTGCTGCGCTGATGCAACACGAACAACGTTGTAAGAGGAGGATCATACCGAGAGTGGCAAAGCTTTAGGGAAAGAAAATGATGATTGCATTAAGAAGTGCAACAAGTGGGACATTGACATTTCAAGCATATCAGATATGGCAAAGGATGTTCTGCAACAATACACGTGTTTGAGAATATCAGCTGTTTTTCAATGTGCTGCAATCTCCTGTCTATAGAAACATCCCGGCTCTAACTAGCAGTAGCAGCTACAGCAAAACAGCTGCAGGTGTGACGGAGGCAGAGCTGAGAGACACACAACACGTAGGATGATGTGCAGCTGTAGTTTTTGAACAGAGGTGCATTCATCAGCCCTTTACAGATGAAGTGCTGTGAAGATTATTTCTCCACTTCACATTTGTCAGTGACACTAAATTGACCTCTGCTGCTCTCGAATCTGTATTGCTGCAGTTAGAGGTTCATTATCTTTCATTTTGCATTGCATTTGCTCGACTATAGTGCATGGACTTTTTTATTGATCAAGTTTGAACAGAAGCTTCTAATAAAAATCTAATTTATGCACATCTTCACTGCCAATTTGTTAAGCTAAACTCAGGTAAACACCTGAGCTTGAGGGGATCTTATAACGTTTCCCACCAAAGACGCTAGCTTCAAAGATCGGCTGCAGATCAGACTGTCACTCCACAAAATTATTAAGAGAGAAATAATTACTATCATTAAAGTAAGCACACGGAGCACTTTCTCAGGTAATGCTGAGGTGCATGGCATCAAAGCGCCGTCAGAGCCTCCATCAATCATTGATCCAACCTGTTTTGACAACAGTCATATACATGACGCTGCACGCTGAGTTCAGAGGAATGCACCCGCCCACAGCGGCGGCCTCTGACATACCTCAGTCCAACACCCGCCCTGAATGGTTCATCAGGGTTGAGATAGTTGCAGGTTCTGCGATCACGAACAAAGTGTTGTTGTACGAGTGTGAATGTGGAGGCAGCAGGGCGTAGCTGCACACACACACACGTACAAACACAGCGATCATAGTAAAACTCCCGGCTGAGCGGGAAGTTTTGTTGTATAAAAGATGACACCTGATGTGCTACTGTGTTCGCACACCAACATGTTCCCATGTCCATGCCTCATGCTGAAGGGTGTGTCTACTCAGAGCCAACAGACTGCACACCCCCACAGCAGTTTTTCCTTCCTTTTCTTTCTCAGGCTGCATGGAGGAATAATTCATTCCTCTACCTTCAAACCACAAACCATTAGGCAAAAAGCTCACTGAGGGCTTTGACTTTACTCTCACAGAGAATAAAAAGTGCTGCAGTGTGTGTGTGTCTTTACCTCCTCGGGCTCAGGGCTCTTAATCGGACTGGACGACTGGCTGAAGACTGAAGACTGTCCGCTGATGCTCTGAAGTAAGAGAAAAATCAGAGAGAGAAGAGAGGGTCAGATTCAAGCAGGTCAAAACAAAACAGATTTCTGCACCAGCCTATAAACATTCCTTTGCATCAATTTTGTCCTTTAATGTGGAAAAGATGTTTCATCATCAAAAAGTGTGCTGACACCTCCAACCTGAATGAGACCCCAGGTGGTGGACCTATATCTAGATGGAGGAATCATAGTGAAGATGTCTCCAGTTAAGATGTCAATGAGGATGACTGTGTGCTGCCATGATGTGACAGTTACACCAGAGAAAATTATTTGCTCACAGCACTGAAATCTTTTGCCTTGACTATCTGCCCGACACTAGTGATATCCAAGTGCATAAAGCCCCCACCTCTGCGGTTCGCTTGCACTAGCACTCTCCTCAAGTCTGTCCACATATACATGATGAGCTGAACATGGAGGCGATAATTCTCACCTGTTATAGTGTCATTGATTCATAACAGATATGATACAAACTTCCACAATCTGTAACTAAGTTTATTCCCAGTGAGAGCGCCTCATTCAGATAAAAAACACACACAGAGGTCTTCCTTGTCTTAGACGGCCTGGACTGATTCAACACCTGATAATGACAGGAGTCATTTCAAAGAAATTAAAACAGACTTCATCCACAGATAAAATCATTTTAGTTCACACAGAGGTGTTATTGTTGACCACAGCATGGACGTGTTTGAGCATGACATCCTTTTAAATACTGAGGTACTGTTACACCAACTCAGCAGACTGTAAAAAATCCCATTTATGGGTGTATGGCTATTGAGTTTAACATATTTCCAATGACAGGAAGTCTATGTTCACTAAATTCATGAAGACATTCTCAAACAGGGTGGTCCTGCTTTGATTCAAATCCAGCCTCTGTGCCTGTTTCCTGCTCAGTCCACTTTACCATCATCTCTGCAAATCAGCGTTAAGGCCTGAGAATATAACTTTGAGAAATTAATGGTGATAAATCAAAAACAGCACCAGTTAGTTATTTAGCAGCACGGTTTAACCCTTTGATTGCACTTTGTGAATTAGATGGTTTCTCTCAGGTTGGGGGGCACAAAAGCTGCAAAAATGGGTCGTTTTCTCACCAGTACAGTCTGTTTGCCATGTCATTACAGCAGTCAAACCACAGTGGCCTAAATTTGGTGCCAGATTAACTTGTACATAACTATTAATAGGGATTGTCACCAAAGTCATCATAAACATGAATGATGTGTTGTGCTACGAGAATACGAAGGATGCGATGCTGAATGAACTCACATTCTGAGAAATGTTTTTGAGAATATTGTTTAACACGAGTGACTGCACTGTTTTTATTGGAAACACTTCGGAAAAAATAGGTTTGTATGGCCTTCAAACTGTTATTTTTCACCAAATCCAATTAAAACCAGGAGATCTTTGATTCAGAGATCCAAGAAACTAATAAAAACCATCAGGCCATCCAGGTAAAAGCCAAAGGGGGATACCTGCAGTCTAACCTGTAATCAACTAATCCTCCAGAAGTGATCCAACCAGGTGGAAGAATGTGTTTGTCTTTAAATGTCAGGGTGTGCCGTGTCAGCAGAGTTAAACTGGGTGTGTCCTAGCGTTTCTACCAACACGCCACAGTCATTAAGCTTCCTGCGCCGTGACTCAAACAGCTGAGGAACTTTTGAAAGCGATAATGTCTTAAAAGGTGCAGAGAGACTCATGAGACAGAGAACAAGGACTTTAAAGTGAAGGACTGTAATACTTCGACGTGGGAGACAAAATAGTGTTTGAAAAGTTGTGTAAACCGTTCAAAACAGCCGAGTCGTTTCGGAAGTGTTTTTTATCAGATCTGGAGAGCTCTCTGGTGAGCCATAAAGAGGTTTAGACTAGACTGTTTCCTGGTGAAGTCATATCAATGAGGTGCAAAAGTCCGATAAACCAAACCGCAAATAAGCACTTTATCCAGTTATACTGTATTTATTTATCAAAAGGGAGGTAAAATTTAGAGTGAGATTCAGATGGTGTGAACATTATGGTTTCACTGAGTTAGGTTTACAGCTCTGAAAGGTGTTAGTTTAAAGTCTAGGAGCACAACCAAGTCAACACAGCTCACTCTCTCAATATGAAAGAAATACCTTGCAGATTAGTGAACACACACGCTGAAACACATGAAGACAAAAACTGATTTAAAGCTTGTCGTCAACGTGACTTCTACTCATGAATGAACTAAAATAACTCAACATGTGTCCCTCTGACAGAAGCGTATTCCTGCAGAAACTGTACCGTAAAAGCTTAAAAGTGGGGCAAGAATTAACACTGTGCCATAACTCTAAAAACAAATATGGCGTCTCACTGTTTCATTGAATTTTGCCTCATAAAGGCATCATTTATGATAATCTGGGACAAACAGACTCAGAATATGAACCATCTCTACAGTAGTTAGTGCTTTTGTTTACTTTTGGTTATCTTAAATCACTACACAGTCTGTATACTCTACATACTCTCAAATATTATATCATTTACTGTAATTGAGATCCATGTGGACAGGCCCTTGCATAAATTAACTCTGAGGCTTATTTGCCAGGGGTCCAAGTGCCAGCAGCAAAAAAAGGGATTAAAGAACTTCCACTGAGGATTAAACAAATATGTTTTTGTACAAAACCTGTTTTTCTACTCAACAAATGATCCAAACTCATCAAATACTGAAGTGTTTCCTGCAGCTGTTAGTGTCAGAGCAACAATTCAGGGAACAAACAGCCTGAAATAACTGCTGGTCTAAGCAGTAAATGTACAAGGCTGATAAAAATGAATCTGTTACTCTTTCAGCTGAGGACTAAATATGAATTTCTTAATGCAGGAATTATTTCAACGAGGAAAACTTAACAAACTTAAGTACCGACCCCTCCAGCTGGAGGAAGTACTGTACGTTATTTTCCTCACAATGCATGTGAACATTCCTGTAACACCTTGTCTCCACAGCTCAGCTTTCTGTCCATCAAATGCACCAATTTATCTCTGATCATTAGCTGTGAAAACTCGAAGAGAGGTGTCAGAGTTATTAAGCCCACATCCATGTAAGGAACACATGCTTACGCTGCCGTTGGTCCGGTTGTTTTAACCGCACAGTTGACCTCTGACAGACGAGCTTCATGTGAGTGACAGACTAATAAAGTGTTGTTTTAACAGCGGGCTGTGATCACAAACTGATTTATGTGTGAACAACAAAACAAGAGGGGCTGATCGATCAAGAGGACAGACCGTGTGCTGCGTTAGATTCTGTAACTGCTCTCTTGTATGAGGAACATAGTTGAAATGAGCACAATATAGGCTATCTGAACTTATTATGTAACAGCTAGCATTGAACCACCTCCTGATGTAACAACAATGCTGCTTTAAACTTATGTAACCGCACTCGTATTAGATCAAACACTTATATTAGTGTGCCAGTCAATTACAGTTTGCAACAACACTGACGTTCAGCATTGTCTTTCTTGGGAAATGTCACTGCCAATCCTCAGTCAGGTTCATGAGGAATCTGGTTGGACCGCTCTGCACCACCACAGTGGTTTGGATATTTGAGAAGGCAGACTGAGCTGACACTACGATTACAGAAAACACAACTGAAACATTTCACAGCATGGGTGACTTGATTTTTGTAGTTTTAAAAAATATGTATTCATTATTTTACTTTTGAACTTTTGTTAATTCAAAGTTTGTGTCCTTTCCGGGTCCTTTCCTTTTGTTTTGAACTTAATCTACGACAATATGCACAATATCAAGGATGCACAGCAGTGTCAAACAATCCATGCATGACTGTATAAAAGACGGGCAGTAGACAGATAACTGAAAAAGTTTGTTTCTGATGCAAATAGACTGTCAGAATAATAGTAACAGATGAATTGTATCACATGAGAGACTTGATCTTCCTTACGATGAAAAGGTGTGTGTGTGTGTGTGTGCGTCGGTATCGGGAAAAGTGTCCACCAAAACAAGTTTGAAAATATCAGCAAAAATCCAATATTCTGCATCCCTATGAAAAAGTTATTACTTCTCATCCTCTGCACTCGTGTTTATAATGCAAGTATTCATCAATGGTAAAGATATTTGTTAGTTTGCCATTAAAAAGAAGCAAGATGCAAAAAAATTAAAGGGAGAATTTCCTCAATTCATCCGGATGACAAAATTACCACGCTGGTGCCAGCAGAAACAGAGATACCCGAAACAACTGCTGGTACTTTACTTCTCTCTCAAATGTGTAATTAAAAAGAGCAAAACCCTCAAAATAAACAGGCTCCATTGTGTAAAATAACAGTAAACAACACTATAAATCTGCGAGGATTTATGCTCACTGCCACCCATCCCTCTTGCACAAACTTCTACTGAATGGCTGCTTGCACTGCAGTTACGCTTTCAAAACTATGTTCTCGTTATAGGACCATTTAAGAGGTTTTATAAGGCTATACTTCTTTATTTTACATATTTAGTAACTAAACATTATGTTTACATCTCTACACTGTATTAATTCAATGTTAGTGCTGTTCATAAAGGTGGTGTGAGAAGCTGTCGTTGTGGTTGTAAAGTAGGTGATAAATTTTGAAGGACAAAGTTGGTAAAGACAGTTTGGGTGCCTGTTTTGGTCAGTAAACAACATTCTTTAGTCTCCACAGGGGTTGTCCGTCAACATTGATGTTTTGTAAGTTCATCTCAGAGGATTTAACTCTTTCCTTAAGTTTTATTACTTTAAAGAAATTGGGAAGTTTCACATCTAAAGGTTGGGTTGCAGTTTCACTTATAAAAAGTGGGGTTTTGAGGCTGAACTTGGGGCTCACCTCCCGGGTGCTCCTCTGCTGGAACATCAGGTCCGAGGACTCCTGGCTGCTGACGCTCAGGTGCGGCATACTGTGCAGGTAGACCGGGGACACCATCTGCTGCATCATAGGCTGCTGCATCATAGGCTGCTGCATGAATACATAGGACGGCTGCTGCATGGCCTGTTGCACCGGGACCAGGTACCTCACCGTCTCATAGTTGCCGTTCAGCGTGTACTGCATCGGGGACACCGACCCGGTTGAGATCACCGTGTTGGTCACCGTCTCCGGTGATGCCACCTTCACGGTCCGGTAAGTTGTCGACGACTTCTGAGATGTGACAGACATGTTGATGGTTCGGCGGAGATCCACCCACGAGTAAACAGACTCAAAATGACAACAGCAGGAAACAGTTCCTCAAAGCGGTTAAATCTCCACAGGGGGAATCAATTCGGGGTCCTCAGGGTGAGACCCGTGAAGAGGATTTTCAGCTGTGAAGAAGCGAAGACCTGAACCAGCTCTCTCACACTTCCTTCTCTGTTGGGAGGACTGGAGGGAAAAGTCCGGTTGGAGGTGTCTCTGTTTCGAGAGGAGGACCAAAGTGAAGAGGGGAGGTGCTCAGGAGGTGGGAGGGACCAGAGGAGAGCCCAGGCAGAAAGTCTACCTGGTTGCCAAGAGGAAATGAGTCCACACACAGGTGTTAAAGAGGAGTATGAAAATCTGTTCCCACAGTCTACTTTCAGCTTGGTATGTTTGACTGCATGTACTCCCACATTCACCAAACATGCAGGTGATTATACACTTTTAACTTAAACAACAAGAGGCATTGTTCTATGTCTGCAGTGTTTGGTTTCACATTTAGATAATCCAACCGCGCATGTGCACAGTGGATATCATTACAGTAGATGTTTTGCCTTTGAAATATTAAGTATTTTACAACTGACCCTGTTACTACTGTGTTTAGTCTCTCCTACACATACAGAAAAGCCTACCTGTTGACATTATTCAAGCTGCGTCTCCTCGGAAAGCCACTAGGGGGAGACAAACTGCAAAAAATGACAAAGGAGGCTTGGGACAACAGTAAGCTCTGAACAGTGTAAGACAAAAATAAACAACTCCACGACTTGAATTAGAGGAAAAATTCTTCTGGTCAAATATAACTCTAACTCAAATATAGTTAAAGTACTTGCAAGCTTGCTTTAAAAACTTATGGGTCTTTTTTTCTTGTGTAATCTCAGGCTGTGTCTCATTTCAGAGACCGCAACCGTCGAACAGCGCATCTGAAGCGTGCGTGAGGTCATCACGCGGCACGAACGGTGTCCCTTTTGGCACAAAATACTAAGCGCGCTTCAAATTCGGTCTCAAAACCACACTACCCCTGGCCCTTTTTCAACCGTGCATGTATGCACGCTTTCGTGCCGTCGGCACAGGCTTGGCACAGGCCTTCAGACAACCTGCAGCTGGGTTATACTCTAACAGGTCCTCGTACTGTTTGATCAAGTGTTAACTAAGCGGCTACTGAAGAAGGATTTACTGTATCTGCAGAGTTTGGGTGGCTATAGGTATTGTGTGTGTTTGGGATATAAATGGAGTGTTTATAAGTTTTTTAAACATAGATTTTCATTTTAGCGTCACTTGAAATAAATTGCAATTGAAAGTTGGAGCTTGTGTTTGTTTTTATTTTAAGAAAAAAGCTGCTGATGTTAACTCCCTAATCTTTTTGATTATTTGTGCTTTTGGTTTCTTCATTATTATTATTATTATTATTATTATTATTATTAACTGAGAAGTACTATGAATCAGTGGCGGCTGCTGGTCTTTCAAGGAGGGGAAGCTCATTTTTCTGGCCTACATCATAATTGTATTTGTTTATTAGTATGTAACAGAACAGAGTCGCCAAACACAACGGCAGTCGTTTTTAACAAAGACAAAAGTCGCTGAGGATCGGTAAAGTCTCTGGAGCAGTTAAGAACAACGGAATGAATAACTTGGAAAATGCTCTGGTAGATGTTTTATTCTTCAAGATCGCTGATTCGCTTGTTTAGCTGTCAATCAAAAAAGGATTTCGCCTCAGACAGCTCATCCAATCATGAATGCAGAAGCTTGGAGTCCGGGAGAAAGTCGGGACCGCCCTCTCGCCATAGAACTCCAGTGAAGCTTAGCTTCCATTGGGCGGGACAAAGCCCAGCATTTATCCAATGAGCGTCTAGTTTCGCTGCTGGAACAACCCACTTTAAGCTTCCACATTGAGGTCAGCAGAAGCCCAGCGTCCGACCGTTTGAAGCGCTGAGGCGCTGCGAGGATGAATGAGAATGAAGTTATGCCGGTTACCTGTGATTATCAGCTTCTTATCACAGTGTCTGAACAAAAGTTGAAGGCTTTCTAGTGCGTATTTAGTTAATGAAATGTACACACAGCCGTACGTATTTCACCACTTTTTCTTTTTTTTTGGGGGGTGACATTTTAAGGGAAGCCGAGCTTCCCTTGCAGTCTTAGAGCAATCGCCACTGCTATGAATGTACTAAAGGGATAAAGTGATTTTACTCCAGAATTGAGTTGGCAATAATTTATTTAGAGCCTCTGTCTGGAGTTTGGCACCCCCTTGTGGACAAACTTTTACCTCTATATCCTTATAGTAGGCCATGTGGCTTGTGTGTCCACATGGCTCACAGGATAAGAACATTGACTGGGACTCCTGAGGTCCTCCTGAGGATGAATTTTAAAGTCCAGGAGCAAAAGTACCAAGATAAAAGCACGCAGAGCTCATCCCCAACTGTGGATGGTATCCGGTGGCGCAGTGTGGTAGACATCTAGACCCTAATGTGAGCCGTGTGTTCTGGTTGAAGACCGGCTCCTGGTTCGAAACCCGCTCAGCACAATAGGGGGGTTATGCAACAGGAAGTCAGAGCAGGCTGAAGTTTAGAGTAACTTCAGCTTTCTGGTTGATGGGGGGGATTATAGGGGGGGCGGCGGATGGCCGGGGGCTGAGCAGAGGGCGTAGAACCTTACTGACTGTTAAGCCCAACAAATAAGAACTGTATGGGTTTTAAAATGTATAGGGTATTTCATTCAGGTGGACCCACTGAAAATTTATATGAAGACCCCTGACCTAGAACATTGGCCATGCCAATGAAAAGCACATCCTTCGAGCCGGAGTTGAACCAACGACCTAAGGATCTCTGCTATTTCCATCAGGAACATCCTACAGTCCTCCGCTCTACCAACTGAGCTATCAAAGGAAACACACTGGGAACAACAGCAGGGAAATAGGTGCTGACACCACACTATCTGCCCACAGAACTTTGCACTGGTCTCCTTACAACACTGAATTTTACTCTAAAACTCTGGTGTATGGGGGGACAAGGTAATGTATTCCTGACCAAGGTCTGACAATGATTAAGAGCTGAGGACCATTCTAAAAAAATGCATTTACAATGTGTGAAATGTAGAATCAGGAAATTAAACTTCATAAAGATTTCTTTAAATATTTCTTTTATTACAGTAGTACAAAATTCAAATACAATTTTAACACGTCTTTGTCACCAAAAACATGTTGATATTGTCCACACAACATAAAAGTCACATATAGTTTTTCAGAATATATTAAAATGTTCCATCTGAATTTTCATTCAGTGAAACACTGACAGAAAAGCATTGTAACAGGGTCCATTGTTTTTTTTTATTTATTTATTTTTTTTTATTTTGGACCTACTACATATAACACAACAAACCCAGTCTTTGACTGACAGTCATGTGTAATGAGAAGTTCATCATCTTAACAGTTTGATCGACACCAGTTTGACACTTGCATGTTACCGAGCCCTAGTCAACGCCAAGCAGACTTGATGCCATTTCACCGTTTTCATTTTAATCATCCCAGGTAACAACAACGACAATCTGATTTTAAATAAACTTTTCTTTTACTTTCTATTCTGTCCTCTGGCCTTAAAAGCAACCTTAGTTTAAGTCTTAGTTTTCTTTAACAACAAAATGTCAACAGGCAGCAATGGCATAATTGCAAGATCCAGGAAAATGGTCTGGGATCCTCTCCCATCTTTAGGTAGATACAGAGATGGTTGATATTGAAGATGAGAGCATTATGCGTTATGACAGCCTGACTTCCTATGTGCAGTGACGTGGAGATATACATCAGGTGGGACTTCAGGTATACTTGTAGGAGGAGTGGGTAGGGGACCTAGTAGACTGGGTAAGACCACCGTTGTAGCTGGGAGTACTGGTGTAGCTGGGTGGGTTATCCAGTTCTGGAGGTGAGTCAATACTGTTGCTGGATGAGTCATCCATGGAGGGATCCTGCAATAAAGGACAGCTTCAACCACAGGTATAATTCAAAATCAAGGTTAAAATCTAGTAAAAAGTATATGTAGGGAGTAAAAGATTTCTAGATTGCTGATGCATGCACTTGCTTGACCCTGTCAGTCAACTGGTCTCCTGTTTTTGACTGTCAATTATAGGCAAAGGTGTGTGCAAGCAGAAGGTACCTCAGGAATCAGTCTCTGGACCACTGCTTTTTATTCTTTACAGCAATAACATTAAAATGTCTCAAGTGCAAATGATCATTTTACGCAGATGACACTGTAACATATCTAAGCTCTGAGGCTTTTTTATCCTACTTAAATGCAGAAAGTTAAAAAAAAAAAAATCTTGCATCACTCTTCTTTTTCAGTCATTTTTTACTAACTAAATCAAAAGATAGATAAAAAATACAGTTAATGAGAGAAATACCTTTTGCTGCAGGATGTAGAGTGAAGTTACAGCATTTATTCCATTGTGCTCGGCTGTTTTTGGAAGCAGGTCATCTGTGAGAAACCCCCCAAAATCAGACAATTTTCAAAACCAACTCTTCAGGCTCATCACAGACCAGCAGTTCACTTTGTGTATTAATAGTTAACATAGCACAAGCCTGTTAAGCATGAAGATACCATACCTGTATGATTGACCGGTGAGTGACGACAGCGGTCATAATGCCTGGAGAGAGGCTTTCTGGCTGGGGGTTTTTTCCTGACGAATACAAACATTGCTAAATTACTACGTTCTCGATTTAATCCTTAATCTGCCTTTACTTAATCTGTCTGGTTTGTTAAGGATGACACAACAAGTGTATTAGCTACTCTTACTTTTTAGAAGGTGTCCAGCAGGCACACACTGTTACCAAGGTGATGAGGAGGAAGATGCCCCCAGTGGAAAGAATGATGTAGAGGGAGCTTCTTCCTGGGAGGATTTGTAAAAAAATTAGAGTAAAAAACTTAAACAGTAAACAGCACAAGCCACAAAATATAAGATGGGATTTTAAAGTTTATAGTGTTGTGCATATATTTATACTACTGTGCCATATTAAAGTTGAGTTGATTGGCCAAATGAGCTGAGTATCCCGGCATATGAAATCTGTTTTTGTTGACCCATATCAATTTTATTTTCATTGGCTAATAGCATTGTTTTACTACTTACATTTTATTACCTGACATTACTAATCACCTAGCTGTGTTTAATACTTGACAACCCCATGACAGGCCATTGCAAGGGCAATTGCCTGATCCCACTCCGTGTCAAATCCATACCCAGAAAGGGGTTCCAATTCATCTCACCTGTTTGTGGACGCAAAAGCAAAAATATTTGTTTCTATCAGTCTGCTAGATTGGCAGGATAAATAGTATTAAGGATATTTTTAGACCCTGGCCTGCACTTCAGGCAACAGCAGCAGAGCTTTCTATGTTGCTGCTAATTAATATTTGCCTCATTTATGTTTAAAAGTGTGCCAACTCCACTGCCCAGAGAGGAAAGAGAGCTAAAGGATAAATATCATTTTTATTCTTGAATAAATCTCATCGACTGTGCCTAAGTTGAAATGTTCAGTTTAATGCAAATTACATATTATTACACATTGAACATAAATGCCAAGTTTAATGTTAATTCATCACACCTATAAGTTGCATTAATAATTTTCAAATAAATACAATCATCTCTAAAACAAGATATCATGTTCACCTGTTTGTACCTTAGATTTGTAGCTGGGCAATGAGCAGGATCATGTATTAAAACCCACTTTTACTCCTTGGCTTTTGACCCAGCATGAGACGGCATTTGTTTTATTGCTCTTTTATTGCTTTTTATCATATTTTAAAACAACTATTTATTGTTGTTTTGTGTTTTTATGTTATTATGTACAGCACTTTGTGTCAGCTTTGGTTGTTTTTAAAGTGCTCTATAAATGAAGTTGAGTTGAGTTGAGAATTTGTCTCCTGTTCTGGTCTAGATTCTGCACACCCTGACAAGAACCTGTTTTACATAACCACCTACTCACTGTGCATTATCCAAAAAAGGTCTGTTTGAGCAGGTAAAGCAGAAGAGTCTCTTTTTTTAGGCTGAGCCACTCTCTTTCAGATTTTTCATCAAACAATTAAAATTCCTGTTAACTATCAGAATCCATTAGTTTTGTAAGAAAACTGATAACATGAAATATAACATGAAAAAAAACCCCTCTAAATACAAAGAAATACTTTACATGGCTCATGTTACTGGTGAGTAAATTAATCAACTAATAAGATGGCATGGCTTACTGTAGACAGTCAGTCTGAGAGGCAGACTTGTCCCATTGCCCACAGGATTCTCCACAGTGCAGCTGTAGATGTCATCATCAGCCATCACCACCCGTGTGATGGTCAGAAGCTTCTGGTCGGGTGACAACACAAATCTCGTCATATTGCTCAGCGGTTTCCCCCCTTTGAACCACCTGTATGTGGTCCTGGTGCCATTGTCATGGGAGCAATTGAGGACGACATTTTCACTGAGCTCCAGAACCGAAGATGACTCCAGATGGATGTAGGGCCTGGAAATGGATTCTAGAAATAAGAGATGAGGGACACAAGAAATAAAAAAAACAAAAACAAAATGATTTTATCTGGTTGGTTAATTATACTGTATGAGTTACAATAAACCCTATTATAGGTACGTACTACTTCCCTTGTATAACATGGAACTAACCTGTTCTCTATGTGTGTGGCAGCAATATGCTACTGTACACTACAACCTCTAGAGTTTGAAATGTTCCAACTCAGCACTTGTAAAGAACCCATGAAAGTTCAACAATGCTGTTTTTTTCTTGATACAGTATTTTCCAAGGCTTAGATGCTGCATTAGTTTAAGAGTCAGGTGATAAAAGTAGTCCTCTTACCATCCACGGTGAGAGTGATGCTGCCCTCTCCAGTAAATGTATCATCCGTGATTGAGATTTCAACATCATAAACTCCATCATCAAAGAGCCTGAGGTTGTGGAGAAGGAGGGTCCCATTCTCAAACACCAGGATGCGATCCCGATACTCAGGCCTCAGGGTCCCAATGATGTCAGTTCCAATAGACTGGACAACAGTGACTGATTTTTCCCTCCTGAGCTGCCACTTGATCACCGGCAGGTCGAGGCTGAAGCTGCTGTAACGGACTGACAGGAGGGCCTCCCCTCCTACTGAACCTCTAATGAGAGTGTTGGGGATAGTCATATTCACTGCCAGCACCCCACCTGTACAGAAACACCATAGATCATGTTAGTGCCATAAAAAGAGTAGTAGTTCTCCTCTCTTTCTCTTTCTCTTTGACTTGATATTCTTGATGCAACAGGCTTAGTAATAAAGCCTGTAGTGAACCTTGGCTGCTGATTGGTTGAAAAATAAAGCAGCGAAGTCAGTGTAGGACTACTGTAGCCATGGTCTGCCTCCGATAAGCTCTGTTTAATCAGCATTTCCAATATGGTGAACCACTTTCAAACTCCCATTTATAACCAAATGGGTGACACAAAAATACCAGTTATCAAACAGTCTGTTACTGTGCTGCAGGCTACATGCTTATTTTCAGCACATCACTTCCTCTTATGCAATATAGCCTAAATAATTGCATATTCTCCCCTGTAGAATACAACCCATATGTATTGTTAAGTGCATAATACAGGATGAGCTTTGCACCATGACACTGAGACAGCTTTCACTTATTTGCACAGCTCCATGAAGGACACACCTTCCTGCATATCATTATTATATTTTGCTGTGTATGACATATTTGTGTTTGTAAGAGATCAGTTATTGGGTTTTTCATATTAGATGCTTGTACACAAAGAGCCGGAAAAAAATATTCTAGCACAAAGAGCATCAAAAATCACAAACTTTTGACAAAGACAGAAAAGTTCATGTCTGTAAATTTTAGGTCCCGTCAGTTTTCTCCTTGAAAGAAAAGCGTGGGTTTGGAAGAGAAGCTCTGGGAAATCCAAGTCTCTAAGTATTTCTGAAAAAGTTGCACTATTTTATTGTTTTGCTTTTCTGTTGTTTTCAACTGAATACAGATGAAGATGGAGTAGTTATGTGCAGGCTAGTGTAGGCACCACACCCCGTTACTCCTGTATACTGGAACCAGCTTGCATGGCATATCCACATTACCATAGCAACAGCTGTCAGTCATTGGGATGGGCCAACATGAGCCAACAAAAGCTTGGATTGTTTGTTTAAATTTCCTTCCTGGCAGTTCATGAAAAGAGCACTGGGGGGCAATCCAGATGCCACGTTAGCTTTCTGCAGAAACAGAACTGCCCAGTGACTCTGCTGCTTACCACAACAATAGCGCAACAGTGATGAGACGCAGCTGAAATAACTAAATATCTGAAGACACTGGTTCTGGTATTGGCTGTAGGCACAATTGCTGTATTACTTACAAAGAGCATCCACAGGACTGCTAAAGCTCCCACACAGTCTAAGCAATCCAACACCCCAACAACAAATACCACCTTTGTGATGCAATATTCAGTCACAGCTTGGTCATTTTAACCCTTCGCTTTCTGACGAACATAATTTATGATAACACTGGACATGTTAAAACAACATGCATAATACTGAAAAAAGAACATCTGATCTCTTTGTGAAAATTTTGTGACATTTTGTTTTTGTAAGAAGTACGCAGCATTAACGTTTATATTTTCTTCCACCCATGTATTGTGTACAATACAAGAAAGAAGAGGGTTTATTAGCATTAATACCCGGAGTGATATAGATGGTCTCGTCCAATAGGTTGCTGCATTAGTAATTTGCAGAGGGTTATTTCCAAAATCAGATTTGTAATTTGTAGTTTTAAAAACATCTCTTACATTGGAGGAAACACAAAAGAAGAAAAACGAGTAGCCTACAAATCATCAGCCTTAATCATCTTTACTTACAATGATACAAGCTGTGCATGAACTAAACTTTCACAAATCGTTCATGCACATTGCACAAACATCCCAATGAAACATCAGACCATTGTTAAGGAAAAAAACAATGGCATCCACTGTGTTTAGAAACATCCTTTTTAAAGCAAGGTTTAAAGGAAAAGATGCAACATACCTGAGTTGAAGAAACTGACGCAAATAAGCAGAAAGATTTGTGAAAATATTTTAGCTTTTTGAGGAGCCTCTGAATCTGCCTTCATCTTGGATCTCAAGCTTTGTTTTCCTCTCCTTGGTCAACCAACATGATTTGCAACTGGGCTGGACAGAGAACACAGTCAGTCATTCAGACTATGCCCGGACTGAGTACATGTTGTTCTCGAAAGCCAATATAACAGGACAAAAGTGAGTGTGTCAGGATGACCCTTTTGTACATTTAGTCAGCTTTGTGGTGTTTTGGCAAAAAAAAAAAAAAAGTAAACTGATTTTATCAAAATAAAGTTTAGAGGTCAAAAAGCTTGTAGTATCTCTCTAGTATCTAAAATGTACATTTGCAGCCAGGATCACAAAAAAACAATGAAAAGAAAACAGCTGCCCATCAAATGTAGAACCTATCACTCTATAAAAGTTGTTGAGGTATTTCAGTTTAAATCTTAGGAAAAAAAAAATATATATTACTGACCCAAATTCATGAGACAAGTAGGGCTAAGAACCATCGCTGAACCTGCTCTTATAAAGTTTTGAGTATGCATCGTGAAGAAAAGATTTGACAACATTTCCACTCATTTTAGAGTCAGCTGACTAAGAGGAGTTGATGTGGGGTAAAGTTTCATAGACTCATTTGGGACATGAGTTGAAAACTCTGAATCCTCAAACTATTGAAATGTATTATTCACACCATTTCTTTCACATATTTAGATTTTTTTTCTGACATCATGCTCAGGTTGGGAAGTTAAAATATTGCTAATTCAAACTGCTTTGTTCCAGATAGTGAGTTGCACAACTTTAGGGGTATCTGACTAATCATTTTAATATCAAGCAAACAATAAACTGTGAAAATCTACAGGTACTTATGACAATATTTCAGATGGAAACAAAGTATTTAGCTTATAGCAAAAGTTAAGCCTTAAAGTTTTAGTTTGGCATAAAATCATTATCATTATCATAGATATTCTAATACACCACTGTGAGAAATTTGAGGCTTTTTTTTATCCGAAAACCATGAAAAGATATTAAAGAGGCATCAGAAAGGAAATATAAAGTCTGAAAAAAATGCATGATACCCCTCCTTTAAGATTAACTCAGCAGTTAGTCAGACTAATCTCTTTAAATTAATGTAATCTGAAATTTCTTCTCTGTAAATGTAGGGTAAAAATGTACTTTACATGTTACAGATGTAGATATCTGTGACTTTAAGGCTCTGTGTAAACACCAACCACCACCAACCACCAATGAGAGAACACGCTTAGTTGCTTAGCAACAGCACTCATACAAACAATTACATGCTCTCTGAACCTGAGGGGGAAACGATACAATGTTCTCCTCTGTAGATCCTGCAAATAAAGGTGTTCATTAATCCTAATATTTGGATTTTCTTGCTCTTGTCACTTTTCCTGCTATGGCTGAAATCATCATGTGTGAGCCGCTGGAGCTCTACAATCTCCTCAACCAGCGCAACTGCGTGTCAAGGCTGGCAGAAATCAACTACCTCTGTTTGATAGGTGAGAGATGGGCTTCAGCTCTGTGATTGTGGTTATTATTGTGGATTATTACTTGACTTACTTGACTTAACTTAATAACAGTTAGATTGGCTTCATTATAACGGAAGAGTAATTCATTACAAACTTGTTGCACCAACTTTCTCACCTGTTTTGTGTCTCATTTCTAGATGCTCGAGAAGCTCAAGATTACAGAATTGGTCACATCATAACTGCTAAAAATGCCAAAATGGTACGGATACATGATTGATTATTGTATTAGCAGATTTAAAATACATGTCTATTCAATCTGGTCCACCAGACTGATGGATATCTAGATATCTCTCAAAGCACTAAGAATTATTGTTGGAAAACAGGATAATTTCTCTATTGATTAACAATTTTTCACTGCATGAGCTCACCTTTTGAACCCAGTAACAATACACAGTGTGCCATTAACCACGTACAGACGCAATAGAGCACAATTGAGCATCTCAGAATAAAGGGCAATTTCAAAAGGCTTTCTACAGAGTCAAAAATATGTTGCTGGGTGCTACAAAAAATAATCAAAGTTGACCATCATCACTTTAACACAGCCGTAAAGCTCTGCGGTATGAAGTTTAAATCATTAAACAGAGCATCTAAGATTGAAGTTGGCATTGAACCTTTCGCTCCACGTAGATTTGCTAATGTCAGTTCCTGGTTACATAGCAGGATTCATATTATCAATTCAAATCAAACAATGCAGAACATGTATTTAAAGGTTTTGGTCCTGAAAAGTGCAATGTTTCACTACTGATATCTGCGGAAATAAATATCTATCCAGCTATTATCTCAAAATTGGGAATGTGACGTCACTTCTTTGAATTTATTGTCATACTGCATGAGTTAGTATGCTTATTAAGCTCAGTCTGCATCATCCTGCATCAAAACAAAGAGGAAAAGTCTTCCTCAAATTGCTCCTGTTAATCTTCATAAGTCCCTGTGACAAAGCTCCGCCTCAGTTCCAGGTATTTCACTATAAATATAGAATCTTTTTGTCTCTTTTTCAGGATTCAGAGGGTTCATTCCTCCTGCCAGAAGCCATGGAGGTGGACAGTATGCACCATGTGGTGGTCTATGATGGGAACACTTGTTGTTTAGAGCAGCAAGGTAAATGGGAAAAGTGTTACAGAGAAAATGCTTTGTGTAAAGTAGCTCTGGAGTGTATATCTGCAAAACAAAATTTATAAAAAGGAAAAAATGTAAACTCAGCAGAGACAATGAACTTCTCCAATCAAACTACACTTGACCTCTGAATTTTGTCCATGTTGCTTTCCATGGCAACATGCCTGCAGTTTTGACCTGGCAATACCTCAATTATGCTCCTTGGTCATATATGTAGGAATTTTATGAGTTATTTTGTGATTGTGATTGCAGGAAGAGCAGCTGAATGCGCCCGGGCCTTTGCTGAAGCCAGCCTCTATCCAGTCAAGTTACTTAGCGGAGGCTTTCAGAGATTCTCGGCTCTGTACACTTTTTTAAGTACTGAAAAAATCATCTACACCATCACGGTAGGACAAACAAACCCAAGCTCATAGATTATACGTCTGAGATTATACGACTGAACATGCATGTGATATGCACCTGAAAGACGTGCAATATATCAGCTGAAGTTTAATTTGAGATGACACTATTTCAAGTCTCTGTAACTCAGGGCGTGTGATTTCACACTGAGCTGAGCTAAACCAGCGCCTCACTTCATGATTTTCCTGCACTAGTTTTTTAGGTTCTCCAATCAATACAAAACCCCACAAGTCCAGTAACATATGGCAAAACAGAGATTTTGAATGTCCCATTTGATATGAGTATTCTGTAAAAGGTTCCTTGTGACAAACTTTTGTTAGTAACAGATAAAATATACCTCTGGGCTATTTTAGGAACTGGAAAACCTGAAGACTTATCCAGTTGAGATCATGACAGGACTGCTGTATATGGGTGACCAAAAACAAAGCATGGACTCCAGTATCCTCAAGGACCTGAAGATCAGTGCTGTTCTCAGTACCTCAGAGAGTGACACCTTGGAGTAAGGCAGGACAGGATATGAGAAATGTTATTAGACATGATTTTGAACATCACATTTTTATATATCTTCGATCTGCTTTTGAACTCTTAAAAAAAACCTTTTAGATCCAGATCCATTAAAGGAGGTCGGCCCATCCTAACCATCCCCGTGGCCGACTCAGTGGTGTCAGATTTGTATTCAAGTTTTGAAAAGATTTGTAGTTTTATAGGTAAGTTAGATCAATGCAATAATAAAACTTATTAAGGTGTTTCAAATATTCCTAATTAAGTCCTATGAATTCATTTAAAAAGTAGTAAACCCTAAAAAGCTGTTGCAAAAAAGTGTATCCGCTAAAATCCCTTACTGGAGCTTTAAAATACATGCATTTTTCCTGTTTTCTGCCCACAGATGTCCTGGAGGTTTGACATCATTTAGAATAACAACATATGATTTTATGTACATTGTTACATCATGTATAAACCATGCTTTACAGACTTTTTGAGCAGCACATGGTATTTGCAGAGTAAAATTTTTGTTTAATTGTTCATTAATGAGTTAGTGACTTGGCCCAATAGCGCTGAAATGTTTTGTTAGATTAAACTTCTTTATTCTATTTTCAGGTTCACACATCAACAATGGCTCTCATGTTTTGATTGTTTCCACTCTGGGCAGAAGTCGCTGCAGTGCCTTAACCATCGCTTTTCTCATGTACCGCCTTAAATACACACTGGAGGCAAGTGGGATTCACGCAGTGCCATTAATGTTGTGGTCCAAAGACTTAAAGTGTGATCTGAAGCAAACAAGTGAACAATTGTAATCCCTGGTGAAAAGAAAAAAATAACTTAAATCTAAATTTAAAGTTTTCATTTGTTAATTTGAGATTTAAAAAAAAAGACAAACTGGCTCGAGCTGCATATTTGCTCTGGTACTAAAATATCCATTTGAAAATGTGACAAAACCTAGCATCTCATTCCAGTACATAACACCTTTGGTTTAACTTTTCAGGAGGCTTGGAGGTACATGCTGACATGTAAACCCAACATGAGGCCCAACACGGGGTTTCTGCAACAGCTGTCTGAATGGGAGCTTCACACTCAGGGAGCCAAAGTGACTGAAATCTCTGATCCTCTGTTTAACTAAGGGAAAAAAAGTAGTTTATATTCTTGTTGGGCAATAAAGACAAATTATTTCAGGTACACAATCAGGAAAAAGCAATCAGGGTGATCTGCTTTTGTTGTATTTAATATGAGGATACTCTAAGCACATTAAACATCACAAGTGTTTAGCTTTGGTCATGTAGGCAATCACAAAAAGGCTCTTTTTTTCTATTAAAGCGTCATAGAATCTAATATTAGTTTTATTTTTATTACTGCCAATGTTTCTAACAATACTAGAGATGGCAGTTTGTCCTCTGGGGTTACATAATATGTTCCCCTAAAAATACAGGCTGCATGCCAACCTGTCAGACATTCATATTTCCCGATACTTGCCTTCCAGGAATCAAAGTGTTTTCCTTTCAGAAAAGCCGTCAAACACCTCTGGAAAAGATCTGAATTTGCCATTACCGCTTTAAATAGCTGTGATGAGACACGATGTTTGTATAAACATCTAAAAAAACGTGCTTACAGTAAAGAATTTTTGAGAAGAAAGAGCGTTTCCTCGCAGGCTAAACTCGGGGCACAGTAGTTTGAAGTGGTTGTTTAAAGGCGCTGCAGTTGATTTGCTGATAAGAAGATCCAAAATCACCAAAGCGACGTCTGATTCGCAACGTCGGTGCGTTCAGTGCTCGTCACGTGACACACGCCGGAACTGTGGAAGTTTGTAAAGTCTCTCTTGTTAGCTAGGCTGAAACCGAATCTTATAACCACAAAATAAAACATAAAAATACTAAAATTAAAGTACTTTGTCTTAATCCTTGATATCTGACTGTAAATTTAAACGTATTATTTCATTTGTTTATCCCTGGGCACAGAAATCTGTAGCTCATAGAATACTGTGAATAGTCTGTCATGGTCATTGTCATTTCATGGATTAATATGCACTTTTAAAAGTGCTATAAAAATAAGTTATTATTATCATTATTATTATTATTTCTTCGATATGACCCTAGACAGACACTGAAACAGGGTCCCATTATTTAGTGTGATTTCATTTTGTCTGTTTCTGCCTTTGTTTATTTCTTCTGTTAGAGCACTTTGTAAACATCTGCTTTTAAAGGTATTTTTCATGTATGGCATATCTACATTATCTTATTTCTACTGGTGATAATTAAGCTAGTTAAATTGGTTTTGTTTAGGAGAGTTTAATAATGTAACCATTTCGTTTCTTTTTTTTTAAGGCCTTTATTTTGAAGGCCCCGACCGGAAGTTGTTCTTGTTCATTTACTAATATTTGGCAGCGACGGCGGTTGAACTGTTGCACAGCACAGCGTTAATGTTACCCAAACTTCTGGAGGGTTTTCTGATGTTACTGTAAAAGATGTTGTTCAGTCCGACGGGTGTATCTGAATGTTTACGAGAATGGGAGGATTTAGAGAAGAACTACCAACAAATACAAGTAAGTTTCCACATTACAACTCAAATGTTACCTTTAAATGTGTGCGCTGCCCTGAGGTGAGTTCACAGCCGGAGGTGAGTTCACAGACAGCAGACAGGGGATCCGCCCTCCACATCAGCTGAAGACAGGACTTCACCATGACAAGACTGGAGGAAAATAAAAACACAGGGACTGTCAGGGGGGACTCTGGTCGACGGGCTCTTCCGGGGAGTTTGTTTGATACCGACAGGACGATCCGTGTTTAGGGTGGCATCACAGGACCCATGGACGTTCACTGCTTCAAAAACACATTTCTGGAGACCATCGAAGCTCCATTGTTTTTTTTATTAGTTTGTTACAGTACAGACTGAAATAAATACTGGTCCCGCCTTAACGAGATCAACAAACAACAGGAATGAAAACTCATTATAGCTGTAATGTGGTGTTTAGTAGGGCTGGGACGATATGCTTTTCACCCGATTCGATTCTTCTACGTTTTTTTTTTTTTTGATGCCGATCCGATTTAAATTGCGATTCTACGATATTGTCGATTTTCTCGATTTTTCATCTGCATTTTTTACACCAGTGAAACAACTGAATGAGTATGATTGCCTACTGATCGAGGAACCATATTTCCCCCAAAAAATACACATAACATGCAAGTTAGTTTTTAAGATTTTTCTTAAATTTTTGAACTTAAAATTGATTTAAAAATTGTAAAACAAAAACTTGCGATACTTAATGTGCATCAATTTTTTTATTCCACCCTTTGTGTTTAGTGTCTAAAACCATTGTTTCAGGGCAGGTGATCTACCTGACAAAGTGATGAACAGCAAGCTAAAGAAGCAGCTTTTTTAGTAGCAAAGATACTCTGTCTTTTATTTTTTCCAACATATGCACAAAACTCCCGTAACTAAGTGCGAACTCTGAGGACTAAAACTTTCACCCTGACTTTGCCTGGAATTTTCCCATCAGACAGCCCCCTAGTAAATTGTCGACGTGAAGTCAGGTGAGCTGATGTTAAAATCCAGCAGAAATTATTTCTGGACACATATCAGTCAATACGCATCATTATTATTGTGTTTTATATTCAGCTGAATCTGAATTCAGACTGTTTTGTGAAGGCCTGCAGCTCATGGTTGTTTCCATCTCTTGTTAAACTATGGGTTATGTGATTCATCATAACTAATTTTATAAGAAAAAAATCAGGGTTCAAAATTGATTTGTCTTTTATAGTAAGGATGCAAAGTTGCATTGTTTTCTAAACCAATGGACAAAATTGAGATTTTATAAGATGAATGTAAAAAAAATATCCAGGAACAGCTGACAATCTTCACTTCAAAAGTAAAAACTCCAAACTGGTATCTGAAACAGAAGTGCTGACACGAACTGTTACACAAAGAGTAGTTGATTAAATGTAAGTGCAAAGCATGGCTTAGTGTTGATTTCACAACATGATCTTTATTACAACACCGCTGACTGTGCAGCTCTCTAAAGTAAGTGGTATTGTAGGTCACATGCTCTGTGGAAGACAGAAAGCCTCTGTCTGCTTGACACAAATATAATATAAACCAAGAAACACCATAATGGACACACAAACTGTGCGGATCAACAGTTTGGTTATTATCACTATGAAGTCAATAGAAATACTGCGTCAGTGAGGGAATAAATGAACCTAGACTATTTAGCTGTATGTGCAAATTCCATTTCTTAAACATAGTGGTGCCCTCTGTTGAGCATTAATCTAGCTGAGTCACAGGGATATTATTTGTGTCTTTCCTGCCTTCTTCAAATCCTTGATAACTAAAATTACCGTTTTATTCTTCAAATGTTCTTTTTTCACCCTCAGGACACCCATCGTCTCTACAAACAGAAACTCGAGGAAGTCACCAAACTGCAGGACAGCTGCTCCAGTGTTATTTCACGCCAGAGGAAGAAACTCAAAGAGCTCACTGTGTCACTTGCAGAGTAAGTGATGATCTGCTGTTTTTCCTGAGAATATTTCCTCGAAAACGAAAAATGCTATGAAGCTGGGAGATGGTGTTTGCCGTCTTAGAAACGCTTGCTCAACCTAAACAGGAGGAGCCAGGATGGGCCATTAGCAACAAGGCAAACCACTACAACGCACCGTCCTGCCCTCATCCAAAAGCTACAACACAGTGTCATTTGTCCTGTAAGAATAGGCAAATTGACTCAGATGGTAAAGAAATCTCCTTGATTTTTGGAGTGGGACTCAGGTGGACACTCAAAGCTCTTAATTGTACTTTCCCAAACTTTTGATTTTCTCTAATTTGGAGTTAATGTTATTGTAATATGAGAAGATAAAACATTTGAAGACAGATTTGTTAGCATTAGAGCTTAATAAATCTAGGTATAATGTTGGCAAGGAGTTGAATTTAAATTGGAATTTGCTGTTAAAACTAATCCTCACTCATTGTTGGGAGATGATTAAAGGATTACGCTGTAAGTCACCTGGCTCAGGCTGTAGTACTTGAGCAACTGAAAACAGGGAATATAGTTGAAACAAAGAGCCCAAATGACTTGGTAATCTTTATGCACCCAGCTCTGTGATGTTCTATAAACATGTCTTTTTTTCATTCACGAAAAGATGCAAAAACATCACTCCAACACCCACATTAACTCCAGAGGAGCTGAACGCCATCGCTGATATCGAGGACTCCATTAAAGAGAGAGCAGAAGTTTTCTCTGAGATGGAAGCGTTTCTGCCAAAAAAAAACGGGTTTGTCTACAAGTTTTGCTTTTTCATTATCTCTGTGTTTTCATAACTAATTATTGGTGCTTGCATTTTTTTTCATAAAGCAGGAAACAGAAAAAAATTAACCGTCAGTATAGCTAGGTATTTAAAACTAACAATCGACCCTGTGTTACTTATAGCGTATTTGTTTGAAGCTTTTTTTAAACCAGAAAAATCATGGTAATATTAGATTTCTGAAAACTATCTCCTCTTTATGTTTAGGTTATACCTCAGCCTTGTCCTGGGAAACGTCAATGTGACACTCCTCAACAAACAGTCTAAGTAAATCTCCTTAAGAGTCTCATTGTAAAAAAAAATGCCCATTAAAATACATCAACGGTTCATTACATTTGAATGTTTCCTTGTTTGCAGATTTGCCTACAAAGATGAGTACGAAAAATTCAAACTGGTCCTCACGGTCATCCTTTTCGTGTTCTCCTTCACGTGTCGCTTTTTATTTTGCTACAGGTAAGATAATCTCCAAGTGATTATTGAGCTGTGGTGCTTTAGTAAAACAGGGGGGATGAAAGTTTACATTAAAGAAGGTCATACAGACCAGAGCACCTGAGCTAAGACCATCTGAGGTGTTGTGGGCCTGACTTGAGGAAATATGGGTGAAAAGAGATGGCCACTTGATAACCCCAGCTGTTGATTGGCACTTGTCTATCTTCATATCCGGGTTGTGGGGACCATTCAAGCCATGTCACTTACTAGCAGGGGATAAATACTGTTATTAGGTGTTTCTTCTTCGCTGACCATGAATCCATTTGCAGTGAACTACAAGGAGCTTGTGTTTATTTTAAAGACCAAATATACAGATGTGCTCTCATGGATCTGGCATGCAGTGACCAGAATAAACTATGAGACCAATATTCAACATGTTATTCATCGCTGCAGTGTTAGATAAATTTGCACAGATTACAAAAGGAGCTCTATATCCCAAATTGAATCAAGAGTAAAAGCATCAAAGCTGTTTTTTGTTACACTTTCATGAACAGCACCTGCAGACTGAATTGAGTTGAACAGATTGACCTTTTGAGTGAGGGCAGTAAAGCTTAAAGACAAGGCCTGCTGGCAAACATCCCCGGAGGCCAACTTCACCCATTACCGGTGTAAGCATGTACTGAAAGGATGCAGGTGCAAGAAGCTAATAAAAGAAAAAGAGAGTCTGATTGAGGAAGGGGGATGCAGAGGCAAATGCAAACCTCCTTAACTGATTATTTGGTCGTTATTTGGTTGCCATCTTTACTGCTCACCCTGTGTTGGAATGAATTAGTTAGTTTCATCTTTATTGAGAGTTTATATTCCTTTTAACTCTTTTTGTTTTGGTTTTAGAGCCCTGGACGCTCTCTTCAACTTTTTGTTGGTCTGGTACTACTGCACACTCACCATCAGGGAGAGCATCCTCATCAGCAACGGCTCAAGGTTTGCAACTCATTTACTTCCCTGTTATATTTCATACCGCAATAATAGAGTGAATGTTTCAGGTACATAATGGCCAGATCTGTTGGTTTCCTGTCAAACAGTAAGACATACAGTCAAGTCTCGATTCCTCCACTTTCTCTTTGCTGTTTCAGGATTAAGGGTTGGTGGGTTTTTCAACACTATGTGTCCACCTTCTTGTCTGGAGTCATGCTCACCTGGTGAGGGATTTACTATTTTCTCTACATTTTTTTAATTTCTGAGGACCAAGGGAAAGAATAATGTATTGATGTTTGTTTTTTTTATTTTAATCAGCTGTTTCCTTCATTCTCAGGCCTGACGGTGCCCTTTACCAGATGTTTAGGAGTCAGTTCCTGTCATTCTGTCTCTACCAAAGTAAGAGACTCAAGCTGTGTCCATATAAACCGTGTGAAACATACACCATCGTTAGTGTAGTGAGCTGGCAAATTGCAAAATTTTAAACTAAAAATTGTGACTGAACTTGTGTGCTAGTCGGCCTTTGGGTTTCCACTCACTAAGGTTATAGTCCTCGTCTCAGCGATCAGTGGTTCAACTCCCGGTCATGACCCTTTTGCTGCATACCATCACCTGTTCCCTGCTCCTCATATTACCTGTCTCTCTTCAGCTGTCTTTTCTCATAAAGGCAAAAATGCTAAAAAAGAAAAAAAAAAAGGTACTGAACTTGACTCCAAGCTCATACCATTGGGCCACAACTATAACAACATGCTCTTCATTAAATCAGATTAAGGGGTAAATCTCGGGTCTTAGAAGCTTCAGAAAAGTATTACTTTTAAAAGATGAGCATAATGTCTTATCCTTTTGAGCTCTAAAAATGCAGTGAAAATATGATTAGTTAGCTAATTTATTCTCCTCATATTTATACAAATAACATCTGTTATTTATAATTATAAAAACTGTATTTAATGAGCCTTGATAAGAAGCTCTCTGAATCTAGAAGTTTCATGGCTGTAAATTATGTAAAAAAAGTTCACCAACATGCAGGTTGTTGGCTGTTTCATTTGTTGCTGCTCTGCTCTGTTTGCCAAGGCTTCGTCCAGTTTCTCCAGTACTACTACCAGAGTGGCTGTTTGTACCGACTCAGATCACTGGGAGAGCGACATACCATGGACCTAACAGTCGGTGAGTCCAGTAGAGCTTGACTGATATCAGTTTTCCTCCATCATTAGAAAGCAGCTGGTACGTCATGTTGTTATTACACATGTATTTACAAGGCAGTTAGTGGATTTGATAAAATACAATTATTTAACAGTACTAATGAATGAGAAACAAAACTGCTGAACTGGAAAGAACATTTTCCCAAATAAATGTTGGGTGAAAAATAGGATGATAGTGACGTCAACTTTGTGATGATGGATGCTGATTTGATGCAGACGACTACAAAATGCCAAAAATCAGCCAACTGATTGATCGGTCTGTCTCTAGAGTCTTAGCTGTAGTCACTCATCGATTAACAGGGTTTTAACTGATGCAGCTATTGTGCCTCTCTAACTTAAGCTCGTCAAACTTTTGTCAACAGAAGTTACATTGGTTGTCCACTAGGGGGCGCCAGCAACCGTCATTCAAGCTTTTCTAACAGAGAGGGTACACAGCCTCAGCCTCTTTTCAGTGCTTAATGTTGTCAGCATTCTCATTTATAAATTATTATCCCTGTCAAGAGTGTTTATCTCATGTAACAACCTAAGATCTTAAATGACTTCACTGACTTCTGTTTTCACTCACTTTCCTGTCTTAGAAACCCTCTTATCTACTGTTTAAATGCCAAAGAAATTTATGTGAGTTGATGAAGTTCAGGCACAGTATCTCACCTGGTAGAGTACCACCTCATGCAGAGGCTCAACCACAATCTGTTCCTCTGATTTTTAACACCTTTTTCCATCGAACAAATGAAAAACAGTCAGAAGTCATTGTGGATTTTGTTCTTCTCATTCAGTGACTCTGTTTTTCTCTCTCCTGGTGCTCAGAGGGTTTTCAGTCCTGGATGTGGAGAGGCTTGACCTTCCTCCTACCTTTCTTGTTCTTTGGTCATGTGAGTGAACTAATACTGCTCACTTCATTGTGTGGATGATACTGACTGTTAGAAAATGACAATGTTTAATCTTTAGTTTGGCAAACCATCACATAGTTTGGCTGATTGTTTCATGTTCCTCCTCGTACAGTTCTGGCAGCTCTACAACAGCATAACACTCTTCAAGATGTCTCAGCTCCCAGAGTGTAAAGAATGGCAGGTTTGTTCACCTCATGGACTGTTTCTCTGTTTATACATTAGATCTCAGAGTCTAGATTAGACCCTGGCTTTGATTATTATTTTGCTGTTCTTCAGGTTATGATGTGCGGCTGCTCCTACATGGTGCTCTTCATGGGAAACTTCCTCACCACGCTGGGAGTCGTTTACCACAAATACATGAATAACCAGGACAAGCCCAAAAGTTTGTGAACCGAGCCGAATCACCAAAAATCCTCTTTTTTTGTTGCAATGGAAAACTGTGCAGACAACCAAAGCTCCAGTTTTGTCCGCTGAGCTTTTTCTGAATGTTGTGATTGTTGTCCTGAAAGATCGTTTACATGTACGGCCACTTTAATCAAGGCTCTTCGAAATTCAAGGCTGTGCAAAAACTGTCAAACTGAGCTGCATGAAACTACAACCAAGTACCTCGCAGGTTTTGCTGAGTGACTCTGTCAGGTTTCTGTTTACAGAGCCGGCCCAAGGCATAAGAGAACCAAGCGCCTGCTTAAGACCCTGCGGCCACAACAGGGTCCTCAGTAATCGACAATCAATATTATTGGCAGAAATAGAGGGTCCCAAAATCAAATTTTGCTCGAGGCCCTGTAGAGTCTTGGGCCGGCTTTGTCTTTGTATGTCAGGATGTAAAATGTGAATAAGAAAGTGTGATTGAATTTGCATCCTATTTAGAAAAATATTTATTCAGGAGAAAAAATTTAGATTTGTTACTGAGAAACTACCAAATGTTAAAGCCTTACAGATCTGAGCTTTGAAAAAGCACTCCTAAAAGCCCTTCATTTCTCTGTGTTTACACCACTTTTCATTCAAATATCTGAAACCGTTTCATCTCAGCAGATCTTTGAGACCTAAGAGTTTGAAAATATTTCAGTGTGTTACAGAAAAGTGATGGCCGGAGAAAGGTTAAATAAAACAAAAGAACAACACAAACTTTTGTCATCGAACTGTTTTTTTTTTGCAGCTTTGAGCCTGTCAGGACTTCTTACATTTAAATTGAAGGTGCATCAAAGCACAAGTTACCAGACTATAAGATACCAAACTATAAAAAGTGGATCCTCTCAGACCACCAACAATAGTGCTTATACTTTGATCCAGCAAAGAGGCAGTTTTAGCTGATAGCAAAAAGTTATTTTACCCTAGTAGGATTATGAGCAGGACTTTTACTTAAGTATTTTTGCAGCAGAGTTTAGTTGCCATAGGTAAAAAAGATTTCAAAATATTCAAAAATATACTTTTAGTTAGGTTTACACATTTTCAAACCTGTCTTCATCCAAAAAGTGCCTGTTTTGGGATTATGGTATGTGGAAATAAGCTGTACGTTCAAGTGACAGAAAGGGTTTTTTGGCTGTTCCATGAATAAAAACATTCAGACATTACTGCAACACACCAAAGTGACCACAAGATGGAAGCACTGTTGTTGTATCCCAAGGTCAACATAATCTTCCTGTTCAAACACTAAATTAATTCACTCTTTCAACACATTTTGGTTGCTTTTCATTTACTCACTATTTTCTATTTTTCCGCTCTTGTTTTTCATGCACTCTGACTCTAATTTTTCCAGATAGATCCCATGTCTTTGAGGGTGTTGAGAGTCCACCTGATGCTGACTTCAGGGCAGATGAGGAGGCACTGAACTGTGGTTATCACTATAAACATTTCACCAGTCTTCAATGCTAGTCACTGATCAGAGAACAGTTCATGAATATTGCATGAAAAGGTCTCAAAAGTATGTCTAGGCTCTGAAACAAAGTCACACAAAAGGGCTGAGTGTTCTGTTAAATTAATAATAGCGTGCCCAGTGAGCAGATTTGGACACAAGTTGTTTATGCATCACAGAATGAGTAAAAACTTCATAATCCTACACAAAACAGAATGAAAGATTTCAATCGAGCTTTATGATTTAAACATGTTCACGGTAGAGTCACAGTGCCAGAACACAAAGAAATAAAGGCTGAGGAGAAATTTGCTCACAAGATCAGAGGGAATAATACCTGAAAAATTCAAAACGGATACCAGCCTCACTGCTAATTCATTACAGCAGAACCTTCTCTCCCCCCACTCCTGCAGAAAGTCTTGGATGAGTTACTGCTGCAGGGCCAGAGAGAGCAAGGCTGGGCTGCACAAATGGGATGAGGAGCACAGTGAATAAGGTGGTAAGGAGAAGGGAGGGAGGAGGGCTGGGTATTCTCCCAGCCTGCACCTCTTTCATCTTTCTCATTAAAGGCAAAGCAGTGGGGGCCGTCAAGAATGAGCCCAAGGACATGGGGATCGGGGACCGAGCCTGAGCCTCACATCAGGAGGAGCAGGAGGAGGGAGGGAACAACCAGAGCGAGCAGACGGGCTGCCATGTCAAACCTTCACCTTAAACTTAACCCAGCTCCCAATGGGAAGCAGATAAAGACCTCTTATCTCTGCTCACCTCCTCTCCCGGCCTGGGAACGACTTGACCAGAAGCAAGAAGGGCCAGAGGGGGGTGTATTTGGTTGAGTGGGCCCGAAATAATGCACAAGCTTTTTCTCAGACAGGGTTTATGAAAGAGGAGGGCAGCACTGATGAGCTTCCATCTGGGACAGACTGATTAAAAGAGAGGCGAGGCAAGGAAGTGGATCATGATAGAAGAAGTGGTTCTGAGGGAAAGGGCTGATCCGGGATTGGAGAAGTCGAGGTCTTTGATTTGAAAGGTCTCAGTGTTACTTGATGTTTTACAGATTTGATGTTTTATAGGGTTTAAGGGCTGGAAGCTCACTTACGATTGAATATATTTTGCAATCCCTTTATCATGATATTTCTAAGTTTTACCACGATTTGCCAAGTAGAAATTATTTAAAGTAGGACACAAGCTGTAGCCTCTTGGTTTCAACATCTTGTGTAACATACTCAAACACTCTTCAGGGGATATCGAAACTACTCACAGTTTTGTACAATAAAAGGAGCTACAGCTCACAACAACTTTAGAGGTGACAAATTTCTCATGATGGTCCAAAAGTGACAAAATCTGCCAAACAACCCCTGTGGAGCTCAGTTATAACGCTCAAAAACCTGTTAAATGAATAAAAGCTTTAAGTGTAAAATGTAAGAATCAGCCATACCATGTGATAGACTATTTGTGTGCCAGTAACTACTTGGTTGCCTACCAAGACCAAGGCTCTAAAGAGTTGCCCACACATTTGCCAAACTCCAAAGTGCTGATACTGTACAGTATGTTGATAGTATATTGACTGTTCGTGTTTGACGCCCCCAATCGGTCAGTCTGATAAAACTTTCCAGTAAATCTGTCAGGAGAAATCTGCTTATTTCAAAGTTAGCTTCAGGTTAGCAGTTGTTACCAGGGGTGAAAGTAGGATAAGGTTCTTGCAGGTACTGTACCTGCTGCATCTCTCTCTTTCTCTTGAACATATATCAATTTTCTTTGCATTTTGTTTTATTTCTGCATTAACATTAAAGCAGCTGTCTCTTTAAAAGTTCCCTCTTTCCGCAAAAGGCGGGAGGCGATCCTCAGCGCCTAGGCAACCGGCGTCCAATCAAAAGTGCGCACTAAGCGTTCCCACTTCCGGGGTTTGTTTGTTTGCGGTAGTAAATACGACTCACTCGCAAGCAGCACGGTTCTATTGGATTGGCGGCAACACGGTAAGCAAATGTAGCATAAATACATTACAGAAGGGAAAGTTTGCGTACCGGCTGAAAACTGCTGTTTTTGTCCTTCCGGTTGTTCTTCCCCAGGTTGTTACTTCAATCAGGACCAGCAGCAAAAGGAAGCAAGCTAAAGCTAAAGCAGCTAAATGGAAAGTCTGTAAGTTGAATTTTAACTTCCTGATCTTAAAGAAAACAGACAGTACACAAACTCAAAGTGAAACAGTCGTAACCAAACAGATGAACTCCATTACACCCCAAATAACTCATATAGCTTATTATGTGGCTGTGTTAATACTTGATTCTGATTGGTCAAAAGTCCATTACAGTTGTGATAAATATTCAACAGCAAAACCAAACTAAATTGACAACCTGATCACACATGTCATGGCAAATTAATCTGGAGAAAGAAGTCCTGCACGTCTCTCTCATGCCTGTTGACAATGTTGTAAAAATGGTAGCTTCCTGCTCCAGCTGGTCTTGACAGACAGTTACCTGGCACAGATGGAGAGCAGAGCAGCCTGGGGAGCTTCTGAGGTAGAGGGTGAACTGGAGCAAGATCCTGTCCCTCCATCTGGTTAACATCAGCAGAGCTGCTGAGCACATCTTTGATGAAGTTGATGATTGCTATTGAATCCCTTAAAACGTAAGCGGTAGTGAAAGAGCAACATCGTTGAAAGTTGGGACATTTAGCTCCTTTATGAGGTGACACTTCAGAGTGAGGGGAGTGGAACGTGGGCTGAAATCTCTCCAAACATCCCTGCAGAAGTCCTGCTCAGCTTGTCAGAAATAATGTTCAGGTTAATTTAATTCATATGACGTAAACAGGCTGATTTGTTGACACGACAGTGAATTGAAATGTTCAGGCTTATATTTACGTGTCTTGAGAATCTTTTGTCATGGATGCATCGCAGCTTGTAGACCCCATATTTTTTTAATCTGTATGAATGAAACAGTTTTAAATCAATGAAATAATCTTTGAATTAATATTTCACATCAAATTACATCTTTAGTTGACAGCCAGGTAATAGGTGGGATGATGTAAAGTGAGCAAAACCACCCATCTTATATTAGGGCCTTGCTCATCCTCACTATTAATTATTGATTGCCCTCTAAAGAGTCTTCATTTCTCTTCTGAGTTATTTCTCTGAAACGATACATTTGATTTTTTTATGTTGTTTTTATTTGTGAACAAAATGAAGGAAAACTGGATCTTTAATGTTCAAAAAACAAATTCATGCAGGTTTTTGTAGCAACTACATCATGAGATTCCTGCAGTGAGTTTCCTTCCACAGGTAGCGACACAGGCTGCCTTTAAGAATTGAGTGACATTAACTAACCAGCCAGTCAGTCAGCAATTTGCCATTTTGCAACACACCAATACAACAATTTATGCAAGTCTCTGAGTTCATTCTTCATCAAGACACCTCTAAATATTTCAGCATCAGCCTGCAGTGCAGCAGACTAATTTTGGAATGAACTTCTCTTTGACTCAAAGTGCTCTTTTTGCCCAATTGAAGCAAAAGTCATGCAGAAATTTGGCTGAATCAAAAACAGAGTAAAGAAACGGCTCCCTCATGCACTTGAAACAATCTGCCTTTGTATGCTGTTTATTATGTTTGGCTCGTATCTCTCAGCAGAGTAAAGTTGGAGCCAAAAGTTAGACCGACATGATGAGCCAATCAGCAGAGAGTAAATTAAATTAATGCATCTAATTAAAGTCAATGATGTTACAAAATAAGGGTCTTAAGGAAAACGCAGGTCTATGCCTTTGCAGCTTTGAGATTCAGATCTTCCCCCCTTTCATTAGTAAATTAAGTCCCACACCAGCAACCCCCTCACCTCTTGAAATATGAACTGAGTGCTAGATTAAATATGCATATTTAATAAGAGGGGAACATGAACACATCCACTGCTTAAACGGGAGCATGAGGGATGAGGAAATCAGAGCGAGAGAGAGAGAGTTTCATGGCCTGCAGAGTGTGAAAGAAAAAACAGAATTCATCTTTATTTCAACACGGCTCTGTGGGACTAACCCTAGCAGGACTTCCCCCCACTCTTTCTGAGCTCTGATTGCACACACGCTGACTTTCTGGAGGTGCGGGCTACGTGTTTCTATAGCAACCACAGAAAGCAGACAGTATGGAGTAAACTCGCTTGCCATGTGCCTGAACATTTTTGCCTCTTGAACCATCAAACTGAATTTTGTATCAGGCCGACTGTGTTTCTTTGTCAGGATGGAGTCGGACCAGCACAGAACTAGGAGAAAGAAGACTTTTACATCAAACAATTTCCATTACAATGTAGAAATATAATCCAGACTATGAAAAGGAATAAATTGATTTTTAAGGAATTATATTGTCAGAAATGTTGTGTGGTAATATTAGTTCAGTTTTAAACGCTTCAAAATAGAAAATACAAATTTTTTTTTACTATATTTATTATCATAACATAATTTAAGTTACAGTTTTAGCTTTGTGGGATGATATAGACCAACCAGCATGTTGAAGCACTTTGCAAACAACACAGTCCTGCCCACTTTGGTGACAAATGCTGAAGATCCTATGTATACTGATGCAATGTAATGCATGTTTGGATGAACATCTGTAATTTTAAAAAGCCATTTGTCCGACAGGAGTGGATAATACTTACTGGCCTGCCTGATACTTGGCTTTCTTGGACTGTAACAAAGCTTGCTGATCAATAAGCCATAATGAGACTTCAGTGAAAAATGTTGTGTCACATGTACCAGACAAAAGGAAACATGTTCAAAGGAATCACAAGTTGTAGTTCCGTGTTGTCTTTAAACAACAAAGAAAATGTCCTGAACAGCACAGCTTTAGAGCAGCTTTTGTGTTCCTGTTGTTGTGAGAAACCGTGATTCTCCTGCCCACAAAAAGGATGGCTTTCTCTTGGCAAGTTCTGCTCTGTGTCTCAATGCCAGTCTGGTCTAATCTTGGCTGTGAAAAGAGCATCTCTTGGACTGTAATTCTGTTTGGGCTCAGCTCAGCGCCCCTTACTGGACATTTACACTGGCTGCAGCATCTTAAGTTTGAAAACTTGAGAAGTCTCATGGGTGTCCATATATCAAAATTAAATTGATACCTGCCAGCCAATCAGAGTTGAATATTCACTAAAGCCATGATTTAAGTCAATGCTTTAAATGATTTGAGATAATTGAATCCAGCATTGTATTGTATTTATGAAAAGGCATCAACAATACCATCATGTCTGAGCACTATAAGAGGTTAAAAAATCTATTAATAGACTCTGAGGATTAAATGAACATAGAATTGTAAAAGAAATCAAAACAAACTTCAAAAGGGTTGAATTAAAGCTCCTGTAAGGAACTTCCAGTCTGTGTTAACAACCTACCAAACACAACATTAACAGGAACTGCACATATTTTCTTTATTCCCTCAGAAGCACGTCCACTTGTTTTATTTCTCAAGGTTTTGGGATATACGTCTGTTATTTTTGCCTCCACCAGCATTTAATGTGTGTTGCTCTAAGCACAGAGGAATTACATTTACATATTCAGCCCCAACATATCTTTGTAGAAACGGTGTCTCAGCTATACTGCATAATCCAAAGGCTTTAATGTGAGCAGTCATTACGAACGCCAGTGATTAAACCACTCTCTCTTTTTTTAACCAGAAATGAAAGTCTTTTAGCTCACAGTAAAGGCTATGGATTATGACAAATGGAAGACTCAAAGACATTTGTATGTGAGTCTAAAGCACATCACAGAGTTTAAGGCACCAGAAAGGAAAAACTTAAAGCCGCACAAAGATACTGACCGGTGGCAGATGAGAAGAGATGGTCTTGAGGTCAGACTTTGGTTCATACAGTAAAAGATCTGTGACTGAAGCAGGTACAGAGTGACATGTGGTAGACAACAAGAGAGGATTAAGGGACTTTTAAAACCTTTTCAGCTTGTCTAAATTGACCAAAGACCAAAAAAGACGGACACAAAATTCAAAGACGCTGTCAATACAAAACTTAACATCTTGTTTTCAAAAACACAGCCAACAGCCGACTCCGTTTTATTCATAAAGCAAAACATGAAACATAAAATTTACATTTTTAATCCATAACTAAAGCCTCATTTCAAACCTGCAGATTAAATGGTAATAAATATTGACTGTCCCAGTTACATAAACAGCTAAAGAGCTCAGCTACACTGTCAGTGAGTTGTAAGTTGTACGGAGTTGGTTTCAGCTTTTCCCTCACCGTGGCAGGAGTGTTACGAAACAGATAATCCGCTCATCCAGCGCTTCTGCATCCTCACCTTCAGCACAGGTTGTGAGATAAAGCCCACGAGAACAGGTGTTTCTTAGAACTGTGGGTGGGAGTGGGAGGTGGGAGTAGCTCAGTCTGTCGGGACTTGGCTTTGGTTGTAGGCTCAAGTCTTTATGAGGACCTAAAAATGGAGGTTGGATGGTTGCTGGAGAGGTGCCACTGAGGTGCCCTCAAGCAAGACACCAAACAATGTGTGGTGCCCATTTGTTTGCGGCCCAAACACTCTGGAATCTCTCCATTTGTGCACATGAGATCCTGTATGTGCATGTGTGTACAGTTCAGCCTTTGTGTGTTGAGTGTGAGTGTGAGTGTGAGTGTGTGTGCACTCAGTAACAGAGAGTAAAAATTGAATCGTCCTTTGAGATTTGATAGAGTTGGTCTTCTTTCTGTTTCTTTTGTTTTCATTCTTAGTTTTTTCATTCAGAGTGAAAAGGTTTGCTTCTAACTGTCAATGCCAAATGCTAAACAGAATAAATACAAATGCCATGAAAAACTGACTCCCAACAACCAAAACTATAAGCTGAATTGCCCGCAAACTTCTAATGCTGATCTGAAGAGACAGAAATGTTTGAACCAAATCAAGAAATGTCTTGAAACAAGCGTGATGTGTAAACATGGTACATGATTATAGTATATGGACATGATTTATGAATCTCTACATTAGTAACTGAGGTCCACAATCAAACACAACTTAGGCCCACAGAGTCCTTGACCCAAATATATGAGATATTGGGACCCTGAGGGGCCGAGAGCCCGAACAATGAAGTGGGTCAATAAGCCCACTCCCACACACACGGTGTGTTCTTGTAAACCAGATGGCCAATTTAGTGTGAGCCAAAAGAAAATTAATCACAGCACATTTAGTCCAGAGTCTGACAGAATACAATCACCGTGCACCGTGCAGAATAAACCCCCTGCAGCCTCCCGCGGTGCACAGTCAGCGTGTCACAGGCAGCACACTCAGAGGATGTAAACACACACACACACACACACACTGAAGTCCTCGGTAAATCACAGGAGGAAAGACTTTCACTGTCAGTGCAGCACTACAGCGGTCATTTAGGAGAGGAGTTAACATGATGTTTTTAAAATGTGAATGTGTGTCAGCCATTTTTGAACATGAGCTGCATGTTTTCCTGTATGAGTTTGTTACTTACTTGTGCAGACCGTGAAAGCATCAAACAGAAAAATGGCAGCTGCAAAAAACTGAAAAAAATCAAAAAGTTATTCTTCTAACAGTTTTTCCTTCTGCATCACACAGGAACGACCACTCTGCATGAATTCTCTTGGCTGAATATTGACCCGCAATGAACCTCCAGTCCTGACCTTACATGAGGTATGTTCTCCGTTCGTCCAAAGTATCTTAACTTCTTTTTTCACGACGGCATTGTCTCTGATGTTCTGCTTCTTTATCGCTCTTGTGTTCGTCTAAATGCTCCCTCAAAGCTGTCATTACTCTGCAAGAGATATTAATGATCTAGAAAGCTGCTGAATCACATTATTGAACTTTAATGCAACTTAATGTCCAGTGTAGACAAATCAGGGTGACCTTTAAGAGGATTCAGGTCTGAAAATAAGTCATAAACGAACCAAAAACAGAGAATACAAGGACACGGGGTTACTTCAGGGCAGGGGTCCATCACACTACTAAGACTCGATTAGAAGGAGGGATTTGCTGCTTTCCAATGCACAGAGACTCAGACGTGAAGTCAATGATGTATGTGCTGCAGAAACAAATTTAAACAGACATTAACGGCATTGAGAGACCAGAAGCTGCGGGGCATTGCCACAGTCTGGAGGGCAGAAATACTCCCATTGTTCACACACGAGCCCCCCCCACTGTGACAGGTTTGAAATATCACATCACCATTTGTGTCGCTCTGTTGAAAAGCTTTTCTCTCAAACATCCGGTTTATTGCCTTTGTTTCCATCTTTTCAGCATAAAACAGAGTGAGAAAAAAAGGGTTTCCAAAGCCTGGACTGTCATTGTTACTTTCCCTGCAGCCATTGTTGGCGAGCACTGGTCGCTGCTATTTCCAGTTTCCCCTGGTTACCATTTCCCTTTGAAATCCCTGTGTGCCCCCACACTGAGCTGAGGTGTAAACAAGCAAATAAAACAAAGCGGCAGCGAGGATACACATGCATCTGTAACAAAGGCTCTAAATGAATATAACTGAGGCTTCATGCGCTTTGAATCATTACAGAGATTACACCTGTGCTCACTCTGCAGATGAGGCGGATACTAAGACCATTATTCCAGTCTGAAAGGAACAAAAAATTAAACTAATTCAAGTCTAAGTTATTAAAAAATTACAAACTAATGCAAAAATATACACAGGACCTATCATAGACTTTATTAACTCATAACTGATCAAAGTTGATGTGAGGTTATTGGGTAAAGCTACTGTTGTTTCATAAATGAGGATTAATGTTGAAAAAATAGCAAAGCCTGCAATAAATATAAGATATTACTAGAAAAGTAGCCTCAGGCAAACAAAGTAATACTATTTTTATTTTGCATTTTTGCTGAATCGTGGGATTTCCAATCTTTTTGTGCCTCCTGGGGTTTGGGAACTAAGATGGCTCATTGGTGTTCGTAGAGCACTTGACTGTTTCTCAGAGATTCTGCAGGATTCACTGTTTCTAAAGGCTGAAGCTGAGCGAGTTTTTCTCTCCAAAGAACTGACATGACAAAAAGCACAAAAATAAATCAGATGATAAAAGATTTACATCCAATTATCAAAAATCTAATGAAAAATTGAGTCCACAGCTGCTTCTAAAAGTGCAAGTAGACACATCAGAGATAGAGTTTCAGAATAAAGGAGACATAAATTTAAAGGCCTGATAATTCTTATGGGACAAGTAAACCTTGTTCAGAAGACCTGAGGAATCCACTGGTGGATTGTGGAGGGACAAGGTTAGAAATATAGACAGGTACCTGATCAAAAATGACTTTTTAGTTGATACGAAACTTGAAAGTGTTCCACAGGAAAATGCATATGAGCATCTTTGGAAAAAATAATGGCAATGCTATTCTGGAGGTTTTTTGCACTTTTCAGAAGTAGTTATGTGAAAAACACCACACTTTACCTGTGCAACTAGATCCTTCATCCCTGCAGGAGAGGTCAGAAGAGGTCAGCAGCATTAGCTGAGCTGGTGAAGGCATCAGACGGCGAGAGTGTCTGACCAAGCTTCATGCAAAAAAAACAGGAGATCAGTGTGCATGAGTCTGCAAAACTATTGCTTTATCAAAGAGAATTTTGCTGGAAGATTTTTATTCCCATTAATCCCACTATGAGTCTGTTTCTGCTCAAGGTGTCTACCTGTTCGAAGAAGTATTTCTTTCTTCGATTAAATTTGTCTTGCTTAGCTTGGACCAAAGATTCGTACTTTCTAAATTATCTGCACAAGTACAGATCTACTGAGAAGAGGAAACGGGGCGTGGGTTAGGTAGAAATGTCAGTGAAACACCTGGTCAGAGCTGGGGAAATAACTGAGGTCAACTTTAATTACAGCTTTGTGATTGGAGGCAAACTGGTGTCCTGTAAAAAGAAGTCAGTGGGCTCCAGACTATTATTTCAACTCCACAAAGAGGATTTCTTCTACAGCTTCCTGCAGAGCCACTGAATGGCCTGAATAGAGGCAGCAGACATAAATCACGAGCTGCGGGCTTTTTAACAGGGATGTTGAAATCTACGTCAGTCTGAAGACCAGCCACTAACAACATTTTTAAATCTGAAAATTTAGAGGTAAAAGTTTACACAGTTGCATAACGCAGCCACACAGAAAAGTGCAAACATAAAGCTGGCAGCTGGAAGCAGAGGTGACACACTATAAAACCCACTCTGCACAATACAACCATGCGGCCACTGCTGTGTCACGGCTGTCTGCAGCACGCAAAAAAAGGGTGGAACAAAATAGCACCGCAGCTCTGACTGGAACTATAAACCAACACAACACAACAGGCTTTCAGATGTAATAAATGTCAAGAATAAAACCTTTTTTTCTTGCTAAACCAATAAAAGGTCAAAGAGAGTGTGTGTGGCCTCCAGCAGAAACACTAATACAATAGTGGACTATGTTTAATGCCTGGAAGAAAACATCATAGAGGCACTTTAATCCGTCAGATAATCGATAAAGATAAAAACTTACTAGGTGTATTTATCTGCACTTTAAGGGGAACTTTGCACCCTGAGATCTACCCCTAAACCCTGCAAATGTGGACACTGTGCACAGTTAACACATCCGGGACGTCCTTACTCTCGACTCTTTTATGTGATTGGATGATTGAACGGTTTAAGGTTAATAGTGTTAGCGCCTGCACTTGCAGTTGTCAGTCAAGTCACGGGGGGCCGGTTTCAAGGGGCCAATCTTGACCCTCAGTAGCATACCTTCCCTTGCATAAACAAGAAACAGAATCTCGCTTTACTATGGGAAATGTTAAAAGGTCTGTCACCAGGTCTGACGAGGACGTTGCTTACATTTTGTAAATTCTAATTTTAAGTGCATGTTTTCGGGTTGTGGGAAAAGAGCGAGCGGTGAGGCTCTTATTTCTTGTCTGCAGAGTTGTAAACAGCTGAGAGGGCTAATGTGGCTGAGGAGGGGGGAGGTTAAGCTGTCTTATCACAGCCGCCTGAAGGCTCCAGCTCCTTAATGCAGACCCGATTTCTCCCTGAATTGAATTTCACAAGGATTACTGAACACATGTAAAGTCAAGAGCCACACCATTAAAGCTGCTCTGTTTATTGTTGTGGAGAAATTTTCAGGAAGATTTGAAGTGTAACTGTGAGTATTATGTATTAAAGAAGGCGTTAGCTGACTGACAGAAATCCCCTGGGCTTACATGGTTTATTAATGCACTTTGTAGCACCTGAAAATAATTTCATACCCGCTTTGAGTGTTAATTTTGATAAGAATATTTACTCAAACCTCGCCTGCTGTGGCTGAACTCGATCTGAATAATCATGCGGCTCTGTATCCTTTGCATTCATTAGCTGCTTTATCTCCTCTCTGCCAAGGTGACGTTGCACTTCACTTATTGAGCACCATAATGTAAAACCTCTTCCACCAAATCGACCCCATTTAGACCTAATTTGTATTAACATATGATATCTGTAAAATTAGATTTCACCAGCCTCTGCATTCATAAAGATATGGTGATATCAGTCTGCAGACCCATCTGAAAACTCCTTTTCAGACACATCAGAACAACAGTAAATTATAACTGTCATGACTTCTGGTATATCTTTAACTATAATTATACTGTTTATATTCTTGAGCATTAATATTGTTGGATGCCGATCCTTGACAAGAGCTGTGTCCCAATCCGAGGGCTGCAGTTTTTGAAGGACCCAGCTGTTGTGACCTATGTTGACCATTAGGCCCAAACTGAATTGAGACGGTCTACCCTTCAGAGGTTATGTCACTACCCTGACACTGGCATGTCGTAGCACCACTCTTAATGCTTAAGCAACAGGTGTCTATCCAGCTAATCAGCTCTAATAGAGAGTGTCACGCAACTTGAACAACATCATCAACATGATATGTGTTTGTCTTCTCTAACATTTGTACTTGAGAGTATGCTATCCCAACTGTATCATCAAACTAAGTGGTTCTCTGAATGATGCACCTGAAAAATAAGGACTCAGTTCTCAGTCCTCCAAACAGGACAGTCTTTGGATCTCCAAATGAGGCATTCAAAGACTGTAGGCCCCAAATTAGGACACAGCTAAGGTTCAGAATATTAACTTGAAATATGTTTTTAGGTGCATTTTACTGAATGTTCTAGCTGCTCTTTTCAAGAGTTTTGCAAGACTTGGCCAGAACCGGACTTCAGGCTCTGCTGTCTTACGGTAATTTACGCATCTGGAGGAACTTTCAAGGAGTTTACACCCCCGTTCTCTTTGTTAAATCACATTTGGAAGGATAAACTACAGGAGCTAGTGTATACTCAGGAGTTGGTTGCTATCCTCTGATTTATTCTGTAAAAGCATGTCTTTGGGTGATTTCACGACTACGAAGCTGTGTAAAAAGTAGCACCCACAATCTGTGACTAACTTTTTTAGAAGTGTTTAAGCATAGTAAGCATAGAATAGTAGGAAAAACTAGGTGTCTAAAAATGAGTGTCCTTAAGGAAAAATGTGACTATGGGTCTCCTTTAATATAGGATTAAATAATTTCTAGTGCAGCCATTTATTCATCCTCTGAGACAATCTGTACCATTCTAGCTCAGCAAATCTGAGAATGAGCAACCACTACCAGACAATTTTTATGTTTTATTATATTCACAGCTTAAAAAAA